CATAATCTAATTTGTACAATATTATGTGGTATGTGACTGCATGTAATATTTTTGTGCACTCAGACAGTGTCGGAGAGTGCTTTGTGCACAGGCCACCACACCTGTATCACACTGTCCCTCCAGGAGGGACGCAGTGGTGTGGTGCACCCATATCACCATGGCCGTCCAGGACGCCCACGGTGGTGTGATGCACCTGTGCCACTCTGTCCTTCCGGGAGGGACACGGTGGTGTGGTGCACCTGTGCCAACATGGCCCTCCCGGAAGGCCATTGTGGTATGGTGCACCTGTGCCACCGTGTCCTTCCCGGAGGGACACGGTGGTGTGGTGCACCTGTGCCAACATGGCCCTCCCGGAAGGCCATTGTGGTATGGTGTACCTGTGCCACCGTGTCCCTCCCGGAAGGACACAGTGGCATGGTGCACCTGTGCCACTCTGTCCTTCCGGGAGGGACACAGTGGTGTGATGCACCTGTACCTCCCTCCAGGGTCAGCACTGTGGGTCAGCCCTGTGGGTCAGCACCCTGGGTCAGCACCATGGGTCACAGGCGTGGGAAAGCGCCAGCTCTGACCCTAGGACGGGCATCGACTGACCCTAATATCCACTCATAACCCCCAAGTTTCAGAATTTTTGGACATGCCCAACTTTCAATAATATATCAAAATATGGGTATAGAGGCTTGGTAGCTTGGTAGAGCTGGTAGCGATGGTAGTCGTTCAGGAGAGAAAGACTTTGATTGAGAGAGTGCTACAGTACTGGTTTATATACTAGAGAGTGACTGTGACTGTAACGCATGTAACGTAGTGAGTTTGTTATGCTATTGGTTGTCTATATTTATTACTTGTATGAGTAAGTGTATGCTGACTATTCCACTCTGTGCATTACTAAACTACTATGAGTCATGTATGTAAATAGAGTCCGGATCAAGTCCGTTCAACATACACTACGATCCCTGCTTACTGTGTACCATAGCATACTTCATATCAGGTACATTAAATCACAGTCATTTATCTGTTTCTTCAACTGAGCATACTTTGTATCAGTTCCAACAGCATTCACCCTATTGTTTGTTGTAACTTCAAAATAATGAAGGTCTAATTATGAAGAATTGTTTCCAGTGTAATGGTACAGTATTCTTATCTTATTCAGCTCACTGCCCGCTCCTAACCTCACAAAAAAAGTTACCATATTTGGATATGGTTTACCCTGCTTTGTGCAGAAATCAGGGTCCCCAGCTCCCTAGGAACCATCCGGCGACCAGGCGAACGTCCAGATTAACCCTTACAGACGGTATAAGATTATTAGATAGCAACATGACCAAATAAAGCAGCCAAAACTACAACACAATCACACTAATGATCACCGACCCACTAGCCGAATCTCGAGAGTACGCAGTGGGAAATACGTCACAGCCGCGAACGCAGCTGCAAGCTCAAAGCCGAGGTCAGCACCATATGCCGCCCCGGCTTTTGCACCCAGCGGCCCGATATACCACACCTCCGCCATACCGACAACAGCACCGGCAACGCCAAAGCAGCCCGCAACAATACCCGCAATGCCTAGTGGCAATCTAAAGCACGTCATGTTAGCACCAAAAGGCAGAAGCGGGGGAGCTACGCACTTTGAAGGTGTATCGTAATCATCCAAGTTATACCCACCGAGGGGTCCGCCGCGCCTCCGAAATATGAAGTGCTCCTCCGCGACAATGACGATGAAGAACGCGGTCCAATACGAGAGGATAGAGAGGAAGTTGGAGAGAATGGCGGAGAAGTGCTGGCGTCCGGCAACGCCGGCGACAGTGTAGATGAGGAAGGCGAGGAATGTCCAGAAGAACCGCGGCACCATAGCAAAGGGGCGGCCGAGTGCTTGCATGGAAAGGCCGGCAGAGTAGGTATTGGGAATGTTATTCGCGCTGTGCGTTCGGTGTTAGGAGACGGGCAACAAACGCAGGAGATAATAACGAAAGGAAACCTACATAACAGACATAGCGAGCAGCACCAGCACGAACTTGCCGAATCCACCCCACGGGCTGAGGACCTGCGCGACGAGCGCGCCCGTGTTCTCCGTGTCACCGAAGGCGGCGACGTACGCAGGGTCCGTGATCGTCATGAGCGCGGCACCAAGGATCTCGACGAAGCAGATGGGGAGCCAAAGCCCGAAGAAGGTGAGGATGAAGACGCGCCAGGGGGACGTGGTGGACGGGAGACGACAGTTGTAGTCCGCCGCGACGGGAGCCCACTGACTCTGCTGTGAGCCCTTATACCGCAGACATCGAACAGAGGACGTACCCCGCTAAAAGACCCAAACACAATCCCTCCGAAACTGAGTATGTCCGCACTCAACGCCTTCCCCGTATCCTCGAGTGGCTTCTGCGCGTCGAGGTCGAAGCCGGCTTTGCCTCCGAGGCCCCAAAGGAAGAGCATGATGATAAAGGTGACCATCCACGCGTAGCGCTCGTAGACGTGGACCATGTTATACCCGATGAAGCACGGGACAAGACAGCAGAGACCGATGATGATGATGCCGACGACGAGCGGGAGTGTGCCGGGGTTAATGGATGCAAGGGTCTCGCCTCCGAGAATGACGGCGGTTACGGAGAATCCGAGCCTGCGCGCAACAATTAGGTTAGACTGGGCAAGTAGCTTGGGGCAATTGGAGTAACGCACTGGGTTAGAATGTTGAGAATCGAATAGATCGTCCCGCCGAAGTAGCCGGAGCTGAATCGAGTGATGACCATGGTGCGGAGACCTGTCTGGGGTCCAAGACAGGAAATGAAGGCAGTGGCGATACCACCCAGAGCACCGAAACACATGATGGTCGCGATAGCGTGCCTAGCTTCATATGTGAGCACCGTTCGGGCTTCTAAGAAGGAACAGACGTACGGAAGGGTGAGGGTGAAGACCGACTGCGCGAGTACGCCGATAGGGATGGTGGTAAGCACCATATTGACAGACCACCACATCAGCAAGCTGGTACACACCGCGACCGAGTGTTAATCTCCATCCTCAGAGCATAAAGAAAGAGAGCACGCGACGCACTTGTTCCACGCATTTTTTGTCTCCCGCTGGTCCTCCGGTACGCGCTCGACACCACGGGCTTCTACACCGCTATTGAAGAGCTTGGTGAGGATGGGCCCGAGCGCGCCAAAGCGCCGCGCAATAGTGTTTTCGGGGGCGACCTCCGCAGAACGGACTTCGTACACGTCCTCCTGGACAGGGCCTGCGCCGCTGTGGCCGCTCTCGATGTCCTTCTCCTTGTCGGTGGAGTCAGTATGTGACATGGTCGGTCGGCTGGATGGGCTACGCCGGGCGGGACCTAGCGAGAGGGCGGAGAGGAGAGGGGAAGAGGAGAGGAACGGGTAACTTGGGGCCGACGATAAGAGGGGCGACCATATGTGCGTTTGTTGATGGATAGATGGCGGTTTGCTGTTTGTCGCTAGCTCCATCTCGGACCATGTGGAGTTTTACGCCTCCGGTCCCTGGCAAGCCACCTCCCCCCGAGATTGAACGCGCGGAACTAAGCCACTTGAGCTTCTTCACGTCCATCATGTGCTACCTACTACTTCCGCCCAGCAGCTTTCGTATCTTCAAGCACTATAAGCACAACATAACTCAAAGTCACGCTGCGAACAATCGATGGGTACGGTAACGCCGACTTTCCGAAATTTGCTTATCATCACAGCACGCGGAGGAATAAAATCCCCGAGCTTTTCTTAGCGTCGCAGCATCGGCCTGAGCATATGCGCGACTACGTATCGGATGGCGGGGCGATTTGAAGCTAGTTGTGGAGTCTATGCGTTTATTGCAAGGTGTGTATGTAGGGGGCTCTCAATGTAGTGTACAGAAACACCAGAGCTATGGCAAAAGCCGCATTAGCGTCGCAGCAGACGAGCAGACCGACGAACGAATGGCATACCTGTCTAACATCCAACGACGCGTCTGTCTAGTGGTGACTCTCCTTTGCAATTTGAGCAGCGTACGGGTTGCGCGGGTCTTTGGCGTACTCTTCAGCTGTGGAAAGTGAACATGTTAGTCGGATGCAGTCAGAGGGTAGGACTCTTGGTAAGACGTACACCGGATACCCATATCCTGCATCTTGCCGACGAGGAAGAAGGTGATGCCGGCAGCAGCGATGAAGGGTGCCATGGGGCGGAGGACCTGTGGCATAAAGTCAGAAACTCGGTAGATGACAAACCGTGGGTTTGAACGTACGGGCGTGGGCCATTTTCTGAGACCAAGGAAAGCCATTCTGCAGTGACGAGAATGACGATGGTTAGTCCATTCCGTGACAGCAAAGATAGGAAAGTGTACGAACTGGATGAAGTGTATGGGATGAGTGCTGGAGGACGTGCAGACGAACGCGGAGGTTAGGAAAGAGAACCGGGAGTGCCCGCGCACCAGAATGGTGAAACGTTCCCACGTCTATAACGTGGCCTTTGGCTGTTTCTTCGACGCGGACGTGTGCAAGCCCAACGCCTCCTCGTCGCGCCCAATCGCACCGCCAAAATGTCTGCAGAGACACCATGCTACACCATCGTCTTTGAGGACGCTACAGAGTCTCCGTCTACTCAGGAACTGCGCACAGCACTCGAGAAGGGATCCGACGAGGACAAGATTGATACCCTGCGAAGGATCATTGTCTCGACGATCAATGGCAACCCCCAGGTGCGTGTCCCTACATTTCCTCTGAACGCGCCGATGCTCACTATGATTCAACCGATCCTAGCCCAACCTTCTCATGCCCATCATCCAGTACATTCTACCCTCGCGCAACAAGCAGCTCAAGAAGCTGCTACACTTCTACTGGGAGGTCTGCCCCAAGTACGATGAAAACGGCAAGCTTAAGCAGGAGATGATTCTCGTCGTGTAAGCTCCTCCATATTTTCCGTCTATGGCTTCTCTGATTGCTCCCAGTAACGCTATCCGAAATGACCTTGTGTGTCCAATCTCCTCCCCTCGTCCACACAGACTGACCTGTGACGTAGCAACATCCCAACGAGTACATCCGCGGCGCGACCCTCCGCTTCCTCCAGAAGATCTCCAAGGATGTCGAACTCCTCGAACCCCTCATTCCCATCTGCCGCTCCTGCCTTGAGCACCGTCACTCTTATGTGCGCAAGAACGCCGTCTTCGCCGTCTACACCATCTATCGCGAATACGAACACCTCATCCCCGATGCTCCCGAGCTTATGCAAACTTTCCTCGCTGCGGAGAGTGATGCGACATGCAAGCGCAACGCGTTCGTGTTTTTGGCTCAGTGCGCGATGCCCAAGGCAGTCGAGTGGCTTGTGAGCGTCTACGATCAGCTCAGTGGGCTCGATGAGTTGTTGCAGATGTCGGTGATTGAGGTGGTGAGACTCGACTGCAAGAATGATACGACGCACCGGGTACGCCTATATCACGTTCTAGGAGGCCGCATAGAGAATGCTAACGGTTACTATAGCCACGGTACATCCGATGCATGTTCGATCTCTTGAACTCGTCTTCACATGCAGTCAAGTACGAGGCGGCCACTACGCTTACCACGCTCTCTCAGAACCCTGCTGCCGTCAAAGGTACGTCCTGGTCGCCTTTTACGCGCGCATATACCCACATCTATGTGCTCTAGCCGCCGCTTCTTGCTTCGTCAATCTCGTCATCAAAGAGTCCGACAACAACGTCAAGCTTATCGTGCTCGACCGGCTCGATACCCTGCGCGCCAAGCACGAACACGTTCTCGATGGGCTCATCATGGACGTTCTCCAGGTGCTGTCTTCGGCCGACATGGAGGTTCGCCGCAAGGCAATGGCCATCGTACTCAGCATGACCTCGAGCCGGAACGTCGAGGAGGTTGTCCTCTTCCTCAAGAAGCAACTCCAGCGCACTCAGGAACAGGATGCGAGCTACGATAAGGCGTCGGAGTATAGGCAGCTGCTCATTCAGAGCATCCACGTGATGGCAGTCAAGTTCTCTGAGGTCGCGGCAAGCGTTGTGCATGCTCTCATGGACTTCCTTGGAGATTCGAACAACCCGTCGGCTCTCGATGTCGTCGCGTTCGTACGGTATGTCTTGCCAATTGACACTATTTCCGTCCTGAGACTCATCGCGTGCTACTCGTTATCTAGGGAGGTCGTCGAGAAGTTCCCCAAGCTCCGCCAGCCCATCTGCGAGAAGCTCACGCAGACCCTCAGCGATATCAAGTCTGGTAAAGTCTTCCGTGGTGTCCTCTGGATCCTTGGTGAGTACACCGAAGAGATCGGCGACATCCAAGTCGCACTGCAGGAGATTCGCAAGGTTCTCGGTGAGATCCCGATCCTCGCTTCTGAACAGCGTCTGCTCGAAGATGCTGGTGGCGAGGAAGAGGAGGAGAAGGAGAAGGATGCGGCGGCTGCAGGAACAGGGAGACCCAAGGTGCTGGCGGACGGGACGTACGCGACTGAGACGGCGTACTCGAGCACTACGAACGCCAGGCTCGAGGCCGTCAAGGCCGCTTCGAAGCCTCCCCTACGCGGTATGTCTACCTAGCTTCTTAAGGCGTACTCGCGTTCTCATCATCGCCTCGCTTCCAGCGCTCATCCTCAACGGCGACTTCTTCACCGGTGCCTCGCTCGCATCGACCCTCACCAAGCTTGTCCTGCGGTATGAAGGCCTCGCGTCCGACGCTGCACGCGCGAACGCTCTGCGCGCCGAGGCCATGCTCATTATGACGTCCATCATCCGCGTTGGACAGTCCAAGTTCGTGACGATCCCGATCGACGAGGACTCGAACGAGCGTATCCTCAACTGCATCCAGACACTCTCGGAGCTCGCAGACCGCGCACGGGCGCCGGTGAACGAGATCTTCTTGGAGGACACGAAGGCGGCGTATTCTAGGATGCTGAGCGCGCAGGAGGTTCGTGCAAACCCTTTCTTTTTCGGCGTGGTGCTGAGTTTTATCCACCGCAGAAGAAGGCAGCGGAGAAAAAGGAGGCGGAAAGCCCTGCGACCGCTGCCGTGCAGGTCGACGACTTGCTGTCGTTCCGCCAGTTCACTAAGAAGGGCGCGGACGACCCCATCGACGTACGCCTTGATTTTCACTACGTTCTCCTATTCGACATCTGGCTAATATGATACGGATGTTACAGTACATTGAAGATCTCGGAAAGGCTACGGGCGCAGGCGAGGTCAAGGAGGACTTCATCTCGAATCTCAGTCGGATATCCCAGCTCACTGGCTTCTCCGACCCTATATACGCAGAGGCGTACGTCAAGATGCACGGCTTCGATATCTCGCTGGGTGGGTGTTCAATCTGTCTTACTTTGTTCGATGTGCTCACCAACTCATACAACCGTAGATGTACTCCTGGTCAACCAGACGCCCAACACGTTACAGAACCTCTGCCTCGACTTTGCAACTCTGGGCGACCTCAAGATCGTCGAGCGTCCGTCCATGTACACGATTGCGCCTCACGGCTTCCAGAGCATCAAGGCGACTATCAAGGTCTCCTCGACCGAGACGGGTGTCATCTTCGGAAGCATCCTCTGGGAAGGGCCCAACCTTGCCGAGTCGTGTGTAATCCTGAACGATATCCATATCGACATCATGGATTACATCAAGCCGGCGTACTGCAACGAGACGCAGGTACGTTCTCATTTATCCACACATGTACTTAAGAGCACAGATGGCTGATACGTTTGGTTTTTGCAGTTCCGTAGCATGTGGACGGAGTTCGAGTGGGAGAACAGGGTGAACGTGTCTACCACCATGTCGTGCGTGCATTTTTATCCTCTCCTTTTCCCAGTGTTGAACTGGATTCTACTTATAGTGACCCACGGGATTACCTTAAGCACGTCATGAAGTCGACGAACATGTCATGCCTGACGCCAGAGGGCGCCATGTCAGGCGACTGCGACTTCCTCTCAGCCAACATGTACGCGCGTAGTCTGTTTGGTAAGCTCCATCTTCCTCCTGTTGTTTCATTATATGTTCATGACTAACTGCTCAATGACTAGGCGAGGACGCACTTGCGAACCTGAGCATAGAGAGGACCGAGGGTGGTACCATCATAGGGCACGTGCGTATACGCAGCAAGACCCAGGGTATTGCGTTGTCTTTGGGCGATCGGATCACTATGTGTAAGATTACCGCTTTACCTAGTATCAATGTCGATGCTGATTTATGAACTGCTTGTAGCGCAAAAGGATATCAAGCCGCCAGCATAAAGGCGGAGGATGTTGGTGTAGATTACAACGATGTCCATCTACTGTATACAGCCGTTTTCCATTCATTTCTATTATCAACTGAGGTTGATCATGATATGTCATCACAAGATACGACAAATCTAAGTGACTGCCTATAATATTAAGTCCCATGGGAGCGGAAATGTTCTAGCATACAGGCCATATAATCCCTCATACAACAGCTGCATCTTCGGATGCTCACACGTCCTCCAGCTCGATCGAGCCGTTGGTATGTGAGAACGTCGTAGAACCAAAGAAGTCACGTTTTGACGTCGGCGATTTCTCAACACTGTGCATTGTGTCTGTCGCACCGTTGTCTATGGTGGCCACCCCATTGGGCGGGGCGGACGTGAACCGAATGGTGGATTTGCGCACTGTTGTCTGGTCGAAGGAGGAGCCAAGGCCAATGCGGACGATGATGAGTGTCGGAGCGATGCCCTGTTATTGTCCCTGTGAATCAGTACAAACTCACAACGGGACATGCAATAAAATAAGCGAGGGAGGGAAGGAAGGGACACGCACGTAGATCTGAATGCACATCTCGATTGCAACAGCCTGCGCTGGATGCTGAATCGCAAACAACACCACAAACAGGAGCTGGAACATGAAAAAGAGCGCGCCGGACTCGATGATGACGCCTGTCGCAATCCTCACGGCGTCATTGCGGTCCCGCCTCGCGATCGAGGTGCCACGGGACATGTACCAGATGCGGCCGATGATGAGGGAGGTCGTAACGAAGTTGACAGCGAGCGAGAGCGCGAAAGAGGCGGTGCCAAGTGGGACGACGATTGTGGGTGCGAGTGAGGCCGAGGGGTCAATCTGGGCCACGATACCTGTTACGGCCATGTAGGAGGCTAGTAAAGGCGAAAGAGATCATCGGTAATGATAGGACATAAAGGAAGTAGGACCTTACCAATGGCGGCGAGAGACATGAGGAAGGGAAGGATGGCAATATAGTAGTTGCAGCCCCAGACTAGCCATAAACGATAAATCTTAAGACAAGATATAAGTCATTCGTGTTCAATGCAGTATACTCCGCTTTACATACCAGGACCAACTCTGCCGTGAAATCTGTAATGCTCAGGAGAATATCACCAGTCCTTAGAAGTGGCGTTTCTGTTGATATTGAATTACCGGGGTGAAGCATCTTATGACCAGCCCATCAGCGAACGAACGCAAAACACCAATAAAAGGTGTCCACGTACCAAAGCCTGATACGCGTTCGCAAACTGTATGGCGAAATGCACAGTGCACAGGGAAAACAAGAAAACAGTGACGGAGACCATTATTTTGCTGACTGGTCCTCTTCGTATCCAGACCAGGACATACATCGCCATAAAGAACAGCACGACGTAGATGCCTAACGACAAAGTAGATTTAGACGGTATGTATAGCCAGGGTCACAGTGTACAGGCAGGGTGGGACACGTACCATAGAGAACAGCCTCTGTGATGAACCCAATGAAAGTGCCTTCATCAGCCGTGAAGCCTGGTCCCGGGGCAGTCTCGTTGGAAGCCATGTCGTTCAGAAACTGGGGAGTACAGCAGAAGGCAGAGGGGATGGCGGAGGCAGAGGCAGGTCGGAGGAGGAAGGGCTCGAAGCATGCTTGTCCGCGCGGGGACTCCGGCTATATGGACCAAATGCACGTTTCCTGAACGAGCAGGTGCAGCTAAACCTGGCGAGGTGATAACTAGCATCATCCCAACGGTGACAGGCCGTGCCCAGCGCATGCACTTCCGGGCGCTCCGGGCGTGGATGAATTCATTACTACCTTTGTGGTACTAGAAGATAGTTCACCAGCCATACGTCATTCACCAACACATCTACAGCCGAGCAGAGTTTTTTTCTTCTTCTTTTGGTCCAAAGCAAGCAGTTTGAGAGTCTTCAACGGTTAGGAGATGGGCCATGTCATAGTTCACTGGCCTTGATAAGTGTGCTGTTGCCGAGGAACCGCAAAATGTGCCCACTCGGAGGCTGGTCGGTTTAAACTCCGCAAGCATCCGTGTGCGAACGCGGCGACCTGTATTCGACCGACGCTTCACACGTCCCTCCTTCATTCGCCCCCCTTGTGCCCTCCCCGAGTCCATATTTGCCGAGAACTGACGCGCTGACGACCAGGGCGATCTCCTAGGTACTGCGACTGGGAAACTTCGTGGCGGCCCCCATTGTGTCCAACTGCTTCATTTTACCCAGAACGGGAAGGCTTGCTTGCCCAAGGGCCAGCCAGGTTCTACTATCACCTACCCCTCTGCGTTTTGCGCCCGAGTCCGATCATTTCGACCGCATGCTTTGCGACTCACGGGATGCAGGCATCAGAATCCGGCAACTCTTCGACTCAGTCATCCCCTTGTCTATCGGCGGTGGTTCGTGGTCAAATTGACGATGCACACAGTCGGGGGTGGATAAGTGCTCAGTACCTGGATTCACGGCTAATATTCTTCGCCTATCCCATATTCACTCCTCCTTGGCATCGTCAAATTCGACATCGACAAACATCCGCTGCTCGCTTCGAGAGGCTCGCTGCCCTCTGATACGACCTCAGGTTTGTGGGTCGCACCCAACTCTCTCATTTTCCCGGCATGCCAGGCTGCATTTTGTTCACCCAAATGACGCAATTCTTTCCTCGTATGCCATTCGCGACCATAGTGTTGTCGTACGCAGTCCGACCGAAGCGGGACAAGTGCTACTCCTTCTGCCGGAGGAAGACTGTACTTTGCGCGTAAGCAAATTCAATTTATTCAATCATGTCATGCCTCTGTAGTTCTCGGAGAGATATCTATGTTGCAATTGGTAAGTCTGGCACATTCTTGCGGCAGCCGTGCGTGATGATCGCTTTCTAAATCCAGCACTGATAACACCAGGGTTGCTAAATCAAGCCTTCTTCGCGCATTTCTTGTTGGGAGACTCTGTTGTTCAAAACGAGATACATGGAGTAACTGTACCAACATTATGCAGCGAGGTTAGTGGGCTACATGCAAACATCTTGAGTATGGCACTTTTGAACGACATGAACTTGTAACTGCCAAATATAAACTAACGCAATTCTTTTCCCTGATAGCACCTTGTCACGTACAGAGTAGTCCGTTGTGTTATGACTGATATAAGTGTCATTACAGTCGTCTCCTCGGCTCCAACTTTCTTAATGAACCCTGCCTACGGATACATCACCTCGTGTCTGCCTTCGCGAGTCAGAACAGCACCCAAACCCGTCACGCTGTTGCTTCCAAACTCAGGTTCTTGATACAAGGTATTCGTGGAAGACGCAAATGTGTTACTAGTGCCGTCCATACCCGGAGCCTGAGAGTGGTTGAACACAAGGTCGTCGGTTCCGTACGCAAGGCCTTCAGTGCGAGTACCAAAAGACGTTCCACGGACTTTACGGTCGTTGTATTGTCGCAAGTAAAGCAGCAGTCTCGCAGATAGCAACCCCGATACACTGATGGGCATATCAGAAAGTCCGTAAACGATCACCTTGATTACTACTCACGGTGTTGTCATAGCGTTCATGAACTTTCCTAGAAATGAGGTCACAGAAGTCTCGGTCGTCTCAGAAGTGGCCAAAACTTTGAAGTACATGTTATAATGTGAGTTTGGCTGCGCCACGGGGGTTTCCTGGGATTGATGTACGCATTAGAACTGTATTCTACCATAGATATGCAACGAGTACCCACAAAGTTTAACACCACAGCAGCGAGTGAAAATCCAAACACTCCGCTACGTTGTAACTTTCAGATGAACGGTATCGTTCCCGCATAAAATAATTACTAACAAGAAGTAAATAAGCCCTGAATAACGATTTAGCCCACACCGAGGTCATAAAGGTTACGACCTGACCTTCGCGTAACATAAACTGAAAAAGATTTTCATTATGCCGGCCCTTCTTTTGTTCTTTGTGCAGTTTTAACACTTGCAGGCAGCGTACAGCCGTCAGCAGTGTCCCAGTACACTCAAACGCGCAAACTATCATGGATAGCCCTGTGTTTGCACTCGAGAGTTGTTGGACGTTGGACGAAATTGTTCTTTTCGTGGAACTTACATGATAATAGTAGGAGACGGCGTTTCGTCGCATTTATCCCCAGTCGCATGCCACTTTTACTTGTTAGCTATGGTAATAATGAGATATATTCCAACCACTTACGAAATCAAATGCTATCGCTATCACCCATAATGCCCCCATAAAAGCGCCAATTCTTACGCTACGATCCCATACAGCGTATGTTCGCAATGCAAAAATTCCTTCACTCGATTTTAGTGGCTGGCAAACGGTGAAGGTAGGTAAAGCTCACCTAGGACAGAGCCAAGCCCCGCGATGCTCAAGTATGCGTCAAACTGGTACCATCCGGTGCAGCTATATATGGCCATTTACGTTGAGCTGAGGAGCGGACGTTATATATTTTGGACAACTGACTATGATACCAATTCGGCTCAGCTTACGATTTGATGAATCAATGATTAACTCACCTTATCAATTACGTTCGCCATAGAGAGCAGATAAAACAAGTTCGCGAGAAGCCCGTATCTACAAAAGAAGTAGAAAACGGTGGACAGCATGAACTTCTTTCGCCATATGTACTCCAACTCGAGTGGAAACGTAAGAATATAATCGTAATATAGCAATGCTAACCAACGAATGGACCGAGAATCGATTGGGGGTGAGGATTCAGAGCAAGCGACGGTTCTAGGCACTAGGGAGACTTACCCACGCTTGAATACTGTATGCAGAACTGAACGAATCTTGTCGGATGATAGCTATCTTCAGCCATACATCTGCGTCATACAACACCAAATGTGGCTTACTGAGAACTGACTTCGGTCGACATTGTTGTGTCTTTCAGGGAGGCTTGGGTGATCAAGACTGAAGATAAGGCTGGGACATCATGAATCAACTAGTTGCGTACTTATAACCCTCGTACGTCCTAACTTCTTCTTTGCGAAGAGTAGCTAAACATATCGACATTGGCCACGATCAAGAGCACCGACCAAGCTCCACAAACTCAATAGTCACATCTCCCGCATCAGGCTATGTTCTGATGGGAGGTGCCGAAAAGGTGCAAAGAACAGCGGTCGAGTCGAAGACGTGGGTTTAGTACAGAAATACGTACCTATGGGAACGTGTGGACCACGATCGTTTGTGTTCTTCTCAGAATATGAGCCTATGTCGGAACGTGTGTGGAGAAAACGAGGCGGCGACAAAAGCGTATATTGCTGTAGTGTATCCCACGTTTGGAAAATACAAGCGATCGTCGTTGAGGCGTCCAGAGGAATTGTGCTTGTAGTACAATTGCTTTTAGGACAAGGTCATAATGATGGCGAGGTATCGGCCTGGCTAACCGAACCTGTTTTACCCATGCTCATAGTGGGCACTACATGACAAGGGATAACACAGGTTACAGGAATATAAAACACAGAGCGCTCAATGCACCTGTCCTATAATCGAGTCCGCTATTCCTATGTCCACCTACACGGTACCGGTATAGCACCAATGACAAATACAGCAGTAAATTGATCAAGTAACAAGCTGGGATCCTTGTTGAGCGGGCTGAAGGCGTACTTGGCTTACCGGCTCGGTATAACTGGGATTGCGTCAAATGAAGCGTCGACATAAAGTTGCAGATAGAACGCTCATAGGTCGATTTATACGGTTGCACAGACTAGTACTTTGTTTTTGTAGCGATGGTATGATTTGTTCAAAAATCTTATCGAGTTTATTTATGCAGTCATCTTCACCTCAAAGAGCAAGTCATACATTTTACTTCATTGAGATACTGAAAATTTTGGCCAGTTGATGGACAGGTATGAGATCGGAAGCAATATTGTGATATAATGGATCGAAAGACCAGTGACATGCTTTCTATTAAATGAGAATGTCACTTTACACACGTATACGGATGCATGATTGCTCCTATAACGATGCTCAAGGGATTGCTAATATATTCTGTAAACTGGGGCGATAACAACAAAATCCCAAACTATTGGCAAACTTGAAACCAGAATACAAAGGCAACAACATCGAACGCTACACGGGGTAAACTACTATAACTAACTACGTGGGTGATATCATCGATACAAGGGATAGGCTACAACAAAGAGAGTAATACTAAGTAAACGAAGGCAAATATAGTAGGCGAGATTAACAAAATGTGTTATAGATAAACAAACTATGGGAGTATAAGCGTAGTGCGCGGCAGCCACGTCATAAGTTAGGGTATCGATCAGAGTCTGAGTCGTAATAATAGCGGACGCCTACTGCTGCACAGCAGCAGTTTCACTCAACACCCAACAGCCGAGGCTGAAGAGCCTCATCTTCGGTATAAACAGGATCCTCGGGTAGCTCGTCCTCCTTCCAGAAAGCGGAGACGAACTCGTGAGGGTCATCGGAAAGCGCAATGGGGCCGTCGTCGCCGGATGATACGTCATCTCCTGCATCTTCAAAGAATGGCTACGTTAGGCATCGTAGAATAAGATCGTGGTCACTGTCAGATGGCGCTTACCTCGACGAGTGGGAGGTTCCTCTGTGGTGCCCCAGAATGCAGGCGTTGGCGTTTCGGTGCGCTTTGCCGCATCTTGAAAAATGAGTCAGTAATATAACAAGATTGTGGGGCTCGTCGGGGCTCACAGTTAGACATGTCGCGTTCGAGAAGATTGTCAAGGCCAGCCCTGACGAGATTAACAGATGGTAAAGGAGCGCAATAGACGAGGATAGAGTTGATTAGAAGCGTGAAGGTAAACACAAGGAACGTAGAAGACCTCATGGTAGAATGAAGTATGGGTGTAGGATAATGGAGTACATCCCGAACGTGGCGGGTGCCTTCTTATACTCCATTCCTGGCAATCTGGGAACTGCGAGTATCGCCTTTACAGCAGGTACGCAAGCGGGACCGAGTCACGGTGAGTTAGCATGTGAGCCAGGGTGAGTGGCAAGTGTCATGGGCGGTGTAGTTGGTAATGCGCGGACGGCTGCGATTCGGAGAGACGGGGTCCAAAAGGATCGGCAGGGGTGACAATGGACGGCCCCGTCTGGCCCGAGGCGGGCGCGTACATAGGAATGAGGGGCATATGCGAGGAACGTGGAACGGACTGGTGATTCGAGCAGCGGAAATAGCTACCTGAAATGAAATGTGAAGGCTGTCGACTTGTATGCGATGACAGAGGGTAGGCGAGCTTCAGTAATCTGCGGGCTGTCGTGGCAGCGAGGTTCACGACTTGCCGAGCAGCCACCTCGTCGCCAGGGGGTGCATACACTGTCCTCGGCAGCATACCAGTCTAGCATCGTGTTTTACTTGACGAAAACTAAGTGAATGCCGGAAACCGTTTGTGAGCGCTGTCTCGGTGCGTGGTGATACCTCGCTTGTACCTCGTCTTGCATTGTTGGAGGCAGCGCAGTTGCTGAGGGAGAGAGATAGGAGCTAAACGTGCCGGGGTGAAACGAGACCAATGTGTCTGGTAGGCTGGGCAAGCAGTGAGCGGCGGGACCGAAGTCAGTGTCGGTAGGACCCATCAGATTAGACGCGGCGAGGGGAGAACCGCCACCGGTTGATGAGAACGTGGATTGGTGGCCGACGTCTAGCTCTCTCCGAGGATTTGTACCCCGAAATGTCGCAGGACTTTTGGACGACGTGCTTCTGGGCATGAGACCTGCGTAGCCGACGAGAAGACGCTCTGAAGTCAGCACTCAGAACTATCTACGGGAGCCTGTTTCCGAGCAACAACCCCGAGTGTATGCGGTGCCGCCTGGCGGGGCGCCACCCATCAATTGAGTTACCTGTGGCGGTCTGAACAGCCGAGTGATACTGATAGGTGGGTTACATGCTGAATACGCGCTCTTGAGATGAAGAGACCGTCACGACCGGTCGTGGGGAGACAAACTCGACAAACTCTCTGCGGGGGTCCAACGGCCATCGCTGTGCTCAGTGACGCGCTGATATCAAGTTACCGAGAAGAAGTCCGGAGTCCTGTACATGCCATCCCAGGCCTGCTATCCAAGTGTTGTGTAGCATACAGCTTAGAGCCAGATGGTTGTAGAATCTGCGCGTCGAGTTGTCGTGGAGAGAAAGAAACGCGGCGAATGCCGTCATGCTGTTATCACTAGGCGGCACTTGCACAGCCACTGCCCATACCCTCTCTTCCCTCCATGTCTGACGCACCTTCGACCGAGATCCATATTAATGTCAAAGGTGCGGCCCTCTGATTGCTTAGGATGACCGTAGAGGCTGAATCAGATGGCTGCACGTAGGCCCGAGCGAGCTCAAGCTCCAGATAACGATCGCCACGGACAAGACCGTCCTCGAGCTCAAGCAGGCCATCGCAGAAAAGTCAGACGTCGAGGCAGAGCGGCAGAGGCTTATCTATTCAGGTTACCCTCACTTCTTCTCCATCACCTTTTCTTCTTACTGACGCCTTCATCTTTCTGCTGTAGGACGAGTGCTCAAGGTACGTTCTCACTCGCTACTCGCTTCCTCGGCATGTGCTGATGCTTCATGCTGTATGGCTACAGGATGAAGATGCGCTCTCTGTGTACAAGATCCAGTCCTCGCATACCATTCACATGGTAAAGGGCGTCGCTCGCTCAGCCGGAGCCCCTTCCACAGCCCCAAGCGCGGGCGTCACCCAACCCACGCCCGCCCAACAGCTCCCCACGATGCAAACCGGGCAGAACCCGCACGACCCCCTAACCCAGCTCAACAGCCACCTCGGCTTCGGCGCGATGGGCTCATTCAACCCGTTCGCGGAGATGGGGCTCAACCCAAACGACCCGAACATGATGCAGACGATGATGAACTCGCCTCAATTCTTGCAGCAGATGTCGAGCGTCATGTCGAACCCCGCCGTGCTGGACCAGATCATCGCGTCGAACCCTCAGCTGGCGGCGATGGCGCCGCAGGTGCGGGAGGTATTTTCATCGGACAGGTTTAGGCAGATGATGTGCGTCTTTTCTTTTCCTTGACTTTTCTCCCTTGCCTCTGCTCTTGTTCCCATCATTTTACGCTCGCTATGGTTGTTTGCAAATGGACTGACCATTCCGTAGGTCGAATCCCGAGGCGCTTCGGACAATGATGCAGCTCTCCTCTATGATGCGCGGAGGCGAGGGCGGCGGTGCAGACCCGTTCGGCGGAGGGGCATTCGGCGGTGCGCCGGGCTTCCCCGCTCCAGGGGTTCCATCGACAGGCGCACCTGGCACACCCGGCTCGAACACGAATACCAACAACGCATCCTCGCCCTCGTCACCGTCCGCAGGAGGTCAGCAACCCAATCCGTTCGGATTCTTCCCGCCATTCGGCGCCGGCGCCGGAGGTGCTGGCACTGGTGCCGGTGCCGGTGCCGGCGGGCAGGGCGCATTCAACCCCTTTGACCCATCGAACCTCGCGCAAATGCAGCAGATCCTCGGTGGTTTGGGAGGTGGTGCGGGCGCTAGTGCGGGCGGCGCCGGCGGCCTTGGCGGTCTCGGTGGACTCGGTGGCTTCGGGTCACCACCGGCTGCACCAGCAGACTCGAGACCGCCTGAAGAGCGATTCCAGACTCAGCTCCAGGTGCGTGTGTCGATTGAGACTCAAATTGGGACGTGTATACTCATCGATATGACGCTACAGCAACTGCAAGATATGGGGTTCACGAACGCGTCCCAGAATGTGCGTGCGCTGCTTGCGACGGGCGGAAACGTGCATGCTGCGATAGAGTACATTCTTGGCGGTGGTGGATTGTAGGAGGATATTCTTGGTTGCGATGAGCGCTGTAAGTTATGGGATCGCACAGCAGCCAGCAGTAGACGACCGGTGTAAAAGTTGTAGTACATGATCAAAGACGCTTTTCTAGATATCTGGAGATCTCAGTCTGTCGGAATTCTCGGGGCTGTGTCCCGACGGAATGGGTGCCTTGGCTCGGCGGCAGTAAAAATAGACGCCTCCCTCAGCCAACGCCGAGATCCACTCTCTAACACAAAGGATTACAAGAGATTATTACAAGATACCTGATTAGATCGTGAAGGGCGTTGGCATCGACGGACTCCTCCTCTACAACGATTTCTTGCTGATCTTAAGTTTCTCTCCTAGGGAACGGGACGGGAAGGGCTAGTAAGAGAGTGGAAGGCCAGATACAACACCGCGGAGTAGCTAGCTAGATTCATTACATGTATTCCTCTTCGTCCGTGTCGTCGAAAGGCCAGTGCGCCTCGACCTGAGCCCGTTCCGCCTCCGACTCGGCCGCCGCCAATCCATCCTCCTTCAGCTTCCTGCTGCGTGCCATCGCCTCCTCGTAGTACTCGACGGGCACCCAGCCCTCCGGCCCGTGGCCGATCACGTCCCGGCACGCCTCCATAGACGCGTCTGCTTCTCTCTGCTCTTCATCCAGCTCCCTCGTCCCGCGTACGTCATCGGGGTCGAACACAACAGGACACGGCGCGTCTCCCCCCGTGAGCGTCTCCCAGTTTTCCGCTGCGTCTATCAGCCCAACCTTCAGCGAGAGTGTTTCGCCCTCCCACGGGGCACTGGCGTGGCGGAAAAGGCGGCGGCGGAACAGGCCTATGGGGTCCGCCAATGCCGCGTAATGAAGCTCGTTGTACTTCTCCGTGTTTTTGACGTAGTGGTAGTGGACGAGGCGGCAACGGTAGAGTTCCAGCTCTCCGCTTTGCTGTGTTATGCCCAATTTGTCCAAATTCTCCGGTGGCGAAGGCCGCGTCATACATTGCGGGCCAATATCATGGTTGTTCTGTAGCTGTTGGGGTATACCGGCAAGGAGAAATAGGGGTAGGATCGAGGTGTGTTGCCAGTCGATCAGGCCGACGACGTGCAAGTTAGAGTCGGGCGACCTGGAAACGATGATGTTGCTGGGCTGCAGGTCGGGGTGGCGGAGGCGGAAATGACAGAGGGCCGGGTTCCTAGGGATGAGTGACGGCGCGATGAGGAGGTAGCGTTCCAGGTTCTCGATATGATCCGACGGCGGCTGCTCCTTGTACTGGTAACCTTCCCTCCTTGCGCGCTGGAACGGCAACAGTGGTCGACCGAACTGTTTCAGATAAGCCAGTTCCTTGTCGGATCCTCTTATCAGCGCTGCTTCGGTACTTTGGTCTATGGTTATTAGTTAGTTTAAGGGAGTAAAAAAAGGCAGAGAGCAGCCTACACGGTCCTCGATCTACGTCGAGCCGAGCTCTCCTACCATACCACAGAGGCAGCCTTGTATCTGGACCAACGGAGAAACGCTCGTCCTCCAACGGGATGCCCAGGTTCCCGGTCATCTTCTCCAAGTCTTTTGAATAGTATAAACTTCCACCTGCCGGGAAAGCAATCGACATCATCTTCGACTCGAGCTCAGCGACTTGACGCGAGATTGAAATAATGTCCCTTTCCCCTAGGTCAAACCATATGTCGCTCAAGCTCGTACCTTGCACGAATTGCATAAAGATATACTCGGTCTCTGCCGCGTTGTCCGTCGACGCCGAGTATCCGTATACCTCAGGTATAGGCAGCCCAGAGGAACGGAGTAATGCCATAGTAGCGACCTCGCTAGCGACGGCGAATTTCTTCGGAATCGTGGCGGGGTATGGGATGCGTGCCACCATTTGGAAGTTATCGCGCATGGTGATGAGGAAGGTGCGGTTAAACCCACCCTCGGCGAGTTTTTTCAGGTCGACAATATCAGTAGGACTCCTATCGACGGATGCGGCTGCAAGTCGACGAAGTCCGTCGACGTTGAAGACATGTCTGCGCTCTGCGTGCCGAAGGGCATCGTTAACGCTAAAAACGTTGAATTACGAGTTACAAGATGCCCATTGAATAACATGGATGAGACTTACATCCACCGCCCAGATGTGTAGTTGAAAAGGTCGTTCTGAAGATGCGCTGTCATGGAGAACGCGCGACATGGAAGCCAGCGGGCCCGGATGGGGCTCGAGTAGGGAAAGGGAAAGGGACTCAGTGATGAGTGAGGACGGCGCAGAGACGGCGAGACTGAAACTGCCAGAAAGTCGAAGACGAGGCTCGCGCGCCCAAGACATGTCATGCCAATATAGTACGTGGAGTGTGGAAGAAGGGTAGCCCTACCTTCTTCCAATCGAAGGCTGAACGCTTTAGTTTATAGGAGCCAAAGTAGCAGGGGGGTTCGCGACAGGCTCTGGTGTGCTGTGATGCAGCTCTGTCGTCCAAGTAAACCATCATAAGTGCGAGTACAACTTGAAGCATGAAATTGTATTGGCTTGGTTCCAGCCAGTTCGCCAAATGCGGCAACATTAGACATGGGAAACCAACAGCTCACAGTAACAGAACTCAGACTCAGCCCCTCTCAGCCCCCACATTCCCTGACATTCATTTATCTCATCTTTCCAACTAAAGTCGAGTTAGCTGGCCAAGAATGGACATGGACGATGGGTGCGTCATCCAATTTCGCTTCCCAGGCACCATTCTGCTCCTCCGTCTTGGCATCGAACTCGCGTCAAGCTCGATATCGAAATGTCGATGGGACAGCACCACACTTTTGACAACTCGTACCTCATCCTACAATGGGCTCCAATCCGTCGGCTGCCCATGCGTTACTTAGCTCTGACATCTCTCTTTTGCACCGCAGCCGTTCGTCTGTCTACAGTCTCGCCACCTCGGCCCAGCACATCCTCCACCGACGCTCGCGTTCAGCCATGAGCACGAACCTCTCTCTTCCTTTTCCACAACCGTCGGCCTCGGGTGCACACAGCTTCACCGATCTTAACTCGAACATATCCCATGACGGCAGCTCCAAGAACCTCGCGTCAAACTATATCCCGTACAAGTTCTCTGCCTTTGGTTCGGGCCCTCGAAGGCGTAAAGGCGGGGCAAAGCTTCTTCTTGAGCCGGACTTGCCAAAGCAAGGTGGAGGGCGGGACGCTTTCAGAGCGGGTGAGGCCCGGATGCCGGCGGAAGGGGATGAGGACTACGATGGCGTTGATGGGGCCGTGTTTTGGGAAGGGAACACAAGGCGAGCGACCAAGAGTCGGCAACGGATGCGGTGGAACAAGTTCAAGTGGGCATTGTTCATCGCCAACCTCTGCGTGAGTCGTTGCGCTTCTGATAGCTCTGCTAATCTCAATCTCACCTCTGCCTCCAGCTCTCCGTCTATGCCCTCGGGGGCCTTATCGTTTGTATTCTTGTCTGGCTCGACACATTCACCAACGCTGAAGTTATCCGCGTCGGAAACACCCCCGAACTCGTGCTCTCCACCATCGCCTGCGTCCTCGGATGCATCACCTCCGTAATCGGGTGGGCCGGCATCCTGCTCAACAACCGCTCCTTCCTCGCCGTATACACCTTTCTCCTCTGGATCTGCTTCGCTTTCCTCGTCGCCCCAGGCTACGTCACGTACAAGAAACGCGCCTACGCGCTCGGCAGCAAGCTCGACCTGCAGTGGTCCCGCTACCTCGGCGCCGAGGGCCGTCTGCGCATCCAGAACAGGCTGCACTGCTGCGGCTACTTCTCCCCCTTTGCGGAGGCGACCGTGAGCGCGACGTGCTACGCGCGCACGGTCCTGCCCGGGTGCCGCGCGGCCTATCTTACGCTGGAGAGGAACGCGCTCGAGCTGTGGTACGCGCTCGTGTTCGGGCTTGTGCCGCTGCACATCGCGATCATCCTCGCGGGCCTGCTGTGCTCGAACCATGTGACGTACCGGTTCGGCAAGGGCATGATGCCCAAGGCGTACAGGCTCAGTCCGGCGACGATGGCGGTTATAATGGATAACTATGCAAAGTACGTCAGGTCTATGTTACAGTTCCTCGGCTTCTTTGCTGACAACTGTTATAGGCAACTGGCCGAGCAGTACGGCCCAGATGTGGCCTCTGATATCATCTCACGGTCGAGGCCCGATGACCTTCAGACGCAAACTATGATCAGCGCGAGCGATTTCCAGGACCTCCCCACCCCTCGTGTTCCGCCCTCTTCTATCTAACGTGCTGTTATCTCGTTAACTTATAATTGCTTATCCTAGCGCGTTTTCTCTGCATCATCGGATTGTATGACGTTACTCGTGTGTACCCTGTGCTTCAGGATAGTCCACTTAGGACAGTCCGTAGACCATATATTTGATACTGGCATCGCTCATAATTGTCCATACTGCCGCGATGACGCTGAACAGATTGCAGTGATGTTAAGATGGAGCGTTACACACCATTGAAAGCTGTCGACTTGACGTCGTCCATCTTTCTCTCCTTCCATCATCTACGAGGTTACTCCGTGATGTTTTCTTGTTACAGCTGCTCTAGCTTGCCTTGGGTTCATCGAACACGCTTACAGGCACCGCCAGCCTATCTTTAGATCTCCGCCGACGCACCATCTGCTTTCTCAGGTCACGATCACCACATCGCGATGGACTCGGTTCCCCAGCCATATTGATGTTCCAGCGTCTGGGCCTCTTGTTTCCTTTTCATCTTTTGTTAGCTATTCATTACTTAGAGCAGGCGATACAGTTCTCATATTCGATCCGCCGGGCCTGATCTGATCGAAACCTCTGGAGAATGGGTAACCGCCAGCATCCTTTGGATGTATACAAGGCTCTGGACGCTGCCCACACCTCAATAACAGGATCTAATCGCCACTAGCCGCTCGCCTGCTTCTTATAGAGGCCTTTCGTGCGCCCTCTGCGTGCAAGTTCGCGCGCATATATGGACACCGGGCCACCGAGCTGCTCGTCCGATTTGTAATCGCCTCAATTCGGTTCTCGGTTCCATCAGACGTGCAGCTCTTTCTAGGCGTGTTTTCTTCCATTCCGTGGATCTCTGCTGGCTCCCTTTAGCCGTGAAACTTCCGAGTTGTATAATCTATCTCTGGGCACAGGGGAGCGGAGTGCCAAGCTGAGGGCAAGGTTTGATTTTGGTCTCTGGTTCCACTGCCATCGGGAATCTCTCGCATGATACAGGTACTAAATGATTATGTATGTAGCATAGGCAGTCCCTCCTTTCGTCCCTCTTCCTTCTCTTTCCTCCGTCTGAACCTCTCTTGTCACTTCGTTTTAATTACTGTAGGGGACGATGGTTGCTGTGAAGGAGGGATCTACGCAGTGAGCCCTCACTCACTCACTCATGGCCTAGTTTTGCTTCTACTGACTCCTCCGTTTGCAAGGTTTGTTCAGTTTTGCATCCAGTTCTCCAGCCTAGGTGAGCTCCGTTTCGTACTCTTCAGCTACACAAGTATCCATCTCAATGCCATGACGCATTAGCATTGCTGTACTATGATTACATCTTAACCTTCCCACTCGAGCTGCAGTACATGTGGCGGAAGAAAGTGATGGTGTCGACGGTGCTCTACTGTTTCTGTCGATATGCCCTTCTCGCGAACTTGTTCTACCTCTTCGCAATCGAAAAAGTCGTGCAAAAGGTCTGTTATTGTATCCGAAAATGCTAAATGTTTGCTAATTTATCTGTCGCAGTTCGTCATGGCTTCTGTTCGTGAAGAATGAAACTAACGATAAATCAAAGCTGTAAAGGATGGTATCAGTTTGATGGCTATCTAAGTGTTTGCGGTCGTGGTGCTGTCCTGGGTATGTCGTTTGATTGTTGCTCCTATCATACACTTGCTCAGAATTAGTGAAGGTGTTTTCGCGGCGCGTACATATGTTGTCTGTAGCCAAAGCAAGCCCGTTCTCGCGATCATGGGCTTTTTGTGGATATCCGTTGTCGCACTAGACTTTGTGAGATTGTTGTTCTCCGTGTATGTTCTCGTTTGATGCTGATGATTAATAGTGGCATACTACCGGAGACAAATGCTCAGGAGCGACAGATCCAGACATGACTATGTGAGTTCTGCATTCGTGAAGTTATATGACGGTTTACTAACCATTATTTTCAGCGCCAATACTGCTTTATCAATCAGTATTTGCGTGTTCGAGTCTATCGGTACAGTCATCACAGCCATACGCTGCGTTCAAGCACGACGGGAGGTTTTGAAGAGTAAAAAATTATTTCTACAAGATAGCAATATCTTTGTTTTTCTGCTGCGTGAAGGTGAGATTCGTAACCGCCTCCATGCTTGGTGCTAAATTGTCGCAGGGTTTATTTACTTCTTGTGAGGGTTAATTCATCTTAAGCTGAGAACATATATCTGAACAAAAGTAGTGGCGTCTTCGGGTTTACGCTTGCTGCAGTGGTTTTGAACTTTGTGAGCGCATCCGATTTACTCACACAAAAACGTACTTAAACGCAGTCTAGGCAGCACCCGTAAGGAAATGTTGGTTACGACTAATCGCTTCATTAACGTACTTCGGCAGGCCGGCTTCAAGGGAAAACTCATAAACGCTTTGGTGCTGCCGTAAGTGGCGCAATCGATGAATCAACAACAACACTGGATATCTAACATGAAAATAGAGTCTCTGGAATCCTTTCTGCGCGACTCCTACTTTACCTGCGTCAGAACAAACACCATCGCGATCTGGCGATGCGAGGTAGCCAAAATCGCACACTCACGCGAGCCGATGGTGAAGATATCGGCGCGCTGGATGCGTTCCATGCAGCGACAATGGCAGGCTCGGACTTTACCAGAAGCGTGTTTGTTTCGTCGAATCCAGATGCATACGGGGAAGGCGAGTTCGGTGGAGATCCCGTCGCTGGCGTGCGCGAGGAGCTGACGGGTGGTGCCAATGGGGGCATTGAGGAGCGCAAGGAGTTCAAGGGATCTTCCCAAGGCAGCTCGTGGGATGATGGCGATCAGCTGAGAATTTCCGCTGAGCCCCGACAAAGGCAGGACGCAGCGGTGGGTCAGTCAGTCATACGTCCATGAGCCCGTGCCTCAGCTCGGCGGCAGCATTGAACGGTGGAAGGATTTGTTATGAAGAGAGGAAAAGCAGCGATGTAGGCTAACTTCAGTTCACTTTCAATACTGTAATAGATAGGAAGTAGAAGGTATATTAATTCGTGTATTTATTTTGGAGATTCCCGCATGTTTTATGACACATGCTAGTGTATCAAGGCTTCCGAATGTACCCTACAGCAGCAGTTTGCCTTCATACCCCGGTGCTAGTAACCTTGGTATGTTATCCACGTTGCCGCGATGATGCTGAATAGATTGTAGCGATGTTGAGATGGAGTGTTTTACAGAGCTAAAAGGGCTAATTTGGCGTGCGCCTCCTTGTTCTCGCACCATCAGCTAAGTGGCCGTCTTCCACTTTGTCTTAACCGCTGATATCGATATTGCACTCCTCTTTACGCTTTCTTGTCTCTCGCGGCTCTTGCTTAACTTGGGCTCACCGAACACGCTCACAGACAACTCACAGATACCGCCATCCTATCTTTAGATCTACCCCAACGAAGCTCCCGCTGCCTGTTCTTACACTGTTTCTTAGGTGACAATCACAACATCAAGAACCCAACATCAAACAGAAGCCAACCCAGCCTTTCGAGGCATGGCTGTGGCTGTGACGAAAATACCGTGGGTAGTGCGCTCCAACGAGCGTGTAAACAAGTGCTCGACACCTTCCCGAATAGCAAACATGAGCATGTGGACACCTCGTCATTTTAGGTTTGTTCGCTCCCTTATAAGTGGAAGTGGCGCCCGCCGTAGCTTTCAATTGGCTCCCTTGAGCCTTTGTGGTTACTTTTATTCGGCAAAGTGCGAAAAAAGGCCTCATGGGTGCACCTATTTTCTGCAGCCCCGTGAACCAGGCGAGTCACTCTTTCGGGTGCTGCTAGAAATCATCCCTTCATGACCCGGTGCGGTGTTTGATGGTCTTGTGGAAATTTCTGCCAACCAACGGAAATCATTCGTGAGACGACCCTGGCTTGAGTACGGCTGAACTGCTGTCCCCAAACCTTCTAACTTCGTCTCACAGGTCGCAAGCAAGGCCTGGCCGAGTTCACGTGCGCAAGTGTGAATTCTTTCCAGTGCTAGTAGATCACCGACGGAACCCCTTCTTTTCACCAATATTATCGGGGCTTCTATTCGCGCCCCACCTCAACTTTCTATTTTAACTCTATCGACTCCTCACCAACCTCAGTGGCGGTCAAAACCTCTCCTTCTTTACCGGGCGCTGGGTATGGCTCAGACTTGTACCATTCTGATATTACATCTGGCCTATGAGGATCTTGACCCAGCTATCCACGGCGCTTTGGCGATTCCCTGAATCTCGATGGCAGGCACTATTCGCTCGTCTGCTTCCCATCGGCGTCTTACAAATGCCCTCTACGTGCACATTCATGCGCATATATGTGCATCCGGCACCGACCTGGCCGTCCGATTTTGCAATAATCTCGATACGGTTTATGGTACCACAGTTCCATCAGGCGCAGCGCTCGTTATAGGCGCGTTCTATTCTGGAGGCAAGGCTCACTGTTGGCTCCTTTGCTCCGTCAGCCTGTTCAACTATGGAAACTCTCGCTTGGCGTCAGAGGCGGAGTGCCATCTAGGGCCAAGGTTTGATTCTGCTGTTTGTTTCCATTGCAGTATGATATAGACATGGCCACGAGATGTGATTAGATATATATGTAGGTAGCGCAGTGCGTAACTGCGGGCGCCTTCATCTTTGCCTCTCTCCCTTTCCCTTCGTCTCTTCGTACTTTCCTTCTTCACGGTCTCATCATTCATTCTCCAAGGTTCAAATGGTCGCGGTAAAGGAGGGATCTACGCAGTTAGTTATTTGCTTAAACGTATTCCAGCTGTGCTTTTACTGACCTCCGCCCACAAGATTCGTCCAGTTCTGCATTCAGTACTCTAGCCTGGGTGAGCTCCCTTTCTGTTCGTCACCAAATTAAGCACTCATGTCAGCACCCTCCATCGGCTCGCCCTTGATGACCGTAACGCTTCAGCGCTATTGTACTATGATTATATCCTCACGTTCCCGCTCGAGCTACAGTATATGTGGCGGAGTAAAGTGAAGATATCGACCGTGTTCTACTGGTTCTGCCGATATGCCCTTCTGGCAAACCTGTTCTACTTGTTTGCGATCGAGAAGGTTGTGGACAAGGCCAGTCATTGAAACCAAGCGTCCGAAGTCTTGGCTAATATTTCATTATAGTCAGCTTCTTCTAGTTCTTGTCGGTATGAAACATACTGATAGTGATTAAGTTGTAAAGGATGGTATCAGTTTGATGGCTACTTGAGCATTGCTGGTCGCGGCGCTGTTTTGGGTATGCTTCTAGGTTGCGTTCACCATTTCAAGTCCACTAAACGCTAGAGAAGGTGTTTTTGGGTTCCGTACATACGCCGTGTGGAATAAAAGCAAGCTCGTTTTAGCTGTGATGAGCTTTCTATGGGCAGTCGTCATCGCCTTAGATTTTGTGAGAAATTTTCTTTCAAAGATAATCTCGGTTGATACTGAGAAGTTTGTGAAGTGGCATACGACAGGAGACAAGTGTTCAGGCGGTACGGCTCCGGATATTGTCGTGTGAGTTCAGAATTTATTTATTTCTTATTTAACAACTTATCTATCTTTCTAGCGCTAATACTGCTCTGTCAATCGTCGTCTGCGTTTTTGAGTGTACTGGTACTGTTCTGTTAGGAATACGGTGTCTGAAGGCACGTAGAGCGTTCAAGAAAAGCAATCAATCGCGCCCGAACGACGATATCATGAGTTTCATGCTACGTGAAGGTAAAGATAATGTTTTCCTGTCTACGTTATGTACTGAACTATCTCAGGGCTTGTTTACTTCTTGTCAGTGCATAACGTTTCAGCTATGATTGTCATCTGATAAAAGGGCAGTGGTGTATTTGGGTTCACGTTTGCTGCGGTGGTCTTGAACTTCGTGAGTGTATTTAAGTTGATTCATCCGTTTGCATGCTAACCACAATGTAGGAAGCACCCGTACGGAACCTTTAGTTTTGACTACTGATTACGTTAACAGTATCTTGCAGACCGGTTTCTTGGGAAAACTTCTAAACGCTCTAACACTACCGTAAGTAGTCCATTTGGCAGGCCAAAATATCAGCCGCCCTAACAATATACATTCAGTGTATCTGGAATACTGTCCGCTAGGTTGCTACTTTACCTGCGTCAACACAACCACCGGCAGAAGGAGCTGGCAATGCGGGGCAGTCAAGCACGTACATTCACGAACGCTGACGGCGAAGAAATGGACGCGTTGCCCTCCTTCCATGCGGCGACGATGACAAGCTTGGATGGTACCAGGAGCATATTTGCGTCGTCAAACGCAGATACCTATGGAGAAGGCGAGTTTGGTGGGGACCCTGTTGCCGGCGTCCTTGCGGAGCTAGCGGGCGGCAAGAGCAGCGAGGGAAAGAAGGCCGAGGTCGGGGGATCTTCTCGAGACAGCTCGTACGATGGTGGCGATGAGCTGAATATTAACGTTGAGCCAAGGCAAAAGCAAGACGCGGAAATGGGTCAGCCACAACCACAAATGCGTGAGGTTAGGGGCGTCGAGTCGAAGGCCGGCTCAGCAGGAACCTCCCATGGAGCTGAAGGGAGTTCTGATAAACAGGGCAAGACCAGGGAAATTTAATTTAAATTAGCTAGTTCGAGGTTATTACTCTGTACTGTAAATCAAAGGGTTGTACCTTATTTACTTATGTATTTATTCCAAATGTTTTTAGACAACGGGTTCGGAAGCAGGCTCCTAACCAGACTCCTAACCAGTCGGTCAGACGTTTTGGTGACTTAGGAGTCTGGTTCGGAAGCAATAATCGGCGGTTTACCGTTATCTAGGCGTGATCGCGGTATTCGTATACGCACTTAAACTTACCTCCGATCTTTCCTCAACCAAAATCTTAGTGCGGGCGCTGCCATCCATCGCACTATCTCCTAGTCTCGTTAGTCCGCATCGCCCTCATATCTCTCTTAAACCCTCTGCTCACAACGGTGCAGGCAACTCACCACCTTTCATTCTGCCACCACGATGGTCCAAGTCAACAACAAGGTCTGCCTCATGTGTGTGAACATCTTCCTCCTTCCCTTGTAGCGAATTGCTGACCGCAATCCAGCGTCCATGATGGATGGGGTATCGCGCCTGAAGGTGAAGGCAATGCCATCAGCAAGGCTAACTCGCCAAACATGACTCGCCTTTCCGAGGAGTTCCCCTACCGCACGCTCGCTGCCCACGGAAACGCTGTCGGTCTCCCCGATGGTTTGATGGGCAACTCGGAAGTTGGGTATGTTTCCATCTCTCGCATCTCGTCGACCTGGCCATGATGTCAATCTAACTTGGACCAAAAGACATCTTAACATCGGCGCTGGTCGCATCGTGTGGCAGAGCATCGTGCGCATCGACCTGTCCATCAAGAACGACAAGCTCGGCAAAAAGCCCGGGAAGGACGTGGAGAGCTTCAAGAACAATGAGGGCATTCAGGCAGCCGTACAACGTGCGGCAAAGGGCAACGGCAGATTGCACCTTCTCGGACTGGTGCGTCAGTATCCGTTACGAATGAGGCATATATGCGCATATATGCCTCATCCCCAGGGGTCACAAGGCTTACAGCTGTGATTTCGACCGTAGATATCAGATGGCGGCGTTCACTCTAACATCGAGCACGTATACGCGCTCCTTGACGTTGCTCGCGAGGCAGGCGTCAAGGATACGTACGTCCACTTCTTTGGTGACGGTCGCGATACTGGCGAAAAGACCGGTCTTGGATTCCTCAAATCGTTACAGAAGCATTTTGCGGACAACAAGTACGGTACCCTCGCCACCGTCTCAGGTCGCTACTATGCCATGGATCGCGACAAGCGCTGGGAGCGCATTACACTTGCCATGAAGGCGCTCATCAACGGCGAGGGCGAGCAGAGCGACGATATCGTCAAGTCGTTTGAGACGCGGTACGCCAACTCGGAGAAGGAGGGTGCGAAGGGAGAAGACTACTCGGACGAGTTTATCAAGCCCACCGTGCTTAACAAGGAGGGTACGATTAAGGACGACGATACATTGTTCTTCTTTAACTTCCGTGCGGACCGCATGCGCCAGATCACGACGATCTTTGGCCAGGTCGAGGACCATATCCCCGAAGTCAAGATCCCCAAGAACCTCGTAAGCATACATTCGATACGTTTTGCGTCTGATTAGTTGCTGACATGTGGGCGAACGTATAGGACATTACCACTATGACTCCTTACAAGGCCGAGTTCCCCTTCCACGTCGCCTTCCGGCCGCACTCGATGGCCAACGTCCTCGCCGACTGGCTCTCGCAGAAGGGCGTCAAGCAGTCTCACATCGCCGAGACGGAAAAGTACGCTCACGTCACGTTCTTCTTCAACGGCGGTGTCGAGAAGCAATTCGCCGGGGAAGAGCGGCACATGATCCCGTCGCCCAAGGTCCCCACGTACCGCGACCAGCCGCCGATGAGCGCGGTCGAGGTAGCGCAGAAGGTCGCGACGGTCGTGCAGGCGGATACGCACGAGTTCGTGATGTGCAACTTTGCCCCGCCCGACATGGTCGGCCACACGGGCGACCTGGCGGCGGCCAAGGTAGCCATCGATGCAACGGACAAGGCGGTGCAGATTGTGTGGGAGGCGTGCGAGAAGGCGGGCTATGTGCTGCTCATCACCGCTGACCACGGTAATGCGGAGCAGATGAAGAATCCGGAGACCGGAGAGCCGCACACTGCCCATACGACGAATCCCGTGCCGTTTATCATGGCTGGCGCGGATAAGAAGTACTCGCTCGCAAAGGACGGAGAGGGTGAGGAGGAGAAGGAGGGTGCGCTCGCAGACGTTGCGCCGACGGTGTTGGCCCTGATGGGTATTTCGCAGCCGGATGGTGAGTGTTCTGGTTACTCGTCTGTACGCAGGGTGATGCTGACGATGTCGGCTTCAGAAATGAACGGGCACTCGCTCCTCAAGGCGGTGGCTTGAACGCAGGTTGATAGAGGTTCGAAGTAGTGTACACAACCCTTGTAGAATAACGACCATCCTCCACTTGATGAACACCTGTATAGATGCGTCGAGTGTTAGTGAAAAGGTTTGTGACAGTGGTCGCCCAGTGGTGGTCTTGGCACGAAACCAACTTGAACGTGGCCTAAAAGTGACCCATGATTTGACCGGATGCTGTGTCACGGAACGCGCTATGTCACTATGCGCGCTTGTGACTAACGCGTGCTGTGACTTCATTACCACAAGCATCCTCCTTTCCGCCCCCGGCTTGGCCATCCCAGCTCCTCATCCATGGCATTGGCAGAGATTGACGCAAGGCCATTTAAGCGCCAGCGTACCGACGAGGCGACTTGGAACTCGTCCCCTCTCACCCCACTTCCATCTTCAAGCCCTGCAAAGCCTCCACTCAGCCCGCTTCCACCTCACGCACTTCTCACGTGGCTACCCGGCATCTTCGTGCATACGCCAAATCATCGGCATCACACCCTTTCTCTTTCTCTTTCTCTTAGGTCTCTAAGAAGATGCCTTGCGCTCAAGGCTCTCACACCGGATGTAGAATGCTGGGCATGTACGGCGCTCGCGGAGGTCGGGATGAGAGTCATAGCAGGAGGATTTTCACAGCAGGAGGAGCATTTGTGGGCGAAAGGTGTCGAGTTGGAGGTGCGTTGAACCCGACTGTTTTGTAACCATCAGAGGCCAATGGTTATATACAGGTCGAGAAGGCTTTAGGGAAAGGGGTGAGCTCGACGCGTCCCCACTCAGAGTCCATGTGCTGATAGATCATCGCGTGTATAGTCATTGCTTGCTCAGAAGGTATGTTATATGCGCTTTGCAAGGCAACGAGACTAATTATCTCAACGTCTCGCCAGCACCCATCTCTTCGCGCATATCGTCACCACCTTAGTCTGCTCAGTGCACAATTCGCCCAATGGCAGCACAACTTCAAATTCGCGCGTTCCGTTCTCCGACGACTCATCTCATCATTCACTCCATCTGACCCGCCACATACCATTTATTCTGCGCATCTCGCGATTATCGACCAGCTCACTTGTGCGCCATCGCCGCAAGCGCAGGACTTGCATGCAGCGCTCGACGCTGTCAGTACACTGCAAACCCTCGGAACACAGAACAAACACCCTCACCTCGTATTGCTCGCGCATGTCATTAAGCTGCGTATATGCGTTGCGTTCCAACTGTGGGACCTCGTCCCAGAAGCCCTTGGGACGGTTGAGAGTGCACTCGGCTTAGTGTACCCAGCACCTTCTGCACCGGTGTCAAAATCGATTGCCCAAGCCCAAGGAGTGCAGAGGACAGACTCGGGCACGTCTTCAAATACGAGTGCGGGAGCAGGAGGTCCTTCGGCATCGCAGTCGCAGTCGCAGGCTCCAAATCCCAATATCTACATACATTTCGAGGACACGTTTGAGCTGGCTATGGTCCTGCATGTGCTGATTTTGGCGGTGATGTACTATACTCATCTTGGGGATGGCGGGGCATCATCATCACGTTTGTCGCATCTTCATGCCTTGATGGACTCGGGGGCGACAGACAAGTTTCCCGAAGGCATCATCGAGGTATGTCTCTGTATCTTGGACACATCCCGCGCATACGTCCACCGGTAATGAAGTTTGGTTGCTAAACCCCTTGCATTCACCAACTAGATCTCGCTCCCGGACTCGCGCCCGCTCGCCCTACACATTACGCACCCACGTACACTGTATGTGCTAACATTCCTTGTCAGCAGTACGTCAAAGCGTGACCCCGTTGGACGTAAACCAAAACGCAAGGTGTTTGCGACGGAAGGCCTTGGTGCGTGGAATCGAGAGGTCCTCAGAGAACTCAAACGTAAGTTCCCATTCTAGCAAGCTTGTCCGAAGAAGCTGACTCCGAATATGCGACGCAGTACCCGTGTGGGCGAGCGTCGACGATATCGGCGAGATTGACCAGCGACTTGTGAGGATCAAGGCGGACATGTTATCTGAGCTCGCAGCGGTAAGTCTCATTTCATCATTGTGCATGTTGCCTGAGTTATCTGAGAAGATCCAATCGCCATATCATAGGTGTCAATACAGCGTAGCGAATTCGACCTGGCTCAAGAGGTGAGTGTTCTTCTCTAGAGGAGACAAACGAGCTAACTGCGGCATATTAGACGCTCAACACGCTGATTGCGCATACACGAACATTCGACATCTTCAACAGCTACGCATCGCGCATAACCCTGCACCACGCACACCTCGCGCACGCCCTGGGGAATTTCTCGCGCGCGATCCGGTGTTACGAGGTGGCAGCACACCTAGAGCCTGAGCCTACCACCTACGTCGCTGTCGCCGCTCGCACGGGGGAGGTGCTCTTGCGCATAGGGCTTGCGGCCGCCAAGGGGAGTAGAAAGCTTGAAGAAAGTTTGAGGCAGAAAGCGGTTGCTGCTGCACGATCGTGCAAGGGCATGGGTGGGACGTTGGAGGCCATAGGGGAGGTTATAGAGGCCACACTAGCGTCGGAGATTCTGAAGTCCAAGTAAGTTCCCTATTGTCTACTCGCCCTGGACACTGGATTTCTGACTACGCTGAACAGGACTCACTTGAAGAACGCGCTAGCGCTGACCAAGAAATCGACGGATAACCACCTCCGCGCCCTCGTGCTCGCCCTCATCTCGGCGCACTATATGCATACAGCCCCTGATCACGCACAAGATTCACTTCTCTCAGCAGAGCAGCTCGCAGCAGGGCTTGGCGCCGCTCCTTCCAGGGATGCATCTGCGAATGGGCAAGATGCAGTGGGGAACGCTCCACTGCGATATTGGATCGGAGAGCGGCTGTTGGGTATGTGATGTCTCATCAACCTGCTCCTGCGCCGTACGATGTCTAATGGCTACCCTTGTCATATCTTACAGAGCTCTTCAAGCGTGCGGGTAAGGAGGGACGCGTGCAGCGGCAAACCGTCGCAAACGAACAACTGGCCAAGGAGGTCGAAAAAGTCGCTCAGATCGGCTCAGCATTCTTCACGCCATCGTGATAGGTGTATTCGGGTTGCTGGCACTGCATCGTTGTGTTTCTTGCTACAATTTTTTTCTTCTTGGGATCCGCCTTATCCACTATTGACATATCAGACTCCACCATCGGACTATCCATGCAGTACTTTTAGCCCAACACTTGCTCATTCGCATTCATTCCATACACCGTGACGCATCACTATGAATTATTAGACACCTACGATATTACTCAGCATAGATACATCAACGAGCACTATAATGATACAGCCGACTCGAACTTAGCAAGTGCAGCCCCAGCCAAAACGGTCACCAGGCGGCCTGATTATCTTCCACGAACCGCCTCACCTGCGCCCAATCGCCACCGCACCTGTGCACATCACCCACGCCAGAGGCGCCGAGATCCTTCTCGCCCTTGTGCTCCAGCACCGCCGAGTGCTCGAGAGTGATGTCCGCGCGGCACAGCAGGCCCTGCAGCAGAAACGGCAAACAATGCTCGACATGGCTCGCCGTGCCCATATCCATTCGAGCCGTCTGACGCCGACTCTCGTCTCCGCTTTCTACACGCTGATCATCGTGGTCGGAGATTATTGCCAACTCCGGCCTGTCCGATCCAGAGGTAGACGTGCGATTATCCCGCGCGTCGACGACCACCTTGCGCAGGACGTTGAGGCAGTGGAGCTGGTGGTACATGGAGACGGCGAACGTGCGGTTGTTGGGGCCCAGGCGGACACGGCCTTGGTGTGGCGGGACGGTGGCTGCCCATTGGGCGTCGTCTGTGAGGTCGAGGACGTTGCCCTTTATTTCCATGGCGGCGTCGGAGAGCTCGATAGGCAGCGTCCAAGGAATGTCGGTGCCTTCGTAGGCTGTGGAGCTTCATGTGAGTAATGGTGTTTCGCGGTAGGCTGAGTGCACATACAGTATTGCCGCGCAGGACGGGAAGTAGAGGAGGAGGGTACGCTAGAAACATGTAAAGCAGAGAACTGAAGGAAAGCTATCCATAGGTTAAGTGCAGTGAGAGGAACTACCAGAGCCCATAGATAACGACGGCCGATGGGCGTCATCAGCGAAAAAGAAAGCGAAGGGGAGAACGGGAACTAGAGGCTGTCATACTTATCCTTTGATCTATGGTGGAGGCACAGGAACAGCGGCGGTACAAGAATGAATAAACAGGTACACGTCCAATGCGGGATCCTGTGTACACCATCAGCTTTGGTTTTTGAATCTTGATGACGGCCACATAAATAGTTAGCGGATCGATGGTGGAACTGAGAGCGTTCTCAGCATAGTGTACTTATTTATAGAAGAGATATCCAAAACATAATGAGAAGTTAGTTGGAGTGGTATTTCACTGCGAAGGCGTGTCGGATCAAGGGTTGTGAGCTCATCATCCAAGGGGATCATTAGCTCAGTGACGTTAAACAGCGAGCGATATAAGTTTATCGTACAAGTCCATTCTGTTAGATCAGTATTACACTCATACCGTTGAGGACGTTCACGGGTACTCGACTCCCGCTGCCTTCATGACGTCCGCTACCTCAGCATCTAGCGAACATAGTCAACACATTATGGAAGGAATTTGCGCAGTAAACTCACGGTCCATGGTATGCTGCATCCGATACGCGAACTCGCAGGAGCGACCTGACATATGTTCAGCGATAGGGGCAGATATTGGGAGCGACTGACAGGACCTTTGAAGACGAATTCTCCGCCAAGCTGGGAAGGCGGACCTTGTTTTCCGACTAGTGACGGGTTTTTGAGAGGGCCACGCTACGAAAGGAGGGTTAACAACAAACATGGAAAGACCTGGAGGAAATATTACTTACCCATATGCTCGTAACGGTGGTCATGAACAAGCCCTGCTTCAAGTAGCTCTTCTTCTGTTCGCCCGAAGGTGTCGTGGCCAGATTTTCTAGGTCCATACCCAGTGCCCGGAAAAGTGTGCGACTGGGATCGGCGTAGAGGGGACCTTGGTAGCCAGTCTCAGCTTGAAGTATGGTGAGCCTATAGTGTAGGAAGAGTAGTGGAGATACGGTACCTTTGTAATGGGCGATTGGCTGCCAATCACCACAGCCAATGACGACTATTCTGGCAGATGCATTCTTGAGCGCGTCTTCACGAACGTTGACTATATCTCGAACATAATCCTATGTATCGACCATATAAGTTAATGGGACAATCTTCAATGATAGATTATTGACATGCCTGGCAAGACTGTAAATGGGACAGGAATCAGCACTAGACGTCAAGAGATCTACAACCAGGGAGACTTTACCCCGCAGAAAAAGTGCCCTGAATGGGGATGTTATCGGGAAGTGCGACATTGTTAGGATGACGTACGAATGAAGACGACGACTGTAGTTTCATCATCGGAGAGGATGCTGCCAAACGAGACAGGTTTCCCTTCGGCGTCGAGGATCTCCAAGCTATTGGCTTTGTCCAAAGCTTCTTGTGTGGGGAGGTTGGACTTTTCAGACATGATGACGAGGGTGAAGCTGGGGAAAACGGAGACAGATGATGGTTGAAGCGAAGATGGGCGCAGGTGTCATATGTACTAAGGAAGTGTTGCCGTAAAACGTCCGAAAGCCCCCTCGAGTCGCGTGGCTGTACAACACTTATACCGCGTCGTGCCTCCTATACGCAACTCACCTCCTTACTCAAACCCACTAGCATCTTAGGCCAGCCCCTTTGACATGTCAGTCAGTCGAATCCCAGGAGAATATGGCGAAAAAGCGTCCAACCTCGAGAATGTGCCCCCAACGCTGCAGCGCGCGATCATGCGCCTCGACTTTCCGCCCTCCTATGTTGGCGTCGGCATCTACCGCCTCTGCACCGACCGTGCGCTGAGAGTCGCCGCCTGGGACAAATGCAAGCACGGCGCTCGAAGGGGCGCTCTCGTTGGGTTTGTCTGGGTCCGTGCTCATCGTGCGCTGCTTTCTGGTTCACGTGCAAACAACATTGATCGCTGCCGCAGACATGCCTGACGTATCCCATCCAAAGGCGTTTCGTCCAGCTCGCGCTTACCCACCCCGGCTCGATATTCTCCTTTTCGTACCTCACTCGGCTTTCCGCAAAGGCGAGCGACATCTCAGAGGAGACACTCTTGGGTTACAGGCTACCTTTTAGCATCTCCTCATGTGAGTCCGCAGTCCTTCATACGTAGTGCACCGACATCTGAACTCCGTACCTACGAACACCCTTGCAGACGTCGCCGTTCTATTCCTCGGCGCACAGGTAACGACTATCATCCACTTCTTCCTCGCCAAGAACATCCGGGTCGCCCGGCAGCGCGCATGGGACCAGACCGTCGCGTCCCGCGGCAAGGGCCCCGACTTCTGGCAACCCTACGTCGAGGAGTGGGAGTTCCCGCCGATGGTGAACGAGAAGCGCTGGGGCCGGCTCGACACGATAGCCAAGACGTGGTTCTGGAAGCTCATCGTTCAGAAAGGTACGTGTCCGAGTCCACGCGCAGCAAGCTGCGGATAGGGGTCTGACTGACGAGTCGTCTCAAGTGGTGCTGCTCCCGCTTAGTTTGTACCCTTTCGTCGGGAACTTTATCGCTGCCGGATTCAAGGCGTTAAGCACTGCTGAATATCTCCATACACCCGTACGCCCTCCCCTTGTCCTTTCATGTTACCCTACGACTAAGTGTATCCGGAACGCGTCTAGTACTTCAAAGCCAAGAACATGACGCCTCACCAAGTCGCTGTTTTCATCGAGGAGCGCAAGTGGGACTACAGAGGTATGTCCTGGATATTACATCTATTCCGCACTCTCTCATGTCGATGTTACTAGCTTTTGGATTTGCTGCTGCGTTACTGGAAGGTCTGCCTATCGTCGGTCTGTTCTTTTCCGTGTCCAACCGGATTGGCGCCGCCATGTGGGCACACGGTAAGTCTCTGTTTAACCCTGCACATATATTCACTCACCCGCCGTCGCACCCAGACCTCGAGAAGCGCCAGCATTGGATCGCCGAGCAGCGTTTGCATGCACAGGGTGCCAACGGCGCGGACGCAGAATACGTCACGACCACAGACAAGAAGGTCGACTAGGGTTTTGTTAGCTAGCGTAGATTCAAGAACATTCTGTATCATTCAAAACAAGGCTATTGCAATGTATAAACCCCCGATTACAAACTTTAACTAAGATACACATAACGTGATGTACAGAAAATCTAGGACAAGTAGTATGTACGCAAGAGCAAACAGGAAAAGGAGACGACCAAAGCAGGAGAACATCTAAGATCTATGTCTTCTTTTTCTTGTTCGACTTCTTGGCTGCGGGTGGTGGCGGAGGCGACGGTGACCTCGACTTTTCAGGTTTCTCAGCGACCTCTTCAATGCCGCGTTTCTATCGACGAGCAGACCACGACTTAGTTCACCGCCAACCCAAACGACGATGAAGAGCTCACCTTGCCCCGACTACCGCCCTTTGTCTTCACCTCCTCCTGCGCCTTCTGCTCCGCCTCCTTCTCAATCATGCCCAGCAGCGTATTGCACCTCCGCTGCAGCTCCTGCGGACTACGGCTCTTGAAGAACCAGTCGAACCGAAACACGGGGAACTCGCTGATATCGCGCTTGATCCGCTCGTACACGTCCTCGGTCTGCATCCCGTAGTGGTTCAGCCGCACAAGCAGGTAGCGGTCCTCTTCCTCGCTGTACACCTTGCCCTTCGTCGTCGGGTAGTTGAGCTCGAGCTCCTGCATCGGGTACGAGACCGACGAGATCTTGCGCGCGAGGAGCGATTCGAGGTTGGAGCGCTTGTTGCGCTTGGCTTCGCCTTCGGCGATGCGGGCAGCTATACGCGGGTACTCTACGAATCAAAGTCAGTAAGCGTAGTCTAGCGCGAAAAAAAATAAGGTCATAGGCAACATACCAGACAGCTCCTTCCAGTGCTTTTTGAAGTACTGGTAGTACTCCTTGACCTCCTCGGGACCTTTATCCTGAATCTCCGACGCAAGCAGATCAAAGTCCTCCGTCCAGCCGTAGCTCTCCAACGAGCGCACGAATTGCTGGAAGTCGCGTCGACTCCAGTCGCTGAACCCCTCTTCCATATACTGCTCCTTCAGTGCCTGCTCATCTTCCGTCAGGGGCTCTGCACTGTCGATGAACTCTTGCGCCGCAGCTCGTTCGGCCTCGAGCTTCTCAGGAGTGTCCTCCTCAGTCTGAGGTTCTCTCAACGTAGCAGTGATACCATTCGTCCGCTAGAGCAGTTTGAGTATCAGACCACCAGGAGAAGTCTGAGGACGTGACGAACCTTGTGTGCCGCAAGCTCACGTTCTTGCAGCTGCGCGAGGGCAGGGTTGAAGAACTGGAAGTCTTGTCTACATGACGCCGTCAGACTCAATGCTAAATCACGCTCGCCGAGAGCGAAGGTACTTACATCGCGATCTGCTTCGGTGCACGTGGTATCTTAGGCGCCTTCTCGGTCTTCTGTTGGCCCGCCCGGAGGGTGTCCTTGAAGTAGTTGTCAACTGAGTAGTTTGTCTTGCGTTCTCGCTTCGAAAGCGACAACATGTTGAAGTTTAGTGCCTTTTTCTAGATTCGGCCAAAATCGTCAGCCCCGGGTAGCATGGAGGACGACTGTTGACTTACGCCTGCACGGAAGTCCTCGCCCTCCCACTGCTGGACGGAGTTGTCGGACTTAAAGTTGCTCAGGTCCTCAAGATTAAGTCCCTCGTACTTGCTGTTCAGTTCTTGCGTACGCTCTTCGCCGCGTTGGACGATGGCCTCGATGTCGTCGTCAAGGAAAGACGTACTCCTAACCAACTAAGTGAGCTGCCTCGCTCAAGTATATATGTCATGCGGAGCCGACTTACGCCTGGTCGGAGTTGATGATTTTCTCCGCGCCTTGAGTAATCATCTCCAAAAGCTCATCCTTGCTAGCGGCTGCGGGACGAAACATGAGCAGACACGACGAGTTGACGACATGTGACTTACCCTTCGACTGCTGCTGACGTCCTTGCTGAATGACGAGCTGGTCAAGACGTAGCTTTTGAGCCGCTCGCTCAAGCATCCGTTCCTCGACGGTGTCTTCTGTGATGAACCGGAACACATAAACCTGCTTCGTCTGACCGATACGGTGCGCCCGGTCCATCGCCTGCAGGTCGGCTTGAGGGTTCCTATAACACACAAGTCAAGCAATGCTAGAGAGATGTCAAATAAGGGACATACCAGTCGCTATCGTACAGAATGACGATATCGGCCGACGTCAAGTTGATACCAAGGCCACCAGCGCGCGTCGTCAGCAAGAAGAGGAACTTCTCACTGTCCGGTTTGTTGTACTCGTCGATAGCGACGATACGGTCATCGTGCGCGGTACCTCCATCAATACGACAATACTCTGAAGAATGAAACACGACATCAATAACCAGAAGTCGTCAGTCAAGCGAGTGAGCGACGCACTGTAACCGCGGAAGAGCGAATAATCTTCGAGAATGTCAAGAACACGGCTCATCTGACTGAAGATGAGCACGCGAGAGCCCTTCTCCTTGAGCGACTTGAGCAATTTGTCGAGGATAGCCATCTTGCCACAATTCTGGATGAGGTGTTCGTCGGTCGTATACGGTGGGCCAGGCTCCGCGCCGTCGAAGAGATACGGGTGACAGGAGACTTTCCGAAGCTATGATAGGAGGGTGAGTAACCGGCACACATAACCTGTAGGGGATCCGGCATACCTGCATGACCATGTTCATAAGCCGCGTCTTGCCCTCCTTCTTACCCGTAAGACCTAGCCGAACCATAAGATGCAGACCTCGGCGACAAGGAGAATGAACCTACCATTTACGGCGTCGATGTCCTTCTCGAGAACAGACCGGTACCACTTCCGCTGCATCTCAGTCAGCCCGACGTAGATGTTGATTTCCTTCTCTGGAAAGCGACGTCAGAGTATGTCATAGCAGAAGCCCGTCGAAAACGTACTGGGAAGCAAGTTCTTCTCGACGTCTGCCTTGACACGCCGCAGCAAGAACGGCCTTAAGATCTTATGCAGGGCCTCGACAACCTTCCGGCTCTTATCTTCCTCGTTCTCCGCGCCCTCGTCGCCCTGGTGCAGGAAACTGTCGAGGTCCGCATAATCTGTGAAGATCTCGGGGCAAATGAAGTTTAGGAGCGCGAAGAGCTCCTTGAGGTTGTTCTGGAGCGGTGTGCCCGTAATGAGCAAACGACCACGGGAGATGAACGACCGGACGATCTGGGACAAAATGGAATCGACGTTCTTAATACGATGAGCTTCGTCGATGACAATATACTCGAAGGAGAACTTCTTGAGGGCAGACTTCTCGATGAGACAAATCTCATACGACGTGATGCAGACGTCAAAATCTTGCGGGATGAGACGGTTGGCGATGATCTCCGCACGCTCTTCTTTGGAACCGGTGAGGACCACGATATTCACGTCCGGCGTCCAGTTGTTGAACTCGCGTGCCCAGTTCTGAAGCGTCGACTTGGGAACGACGATAAGGTGGGGACCGGCAGTGTTGCGGTGGTGCCGGAGGTAGCCGAGGAACGAGATGGTTTGAAGGGTTTTACCGAGACCCTGCACGAGTCGTGAGGACGACGTTAGCTCGGAGGAGCATATGACATACCATCTCATCAGCGAGGATACCGTTTAAGCCGTTGTGGTGGAGGGAGACCATCCAGTTGAGGCCTTGCAGTTGGTATGCCCGCATGGTACCGTGGATATCTGGATACGGTCAGAACGTAGTGACTCGATGAGTATACATCAACTTACAGCTCGGCGACTCTTCAAATACGAAGGGTTGGTCATCTCCATCCGCAGCGAGCTCTCCGTCTTTCAGCATCTCCTCATCCTCTTCCTTCTCCGACTTGCGATGCCGCGTGCTTTGGTCACTGGAACCCCGTAAGTGAGTATATGCGCTGACGCGGTTTAAAAAGAGCTTACGTCGCCTTTTTCCGCCCTCTGCCCTTGGGTTTGGGCTGCGCGTCCAGGAGGGCAGCATACTGGGGATCGCGTGCTTTCTGTAGGCTTGGCTGAGGACTTGACTCAGGGGGTAATTAGCAGGAAACGAACCTTGACATCAACGAAGTGCTTGAAAAGGTCCGTTTGACCGAGAAGGTACGAGTAGCGTTTCACGGCATCGGTGATCTAGAGTAAATGAGTGCCACAGTCGAAGCTCGTATATGCAGTCAGTGTACCTTCGCCTTGTCCATCACCTGCCGCTTGGCGTGTAGTTGGTCTTCATCAGCCCGCCGCTTTTGCTTCTTTTGTTGGCGTTGAGCGGATTGTTGAGCTTTAGCAACTTTGGCAGGGGACTGCGCGCTTGTTCCAGGTGCCTACACGAATGGAAGTTAGAGAACGTTTGGTGGAGGGAACAGAGAATATGTTGTGCACACCTGGTCATCATTGTCGTCCTGTAGTTCATCCTCCTCCATGCTCGCGCCATCCTCAATATACTCCTCTTCTCCATCATCCGCTCCTTCACTTTGCTGTGTTTGAGTCCGTTAACCTTGTTCCACTGGCGAGTGACCCGCGTGTCGGGCCGAGGGCGAACGTACCTGGCGAGAGACGATGTTGCTGGGAACGACGTCGCTGAGAATGTCCTCTTCTACTGCGATGGGTGCCAAGTCCTGTTGCATGTCGTGAGCGAGAGGGGTGAGGACAGAGAGTGGGTGTGCTTACCGCCATGTCTGCGCGTTCTGCTGGTGGGTGGAGGAAAGGGACGGGCGTGACGTTACGTGACTGTGACCTGACGCGAAAAACGCATCCCGCGCGTTCCGCCCGGTCACCAACCTCAACAGCTCCTGAGACGCGCATACACGCGTATCGATGTCCCACTGGCTACTCCCTTCTGAATTTACTGCAACGGTTGCTGAAATCCTTATCTTCCATCCTTCCGAACACAAGCGTGATTCAACAAACAACTCGCCGTGTTTGGCAGAGCACATAAGGGCGACAGCGTCGTTATCTAGGCCATTCAAGTTCTCGGTCGGCTGGAGAAGCTGGCCGAATCAAATGATCTCAATGGTCGGCCATAAATAATTCATTATTCTACTGGCTTCGACACATAACGAAGAGAGCTCTGGCCCGCCCATCTTGGCAGTTTCCGCCTCCGTCGCGATCATGCACTCGAACCAACCCTGCCTGTCACCCCAAGTTCATTTCGCAACAGGAAGGGCGCCCATGAATCGGGGCCAGCGCGGATCCTAGATGACACCCATTTCAGGGGACTCACTGGTCGTGTTCTGTTCTATCCTTTGCGTCCTTTCATCAGACTTCGGTGGCAATCTAACTCGAAACATCCATGGCATGCTTACAGAGAGGTCAGACGACTCGGGCCCGCGAGCCGCGATGCTGAACTTCGTGCCTCATTTTGTCAGTGCGCCGTAACGAAGACGCCGTCGGGTGTTACGTTCTTTCCGATGCTCGTCCCTACAAGGGATAGAAATCCTGTCAAAGGAATGTATTGCGTTAGCCGTGCCTGGTCAGTGCTTCTCGCGACCTTGGCTCGACACTTAAGCAGACCGGGTCGATGTCCGACTTCCCGCTCGTCTTCTCCCTCTTTCAACATTTGACTCTTCTCTTGGAGGTTATCTCGCTCTTTTTACGACTACAGGCATGGTTGATGTTCCCGCCACTTATGGTGCTCTCTTGTTGGGTGGTCTGATAGCTACTGGGTGAGTGCAATCAATATTTACATCCAGCATCGAAGGGCCCTGACGAACATATAGCATGACAGGGATTGTTACGGTTCAATCCTTCGTTTACCTCAAGACATACCCTGACGATTCCGTCATGACACAGAGCACAGTGAGTGAGCCGGTTTACTATCCATAACCTGCTTCCTAATAGGTCGACATTCAGGTCGCTGCGGTGTGGTGAGTGTTATGAAGAGCGTTGTTGATGTACGATGCGCGCTTACACTTGGGTCGCCCAAGGATCCTCGACTGGTGCCACACGGGCCTTGTATTTGCGTCGCTATGGACTTTTCTTATCAAATACTTCGGGGACCCATCTCACATCAACATCATCCCATGGTAAGTAATCGCGATTCAATATTCGTTCATGCCTCTGATGCCGTACATAAAAGGCCTGTAGCAGTAAGCAAATACCTTTATGGTCGAGATTGATATTCGTATTACTAAATCGACAATAGCTGACCGTGGCTTTTACGGCACGTCCTGCGTCTCATCCGATCCCACGTATATTGACGTTTAATGTTGCATAGGCGGTCCTCACCTTCATTGTTCATAGGTGTGTACGCAACTTCAGTGCTCCTAATCGCTCGCTAACACACGCACAGCTTCTTTGCCCTTCGTATATATAAGTGTAAGTCGCCTCGATATTGGTTTTTGTAATTGTATTAATAATCACACCAGTGAGTTACCAGAACTGGCGGATCACTGCAATCATTGTGAGCATAGTTGTCCCCTGTCTGTACTCTTGAGATCGTTGACCAGTACTCAGCTGGTGTTCGCATTCTTGCGACTATGTGAGCGTCTTTTATTCAAAGAATCTTTCAATATGCTGATCGTAGGTTTTAGGCTCCGCTGCTGGTGAGATTCTCAACGTGTTCTTGTACCTTGTTCATTAACGCCGCTTCAGTCACCACAGCAGAGATGTATGTAATGAGGCCCTTCGTTTCGTACTTGGGACGGATGCTGATGAGCTTACCAGGATCCACATGGAAACTTTCGATCAGTTCAGGCTCCATTTTCGCGTGAGTATATCTACCCTTTCCGCTATGAGTGGGCGGATTCTGACCTTTGGTAGTGGGTCTTCACCTTGGGCCTCGCTCTCTCATCGTTTGTCGACGTTCTCATCACCGCTTTTCTCTGCATGTCACTGCAAAAAAGTAGTCACCGAGGCGTATCTCAGTAAGTAAGCATCCGCTGTGCAGGCGCACGTCTCACCGTAATCCAACCGATAGCATGGACCGCGTCATCACGTCCATCATACTTTACACAGTCGAGAATGGACTAGTGACCAGGTATGAGCTCTGCCGTATATGCAATGGCTTCTTTTGACCTTGGTTTCTTAGTGCGACCACTGTCACTTCGATGATATGCGTACGTACCATCAGACTCTTGAGAAAACATGGATAACATCTTCGTTCAGTGGCTTGTCATGCCGACAAACCTCATCTTCATGGGTCTTCACTTCGTTATTGGCAAATGTGAGTCATATGCTTGACACTTTGAAGATTGTCTGTTTTGCTAATGTTGACTAGTCTACGCGTGCTCGTTACTCGCAACGTAAGTCGTTGTTGTCTCATGTTCCTATGATGTTCTCATTCGGACGTTTTCCGCTCCAGGTTGAATGCCCGGAAAGAGCTCCAGAACAAACACAATTCACGCGGGTTTTCTGTAGGATTCCCCGTGAACTTCCCAGCGACAAAGTCGAGGGCCCGAGAGCCTATCATTGTAAGCTTACACGTGTCGTGCAGGTACGCTCACTAATCGTTTCATTGATGATAGCCCAACCGCGATCAGATTACCACCAGGGTCAGTTTGAGGTCGTACTTCACCATAAGTCTTGTTGAACTAAAGAGACCCTAGCTCGAGATCAGCGTGGAGAAGACAGTCGAGTACAACGTCGACTCGGACAATATTGCTCAAACACCAAGTCGCTCTGTCACGCCTTCCACTCTTTGTCCAAGCCCTACGCCGCTGAGACATTCTCACTTCATTGATCCTACGTTACCGCTTAACAATGCTGTTTAATGATTCTGGGTTTCCGAGATGCTCATCGGACTCATCTATCGCATCTGGTGTCTTATGCTCACTTCATCCCTATGTACATTTTTTTCGGTTGAAACAATTGTGTATTATAGATTTCTTGGACTTGTGTTACGCTATAGCTATTAAAGTGATCAATATGGCATACTTGGATATAATCGAAGTGGTGGTCGGCGTAACTGGAGAGGGGGCTAGTAAGGTGTAACTAGGATGGTGCTTTGCAAGAAGTCCTCGTCTTCTGGGTTTCTACGTCCACTTTTACCCGGACTGCGTTTTCCAAAAGTGCTGTCACATCCGCCATGGGGTCACCACCGAATTCTCCGGTGCCATGTGGAATAGGATCAGAACGCGACACGAAAATGCTGACTACGCCATTGGCGGGTTCACTCTCCATAGTGGCAGCATGGAAAGTTGACAGCGCAATCGCATCATCGTCGTCCATGAAGGCGTCCGTACGTGGGCGGCCACCCTGCAGTGCCCACGTTTCTTGCCGGCTGCTCTGCTGTCGGAGGTAGAGGAGTAATCTAGCCGAAAGAATTCCTGATACTCTACTCAACAGGTTGGGACGCCTAGACTATCAACGTGGATTGAAGCTTTGCTTACGGTAGCGTCAAAGCATTCAGAAACTTTCCCAAGGTCGCAGCGTCTGGAGTGTCGGAAGCCAGCGACGATGCAGACAAGTACAAGTTAGATTGCCATTCTGGCGCTTGCTAGATGAAGTTCAGAGTCATATCCAGGCGTGCTAATAACACTGCTCACGAAGTTGAGCACGACAGCGGTGAAGGTGAATCCAATGACAACACTACCATCCTGGCTTCAGACGGGCGATTATAGGGAGGGAGGGCGGCACCCACAAGAAGTAAATTAGTCCTGTTGCGAATTAGTATATGCATGTATCATGCGCGTTTCTCTCACCTTCACGTAACATAAAGTCGAATATGCCATCTTTCTGAGGTCCTTGAGCGTACAGCTTGTACATTTGGCGAGCCTTCAGGCATCGCATAGTGGTCAATAGTGTCCCGACACACTCAAAGACGCAGTTTGCTACTGCAAGTGACGTATTCGCGCTATTTGGCCCCGATACTGTCAAGAGCGGTTACGCAGGTCGAAAATGGCGGGCGTACATGATGGTGCTCGCTGAATCTGTTCCCTGGCATTTGTCTCCAGTTACATGCCACTGTCGAATTGATCATCTGAATCAGTGAATCGGCCGCCACGATTCCGGAAAATCTCACGAAGTCGAACGCCATAGTGATGATCCACAGCGTACCCATGATCGCCGCTATAAATTTGCTGCGGTCCCACACGGCATACGTACGGAACGCGAATACACCTAGATTGTTTCAGTATACGCATCGGTAAGTACTATCTATGAATAATCGAGACGCACCTAGGACAGCAGCTCGGCCTGCAATACTCAGGTATCCATCGAACTGATACCACCCAGTGCAGCTATTTTTGCGTGTGAGCCATAAGTTACCATGTCGATATGGAGAACGAACTGTGTGACGAGATGTTAGTCATGATTTGTCACATTAAGCGTCAAATAATAGCGAAACCTGCTAACCTTATTGACGACATTGGCAATCACAAGCAGGTAGAACAGGTTCGCAAGGAGTGCATACCGACAGAACCAGTACAGCACGGTGGAGATCATCACTTTCTTCCGCCACATGTACTTCACCTCCAGCGGAAAGGTGAGGATATAGTCATAATACAGTAGCGCTGCGGTTCAGAAATCGGCGGTGAGAACAGGCTCTAAACGGTCAATAGGCAATTGCAACGGGCAATACGCTCACCTAGGCTAGAGTATTGTATGCAGAACTGTGCGAACCTTGCCAAATGAAGAATCCATGAGCCTTCGCAGTAAGCTATAGATGAAATGAGGAACTCGCTGAGTGGATTGCTGGTTCGCTGCGGCCATCCAGCTGTCGACGTACGACTCGTACAAGGGGCGTGGACGTGAAGAGGAGAGTAGAAGAAGCAGGCCCCAAGATGAAACACGCTCTCACCACGAAGGCTTCCCAGCTCGGTACCTTGTTACGTGTTTGAGCGCTGAATTCGAAGGCGATGACCGTGCAAGAGGCTAGTGCTTATGGGTCAAACTGTTTACGAACCCCGAACTTATACCGTCAGCGTCCAATATTAATCCATTCAGACGTGAAAAACGTGCGTATCGATGTGCCCTTCCGACTTACTAATGCGAGTGAGCAGAACGCGTACACAGTAGATATTTGAACACCGCTGGGACACGATAGTTGATCAGTACTACTGTACTTTTTCGACCTTAGGTTCGGTCCCCTGTCCACCCCCCCTCACGAACCGAACTTAAGGGTGGAGGACAGTCCCCCAAAAAGTCAGGCTTCGAACTTAGATGGGGGGACACACTGTAAAATGTTGAAAAAATCCCTTAAAATATGCCAATAAAACCAAATAATGCTAAAACTCGAAAATCTTCTAAGCAGCTGCTATATCTTCTGTAAGACTTGGAGCAGGTGATGTTCAAAACATACAATGCAGATATGTGGGGTGAGACACTGGTGGCAACAACAGGGACATGTCAAACTCAAGGCCAAACTCTTATGTCGAGCACAGAACTCACAGGTACAGACCTAAATGTAAGTGGGAGCGAGGAGAGATTATCATATGTAGTCAGGATGATGTATGCGCGTACTTGAGCACCACGAGATGAATATCGACAGCGGGATTAACATTAATAACGGGCAGTCTCAGTGAGCCAGTATGCGGAGCTCTGGAGCGGCCATGAGTCCATCGTCTTTGTGGATTGGTGTTGGGGCCGCTGCTGAGATCAATGCTGATGTTGAGTGTTCCATAAGCCCTCAGATGTGCTTTTATCGCCTTGGTAGCTTGTCGAGGACTCTGGTCCAAGGTCTGAAGTATGTATATGAGCACGAACAGGCACGAACTAGCTGTCCACCCTCGGTTTGGCCCCCCGAACCTATAGGGGGGGACAGACGGTTATGGAAGGTGCGTTCAATCTCCGACTTCCCACGCCACCGCGAACTTAAGGTCGAAAAAGTACAGTATGTGGCGTTAACGTTCAACCTTGGCATCGACAGCATGTGCCCGGGCTTTGCAGGGTTTTGCCTACTAGTGCGGTGTGGACCCATGTGGTTTGATCCGAAACGTGATCTGACTAAGGCAGGAACCTGGATATTCTGGATAGCCTACGGGGAAAAGCGGCCGATAAGAACATCAGGCGGAACTAGTGAAAAGGATTACCTGGACGATGCCAACCACTGAATGCATCCCATGCGTTCCATTTGATTCAGCAATCCCGGATAATCTGAGATGCCTCTGATTGTATGACTTTGAATGTTGTCTCATTTTTACCTTCAAGAGGTATAACAATGCTATGCCAACGTACGCTCTTCGCCTCAAACACTGCATGTATTTTACGTCCTCGTTTCTGGTATTGTTGGTAACAATCTAGCTTGCTCTACTTCTACCCGCACGCGAGCCACAGGATCTCCTCCGAATTCTCCCCGGCCTGCACAACCATCCGACCTCGAAGTGCTAGTTATGCTTTCGCTAATACGAAATCTTGCAAAAACAGGAGCAGAAATTGATACGTTTGTATCAATGTCTTCTGCGACGTTCCCTCGAGTCATTCCCGAGTCCAACCGTCTAGCTTCGCGCCGTAGATGCAACAAAAGCCGTGCTGTCAACAATCCAGATAAACTAACATCAAACCGCCATAAGCCAGGTGTTATGTGGTATGTATCAAAAGACTTACGGTAATGTTACAGCATTGAGAAGTCTTGCCAAATATACGGGATCTGAAGAACCCGTATCCATACTGGCAAAGTTTAGAGCGACGGCACATGTTTCCAGACCAAAAACCCCACTAGAGACTCATCAGTAACACGGCTAATAGAATGGAGTGAAAGAGCCCGCACATGAAATACATGACTCCTGAAAAGCGCAGAGCTGAGCGATAACTAACAAATGCGTGTCCAACACTTACCTTCTCTCACTAATAGCCCCAAAAGGGACTCTCCCTTGAGAGGTTTAATGTATCTTCCGCGAATAAAGTGAGCTTGTAAGTAGCGAATAACGGTAAGAGTCATCCCCATGCCCTCAAAAGAGACCACAGCAATGGAAACAGCGGCATTGGCGCTGTACATCATGGCATTGAGTGTTCAATCAGTTCATTGATAACTGCACTTACACGGCTATATCTGACGAAACGGTTCCATCGCAATTATCCCCGGTTACGTGCCACTGGTGTTATTTTAATGTACACCCAAAGACAAAAACACCATGTTAATTGGCTTACAAAGTCCAGGGATGTAGTAATGGTCCACATCACTCCCATCATAATTGCAATTATCCTGCTTCCGTTCCACACTGCATATGTACGGATTGCAAGGGATACTAAATGGAGACTTAGAACACAAGGACAACAACCAAACAAGTTACAAACTTGCACACCTAGAACAGCTGCACGTCCAGCAATGCTTAAGTATCCTGCTACTTGATACACTGCTGTGCAGCTGAATGCGGGTTTGATCAGCATGTATAATAGGCTATAGTGACAACATACTGTATAGTGGGTGTCAGAGTTTCTTCAGTCTAAACGAATTCCCGAGTATCAAAATACCTTATCAATCACCCCCACGATTGCAAGGAGATAAATCAGGTTTGCCAGTAGGGCATACCTGCATAACCAGTATAGAATGGTCGAGAGTATTACTCCATTTTGCCACATGTACTGCATTTCTAATGGGAAAGTAATGGCATAATCATAGTAAAGCAGGGCTGCAATGGCAAGATAAGTCGATTCAACTGAAAACGCTAGGCATGGAACTGCCCACATATTAGGACTTACCGAGGCTTGAGTATTGTATGCACAACCTGGAGAATCTTGAGCGTAATGACCTTCTGTTGAGCAAAGCACTTTCTGGACGGGATGACGTTATGACTCACTCTGAAGTTGACATGTCTGACCCTTTGCTGCTGCCTGACGTGGAGTCGCTTATATCCTCCAGTTGCTGTATAGGTTATCAAGGCAGTGCATTCATTAGGTATAGTAACGGTCTCCACTAAAGTTTCAAGAGTCTCTAGCCAACATATTTTCGGAATCGTTATGGGCTGTGGCACAGGTCTCTGATGCTGAAACCGTCGTGTATGATCATCACAGGTCCGAATATGAAAGTATGAATTATGAAGCGCTCGAAGACTATGGTACTATGATCGAATCTGTCTAGAGATGAGGTCGAAGTAATGAAGATAAGCGTTTACATACTTGCTAATCTTGAACGGATTAATTACTTATGTGTCGTACTGTACTTTTCTTTCAATTATCCTAGCTACAATATCACAGCTCAGCTGAGATATTATCGCATCTGTATCATCCGTAGAATCATTACAGTGCCTCAAGGCTACCCAATCACGACCATGTTCACTCTATACTGCCTCTGCATCCGGCCTCGGTCGACGCTCTTCAGTGATTATCAGCGAATCGTCATCTTGGCAAGGGAGCCTTCGTGAGGACACCGTTTCCTCTGGCATATCTTTACGTCCTACGGACATCTCCGGGTGCCCGACACGAACACTGGCCACGGGGTCGCCTCCGAATTCGCCGTCGGCGTATGTGTGGGAATTAGTGGGTACAAAGATACTTTGAATTCTGTCGTTGCTTTGCATTATGCCGTCATACTCTGGTGATGCATTTGAGCCGGCTTCTTGATGAACAACTATGGTCGTATTAACGTGATTTGGGCTTCCACGGCTATGCTTCATTGCCCACTCCTGTTGATGGTGGTTATACTGACGAAGATAGAGCAAAAGCCTTGCAGCCATTATACCGGATACACTGAAAGGTGTCGTTGGAGACCTGTCAGCTGCAGGCGAGGTGTCTGGTATAGGTTAAACCCACGGTAGGTTTAGCGCATTCAGAAGCTTTTTCATAAACCCTATCTATGAAGGATCATGAATATAATCATCATCGAAACGGGTGGTTCTCGTACAGGAGCTACCTGTATAAGCATGAACCCAGATTAATATGTGAGGAAACAGAGCATGCTCACAAAGTTGAGAAGAATTGTAGCCAAGGAGAATCCAAAGACACCACTACGGTAGTGTTGGGACAGAGAAAATGAGCATAGCGAGACTAACACGTACAAGAAATATATTGATCCTATATGGAGTCAGCGAAGGCAAACCCAGAAAAACTCTAGCTCACCCTCACGCAGCATAAAATGAAGAATGTTATCATCCGTAAAAGCGCGATCGTGCTTCTTGTATAATTGCATCGCTTGCATGCAACGTATTGTGGTAAACAAGGCTCCAGCGCACTCAAGGACGGCAACCAAAACGGACAATGCTGTGCTAGCGCTGTTGGACGTAAGATCATTATCATCTGCATCGGCCGTATCCTCACTCACATCACAATATTTGGGGGTACCAGCTCTCCGCACGTCGTGCCTGTGGTATGCCACTGTATCCACAAAGCATCAGGATGTTTTCACACTCGGAGTTGACAAGGGCGGATTCTTACGAAGTCGAATGCAACAATTAATATCCACAGGATACCCATTACGAGTAGGATAACCCTACTCCTGTCGCATACTGCGTAGGTACGGGCCACCAAGACACCTGAAATTACGGATTCAGAACGATGGGAGTTTACAGGTCCAAAAACATGTACCCAAAATGGACGCACGCCCAGCTATGCTTAGGTACCCATCGAATTGGTACCAAACCTTACAGCTTCGAATGATGTTAGCTTATCACTCGATAGCGTCCCCATAGACGTACTGCACAGAATCATCTTCAGCATACATTGGTCAATTATATCGGATTGATTACGCACCTTGTTTACAGCGTTGGAGATGGCAAGAAGGTAAAATAGATTGGCTAAAAGAGCATACCGACAAAACCAGTAGAGAATGGTAGATAGCATCACCCTTTTACGCCACATATACTGCAGCTCAAGCGGAAAGGTGAGGAGATAATCGTAATATAGTAGTGCTGCAGTAGATATATCAGTAGGTTTCTGACCATCGTGGCGAGAAAACTCACTTAGGCTGGCGCATTGTATGCAGAATTGCACAAACCTTGTATGAATGCATACGTCAGAAAGATTGCACGGAAGAGGAAACATGACACTTACTCCGAGTCGTCGCTGGCCTCCTGTGGCGTGGTCATAATAGCGTGGTTTGCAGAGATGGGAGGCTGATCATGGCCATGGTCTATTAAGAAGAAGAATCGACCTCTAAGAATAGGCAGATGGAGACATATACGCTATTGTTTGATGGTTACGACCAACATGATAATACGAAACAGTGGCGAGTATTTGCTTTCAGGCAGTGCCTTTTGCATATCCAACATCGCAACATGGGACAGCTTGAGCGCGTCAAGAGCTTTTAATCTTTGGATTCAGGTTGGGAAACGTAAACTAACGCACTAGACGGTAACGACATGATCATCGCGTCGATGAAAGGCAATGAAAGGCATCTTTGGGAGACAGGGTAAAAAGTCGAGAGATGAGTCTATCTTCGTTGCTGATGGTCGCCTTAGATGTGGGTCTTCATTCCCTACATGCTCCATACTTAATGAGATAAGGAAATGTTTTTTCCACAAGTCTGATCGAGGGAACAAAAGGCGATGAGCAAAGACGTCGACATCACGGAAGACAAAGGCAGTGTGTGTGATCCGAGAAGATTGAGCGCCGGGCGTGGATCTTGTATAGCCACGGGTCTACTCTTGTGTTTGAGTAGTCGGAAGCTGCATGCGTTTGTGTCGTCATATCCTCCCTCGGTGTAATGTATGACTTTCCTCAGGTCCGTGGGTAGGGTGAGTTGTATCGGGAGATGTTGTCTCCGAACATTCGTGATAATGACGATAGACACTCAATATCAATCATTATACTTCTATATTTTCGGCATATCCTGTATCTGTGAAAAAACGAACGCGCGAGATACGGAAAATGGCTTGGGTATGTTTTTGAGGAATGTGGGAAAATGGGGCTGTGCAGTTAGCCGGATCTTGTCAACGCCCTTACCAACGCCCAACTAGCGACACTCCCATTCATGCCTCTGCTACTGCTATCCTCGTCCGCGCAGAACAATGATAATCTAATCAACTCATAATACCAGCCTACGCTAGCTGTTGCCCGCTTTGCTCTCTCCAGGTCCATCCAATGGGACAATCGACTATCTTTGGCTGGAGGCGTTTACGTGCGTCGTGATACGAGACATTGATGGCTGGCGGTGTACACTGGTGGGTTCCGAACTATGTACAGTACTTATCTCGCGCTCTGTCCTCCTGCCTTTTCCATTCACTCAACTATGGAGACCGCAAAGGAGTATACACCCGTGTCGCAGGACGACGTAGAAGAAGACTCGCTCCTCCCCTCCAGCGAAGCACCTTTGCGTTCAGAAGGCAAACCCCAGTCACGTATAGCAGCATGGACGCCGTATATCTTTTCCGCTCTCCTCTTCATCAACCTCGTCCTCGCTATCATCATTGCCGTGTCAAGCCATCGTCTTTCGTCGTTGATTGAGAAGCAGCGCACGGAAGTAGCAGTCGCCAACCTGCCTAGACCTGATCCTTTAGTGGGGCTGCCGGGGCATCCTACTCCACCATGGTCGTGTACGAGTTACAGTACTCTCCGTTACTTGAGCTGACGTGTCTTTGGTCTAGCATTTGAGAATTGATATGTACTGGCTAGTGCATGGCCAAAGGCTTACAGCGGCACCCCTTGCGTGGTCGTTTTTTAGGCTGTACGACTGCCAGGATGTGCGAAGCTGTGAATAAGCTAGGTCTAGTTGCATCAAAATCATGATGCTGTTGCCTTTGTTGCTATGCGAGCTGTACGAATCCTTGTTGCGCCGGTGGTGCTGCGTGATGATCGCACGAACGCAGCTTTGATAACACAGCATGTTCAAACAAGACTTAACAATTCGGAGCTGCGTGCTTCCTTTATCAGTTTACTTCTCAAGAGGGCCCATATTGAGGCATTGCAATCAGGCGCGAGGCACCGCCAGGGCTATACACCGCGCGTGTCTGCGTACCCAGAAAATTTCTTGATCCAAGGCACAATGTAGCTAACCTACAGCACATAAACCGATTTTCAGGGAAGGATTCTCGACGCAGACTCCATCGTATCATCCGAACCAACCTTTGGACGGTTTCGGCCCTCTTCGTTTCTTCAAGGGCCTTCAGGAGGAATCGACACTTATGGCACGGCAACGATTTGGCACCTGGAGATCTCCGATTGAAGCTTCTGATCTGGCCACGCTAGTAAGTGGACACAGCTACAACTTTCGCTATCCATCCAATTAACGCACTGGGGTTAGGGGACTACTGTCGACAACATTCTAGTCGACCCAGCTGATGGCGAGGTGTACATTATCGAAGAACGTCCCGCTGAAGGTACATGAGTTTGAGCTATCTTCGTTACTAACTTGCTAAACCCGACCCGATTCGCATGTTACGATACAGGAGGCCGCAATGAAGTTGTGCACCTAGCATCCCACAAAGACGTTCTTGGCCAAGCCTGGAACGCGCGCTCGAGGGTGCACGAATACGGAGGAGCGTCTGCGCTCGCATACGATGGTTTCATCTACTTCTCTCATGTGCTGGATGGGTGCATATATCGACATTCCAAGTCGGAGATCGTTCCAGTTACCACAGGTATGTGGAGATTCGCCTTGTTCATGTAGCTGATACTGACAATGCCGCGGGACTGATCAGAAAATCCTAACCTGCGCTACGCTGACTTCGCGATCCATCCCGTGCACAAGCACCTCTTGGTGTGCATAAAGGAAGACCACACGAACGATGCACCCACGGACGTGAAGAACAGTCTGATTCTCGTTGACACCCGCGATCAGCGCAGTCACGGTCTCGTCTCCGGCGCTGACTTCTATTCATACCCGCGGTTCAGCTCCGATGGACAATTTCTAGCATGGCGGCAATGGTATGCATCGGGTCCATCACCCCTTTGAATGGGCTACGCCGCATGCACGCTCACTATTCTTGTCCCATCTCGACAGGAACCATCCAGACATGCCCTGGGAAGCGAGTGAAGTCTACGTCGCAGCGTGCCAGGTCCATCAAGACGGCATCACGCTCTCGAGTTCTATAATTGTAGCTGGGAAGTGCGGCAAGGACGTCGCGACTGAACCATTGTGGATCTCTGCTCATCAGCTTCTCGTGGTGTCAGACATCAGCGGGTACCTCAACCCCTATCTCGCCACTGTTTCATGCTCGAAATCACAAATGGATGTTGGTGCTGTGCACGTTGAGACCGAGCCGCTGTTCCACGACGGGATGGAAGAGGATTTCGGCGAGCCGTCGTGGATGCTTGGATGGTCGAGCTATGCCGCCCTCGACGAGAATCATGTCGTTCTTACAAGCTTTAGAAGTGGCAGGGCTCAGATCTACGTATACGACCTGCGCAGCAAGGCGTCCGAAGAAATCAACACGCCTTTCGCGGTTATCCAATACGTCCATTCTCTCAAGAACGGCAAAGTCGTCTTCTTGGGGAAGGCGTCCGACCGAGAGCCCGCCGTGGTCGAATTCGATGGGACGGTGTTCAAGCCTCTCACTAAATCGAAGGACCCGCTTTACTCCGTGGGCTACATCTCGCAACCGCAGCCTATGTCTCCTGCCGATGAAACTGGGAACACGTACCATGCGATCCTCTATGGGCCAACAAACCCGTCGTACGAAGGGGGTGAGGGCGACGAGCGTCCACCAGCCGTAGTGTATGTTCACGGCGGTCCGACGTGGCTCACAGATCAGGCACTTGACTGGAAGAAGCAGTACTTTACCTCCAGGGGGTGGGCTTGGTGAGTTTATCCACCGAGATTGGCATCTAATAAGACGACTTATTGACAACATAAATAGGGTCGATGTGAATTATGGCGGATCCTCTGGCTACGGAAAAGCTTACAGGTGGACTTAATCTGACCATCTAGCATTCTTACGAATATTGATAACCCGCATATATACTTTAGAGAACGCCTCAAAGGCCGATGGGGAGTCCTGGACATAACCGACACGGTCACTGCGGTCCATCTCCTGGCCTCTCAAGGGATCATTGACGGCAAGCGCACCGTCATCCGCGGGCAGAGCGCAGGCGGTTTCACTACTCTTGGTGCCGTCTCCACTTTCCCTGACGCATTCGCTGCCGGTGGTTCCCTGTACGGCGTTTCCGACCTACGCAAGCTGAATGCAATGACGCACAAGTTCGAGAAGTACTTTTGCGAGACACTCGTTGGCGGGCTTCCTGAAGAGATCCCACAAGTGTGGAAGGAGAGGAGCCCAATTTCGAAGGCGGATAGGATTAAGGCTCCTTTGTTGGTAAGTGATATGCCTCCTGGACGCGCCAAATTGACTGATGATGCATGTATCAGATCATGCAAGGGTCTCTCGATCGTGTTGTTCCACCAAAGCAAGCAGAGGAGATTGTTCGTATAATTCAAGCCAAAGGAGGGAAGGTAAGGTATGTCGTTATGGAAGATGAAGGGCACGGGTGGAAGAAGTCAAAGAACATTCAACGTGCATTAGAGGAGGAGCTAATTTTCTACGAGGAAGTGTTCGGTTTCATATGATCAGTCAATGATGTAACGTATAAGTGAGCTATCCAGCAAGAGTGAGCTCAGAATTCTCGGATGGGCCACGGGTCGTCCTCCCACTCTGCATAGTTGTCCATTACATATCGCCTGACCTGCGTCCAGTCCCTACATTCATGCAAAATCCCATCCGATGACGTCCCCTCCACCACGCTCCCATCCAGGAGCGTCCAATTCCCAAGCACCTCCAGCGACGTATCCGCATTACAAGTCACTGTCTGCCTCAAGTAATCGAAACAATGCTCTGCATGCTTAAACTCGCCCTGCGCTCTCAGAGTTCCGATCAGTGCGGGATCCTGCGCGACGATGACGGCGCGCCTAATCGCGTTGATGCAGTGCATCTGGTGGTACATCGACACCGCAAATGGGCGGCCCTGAGGGCCGAGTCGGACCCAACCATGCCGTCCGCGAGGGATGATAGTCGCCCAGTTGGAGGACTCGTGCACCCCGTAGGATTCGTGGATTTTGAACTCGAGCGAGGCTTTATGGAAGGGGAAGGGGACTTCATTGGGGTAGTCGGACCCTGTCCAGGCTTGCAACAGAGACGAGTCGATGAAGTTCTCAGTGATATGATGGAGGGACACATACAGTACTGTGGCCCTCTTAGTGCTGTCTGGACAGCTTGTAGACTTGCGAGGTTGAATATTGTCAAGATTACGAGGAGTGTACAGCCGATTGGGTCAGTTTTCGACGAGCGAAGTAGCCAGAGTAACATGGCAGGCAGTCGGGTTTGCGGGTGGAAAGGTATCGACAATAGAGAAAGCGAGCAGAGCACCGAGCGCAGTACGGTGAGCTCAAGAAAACCCCACTAGCAGCCAAATATGCAGGAGTATTTCCAATAGATACTGCCTCAGCTAGTACCGCCCCAGCAAGCCGCCCACACTTGTCGCGAAGGTGTGGAAAAGCAGAGTCTAATGGGCAGTGGTGATCGGTGCATTGTCGCTAAAAGCATACGGCCTTTAGCCAAGTCCGCTCGTAAACTTATCCCATAGCCAAATGCGATAGCGAGTTTTTTCCTGGATAAATAGAACTTTCAAACGTTGACGGCGATCAGAGCCTGAGCTGAGTAGGACTTGAGGCAACGCGGCGGGAAAAGGTTGAGGATAGCCCCTGAGTCACATTTGGTCATGTTTGCAGCTTCTGATTCAGGGCAGGCAGTCAATACGCTAAAACACGCTGCTAGGCTGTTCCTGTTCCTTGCAACCCCACACATCACAATATTGCACTGGCACCGTCCTGTCTATTCATCGCTGTGGAACGAAGTAGCGCGTTAATTTTGCTCGTGAAGATCAATGGCATCCCCCAGCCAGTTTCGATGGCATGCATTCAACACCACTCGTCATAAACCATCTGGTTCGAAAGCGTGCCATTGGCTCCTAGCGAGCACAACGAGAACTCACAGTCTACCTGATCTTCATTCAGCTTATAATTAGGCATGATCCGCTCTCGGAAGCAGAGCGTACAGCAAGTTTGACGATCACTCCAGCGCGCGTCAGTAATACAGCCGAATTCACAACCTAATGGAACGAATAATTATAGTGGGCTTCTCGCATTACCATCTAGGACAATGTGCACAATTGGACACAAACAGGGCAAGCACATAAAGAGTCAGCTGCCGTACTTCCTAGAATTCATTGCCTATTCCCACCTTTATAAAGTGCAGTAATATGTTTTTCTCCAAACCAGCACTCATCACACTCGCCACTGCCGGGATGGCTATGGCAGCCGCATTCGCAAACTCTCACAATGCCGGTGTTCAAAGGTAAGACCTAGTCATCTCTGATCTTTTGTTGAAGGGCTTGCATCGCTTATGTGCTCTTCTTGGGTAGGCGGGACATGCTGAGGTGAGGATCCGGCCTCTTTATCTCCGCGAAGAAGCGACTAATATGAAACAGACAAGAGATCGAGAAGAAAGGTTTGCGCAATGTAGCCTTTGGAACATCAGGCACTAAATCTGCATCTAGGAGTGTCCTCTTTCTGGCGCGATGACGAACAGCCCACAGATGAAGTTGAGCGACGAGGTGCGTTGAAGCTTTACCAAAGCTACATTGATACTTCGCTGAGATTTGTCCTCATATTAGCTATGGGGCTCACAGGTCAGAAGTCACGTATTACTCATGTAAAGATTAACAAACACTTATGGTAGGATCCTCATTCTGGGCTTCCACCGAGGAGCCGGCTGAAGATTAGCGGGAATATGAGAGTATCGGAATACAGCCCCCTGACGTAGCGTTTTTGCCATTGACTATACATAGAATTATTTTCTGGAATCAATTATCCATTGTTTGACTACGGGTATAAGAGGGAAAAGCCATGTAAACAGAGCAGCTGTACAGCGAATATCGATAAATTAAGTATTACCGCCTTGAGCTCGAAACAGAGTTATATATGGAAAATTCGAAACACATACATATATGACTGACATATGTCACCGAAATATTGGATTCGTAGGATTGAACACTCTAACCCCTTGATTGATCGCATGATCATACGGTGCTTAAGGAAGGGGGAAATTCCTGGAAGGAGTAAGTCTGGTTAACCATAGCCAGAGGCCTAAAGATGAACGAGACTTACAACAGCAGGAGTAGACGCGATGATGTCCTTCACAATGCCAGCAAGGGCTTCTACATAAGCACGCGCAAAGATTGTATCGTGAGCGCCCGCGGTGACCTTCATATCCAAGTTCTGTATTCGCGCGTCCCAGCCATTACGATCGTCCATACACGTGTCGAAGTCGCTAACGTTGCCGCTCCGGAACCACGACCTATCCTTAGGGACGACAAGAGTGGAACGGCCCGCGTAGTGTGCCGGTTCGTGATCAAAGAGCAAGTCGAGGTTCTTCCTGATTTCCGTCTTGAGCTTGTTGCGCCACTTCTCGCCCATCGTGGCAAACTTGCACGAGAGACGATTGAGCGAGCGCTGGGTCCACGCGGCGGCCTTGATCGACTGGCGCTCGCTGGTAGGTATAAAGATCGGGTCGAAGAGGATGAGGTGCGAGACTATTTCACCGGCCTTGGACAGCTTGGAGGCCATGCACAACGCGACGACGCCTCCGAACGAGTAACCACCAAGGAGATAGGGGCCAGTGGACTGTACCCCTTTCAGCAGCGTGATATAATGATCCGCCATTATCTCGATAGTGTCGAAGCCAGAAGCTGAACCGAAGTACTTGTCACCAATAGCGTATATCTCGTTGGACATGAAGGATCCAAGGCGCATAAATGGCGTAGCCATACCCGTGATATCATGGATGATGAAGAACTTGGGCTGAGCGCCCTTTTTCTTGACAGGAAGGAGCTCGATGATGAAATCCTCGTCCTTTCCCTCGGAGTCGGCAGAGAATGGTACATTCTGCGTCATGGCATCGATGATGAGATTACTGAGTTCGCGAACGGTTGGCCTGAAATAAACACTAAACGACTTATTCTGCGAACGAAACAACTTGACGTACCTCAAGTAAATATTGCTGAGACCGATGTGTACATTAAACTTCTTGGAGATGAGACCCGCGACTCGTACCGCCATCAAGGAGTTCATGCCAACGGCAAACAAGTCATGGGTCACGCCAAAGGTCCGATGATCGACTTGAAGCATATTTGAGAAGATGGACATGAGCTCGATCTCGACGTCCCCCCGCGGCTCACCAACGTCGTGAGAGAGGTCAAACATGAACGACGAAAGCCCCATCGTCTTGAGAGTATTTTTGTCAGTCTTGCCGCTGCTTAGCGCCGGCAAGCGAGGTAAGACAGCGATGAGGGATGGGTACATGAATCGCGGAAGACGCTCTGAGACATAGATCTTGAGCCTCTCCTTCTCTTCATCCAGATGTTCGCCAATATCCCAATAAAATTCAACGAAAGCAACAATAGCAGGGTTCTCATGCACGTCACGGATGACAACCGCCGTACGCTGGATAGTGGGGAATTTCGAGATAACGTCCTCGATCTCGGCGAGCTCGACTCGCTGGCCGCGAAGTTTGATCTGGCGGTCGGTACGGCCGCAATACTCAATGTTACCGTCCGCCCGCCAGAGGGCGACATCACCCGTCTTGTAGATACGCTCGCCTTGCACGAACGGATCGGGGATGAATGATTGAGCAGTAAGCTCGGGTTGATTGAGGTAGCCACGGGCGATCTGAATACCACCGATATACAGCTCACCCTCAACGCCGACGGGAGTGGGGAGAAGCTGACTGTCAAGAATGTAGATCCTGCAGTTGGGCAGTGGACGACCGATGACGCCAACGAGGGAAGTAGAGGCAACGTGGCACGAGACGCAATCAACAGATGCTTCAGTGGGGCCATACATGTTCCGCAGAGTGACGCGACACGACCAGTCCTCGATAAGTCTCTTGCCAAGGGCTTCGCCAGCGACTACTATCGTCTCCAGCGTCGGATAATTGTCGACTGCAACAACAGCGAGGATGCTGGGAGTGACGTGAAGGACATTGATGCGGAGCGCCCGGATGGCAGCCGGAACGTCACCCAACACGAGCTCCTTGCGGCCAGTAACGAGCGTAGCACCATGACTGAGAGAGCCGAAGACATCAACGATGAATGGATCGAAGGTGTACGTGAGAGACGATAGAACTCGTGTACCCTGGTTGAACCCATACACGCTGGAGTTCTGGATCAGGTTTGCAATAGAGCGGTGCTCAATCATGACGCCTTTTGGCTTGCCAGTAGAACCAGACGTGAATCTATGACAAATCCCATCAGTGGGCGGAACGTTGTGAGGAACCTAAGCACTCACAGGATGTATGCTAAGCTCGAAGGTGTAAGTTCGTTTACTTCGAAGTTCTCTGGACTTAGACGAGATAGCCGCTTCTGGTAACTCGGATCGTCGATGTAAGCGACCTGGAGCACAATTAGAACATACGTTCCTTCAAGTAAACAGCGACTTACCACCACTTTCGACGTAAGAATCTCGGGGAAGCTTCGAGAATGGCTGGCAGTAGTAACCAATATTTTCGCCCCGCACTCCTGAATAACCATCGCCTTGCGCAGAATCGGGTCATCGGGGTCAAGAGGGACGAAGGCGGCCCCGGTCTTGAGAACAGAAAGAATGCCCAGAATTTGACTAATTCCACGATCGAAACAGAGAGCGACGGCGTCGTTGGGTCGAACACCTAGTTGGATGAGCGAGCGAGCAATGCGGTTCGCTGTCTCATTGAGTTCTGAGTAAGTAAGCGATTGATCCTCAAACTCGACGGCGGTGAAGCAAGGGGTCTTCTCAGTCTGCTTCTCGACCATCTTATGCAAGCAAGTCTCGTAAACAGGGAAACTGTATGATGACGAGAGCTCCTTGGTCAAGCGGTGGTGCTCCCCTTCGCTAACGACAGGGATGTCACGTATACGAGCGTCAGGATTACGTCCCAGGGCCTCTATCAGACATACGTAGGCATTAAGGAGCTGGCGAGCGGCGTCCTCGGTGTACAGCTTGTTGTCGAAGCGGAGGATGGTATGTCCAGTACTGGGGTAAACAGTGAGGAGGAACTCGTACTGCTCCTCTCCGTTAGGGAGTGAGGACTGGTGCACGTCCTTAATGCCAAGCTGCGAGATAGTCTCCATGTTCATACCGCCGGGCGCGAAAAGGTGCTTGAAGTAACCACGGCCCTGCGCGCCACCCTTCTGCTGAGCCACAATGTCCTCATATGTGACCTCGTCATGCGCAAGACAGGATATGAGATCTCCTTTGAAGCGGTTAAGATAGTCCATGAAGCTGAGAGAATCGTCGATGACGGTCCTAATCGGCAGCATGTTGGCGAAGAAGCCGATGACGTTCTGGAGTCGAGGAAGATTGCGCTGCGTAACGGCGGTACCGACGACGAACGACTCCTGACCCGAATACTTGTACAGAAGGACATTGTATGCCGCGAAGAAAGCAGCAAAGGGAGTGGCGACGGCATCGCTGATGATCTTCGTGAACTGTTCGAGAGTTTGAGCACCTATTTCTGTCTCGATTTGCGTAATAGGGGAGAGCTCCCTCTCGGAGGGCGTCGCGAGGGAAAGGTGTAGTGGTTCGGTCTTGGGCAAATACGAAGCCCAGAACTTGAGATGCTCCTCCTTCAACTTGGCGCGGTGGTCAGACGTCTTCTCAAGCCAGTCACTGAAGTCGGAATAGTGGATGGAAACATCGGGAAGCGCGCCAGAGCCATGAAGATAGATGTGGAAAAGCTCAAAGAAAAAGACGCCGAGAGAGGCCTCGTCGATGATGATGTGATGAGTGACGACGTTGAATGCCCAACGTCCACCTCCAAGGTTGAACATCATAACGGTGAGAAGGGGTAGACGATCAAGATTGAAGTCTGGCTCCTTGTTGAGAGCAAGACTCATTTCGTAGGCTTTGGCAAGGGCATCCGAGTCATCGGAGAGGTCTATGAGAGACGGCTGGAGCTCTGTCGAAGGGTGAACGGTCTGTAGAAGTCTCCCTAGCTCCTCGTTCCATGAGAACGAAGTACGAAGAGCTCCGTGACGGCTGAGCACTTCCTGAAGCGCATCGGATAGCCGACTGACGTTGATGGCGCTCTCGGTCCTTATAGTTACGAAGTAGCCTTCATGAGTGTCCCACTGCGTAGCGCCGTACCGTAACATGTTGTTGTCGATGTTTGCGACTGAGCGCTTACGGGCGTTGTCGTACTCCCTCTAAGAAAGTCATCAGCGCCGATTTCTCTATTGTAGTAGCTCGAATGCTTACCTGAGCTAGCCATATGCGATATTGGTGAGGCGACGCATTAGTGGTGTACGGCTCGTCATAGGCAAGCTTATTGGCGAGAATGGGAACTAGCGCCGCTCCGTATTTGTCAGATCCATCGTCTACAATAGGTGAATTGTCGTCTCCTTCGCTCGCGACCCGGGTTTGAGCCTGCATCACTTTGAGGGCACCCAAGGTCATAGAGCCGAGCAACTCTATCTGACTGGCTGAGATGTTGAAACGCGACTTGAGCAAGCTGCTGTAGCGAGTAGCTGTAAACAGTCACAGTTAGGCTTCCGAAGACGAACTGGTATGACTGTTAGGCTGACCTGCAAGGGAGTCAAGACCATAACTAGTGATAAGCGCGTTGTCCGACATTTGGCTCTCCTCCATATTGAGAAGCGTCGCAAGCAGCGTCCCTGGGGACTCCACGACGGCGCTGTCCTCGTCACTAGCTCCGCTTGCAGCCAACAGCTTCTTCGGCAACAAGTGATGATAAAGTTTAGGTTCGCAGAAGGGGAACGCCTCAGGCACGTCGTCAATCGATAACATTGGGACGTAGTGCTTGATGCTCCGAATCAAGGCATCACCAATGAATCTGCACACCTGTGCTGCAGTCATACCGGTCTTCGTCAGCTGTGCCGTGTTTGCCTTGCCCTTGGTAGCAAGAACAAGCCTCTTGAATATTCCAGAGTCCGTGATAGGTGGAATCGACACAGAGATGGTGTTGGGGACGACATCGGCAGTACGATCGAGGTAGAGCTGGGACGCACAGTATGCAGCCTGACCTGCATTTCCGAAGACGGATCCGATGGTGGAGAACAAGAGGATGAAATCCAAGGATGCAGGGTCGATGCAGCGAAGGAGAGTATTCAGGGCGGTGACTTTCGAGCTATAGACATCGTCGAATGATGATTGATCCAAGTTGGTGAACTTGGCATCGCGTAGGACAACGCTCATTACGAATACACCACCAATGGGCCCGGACTCTCGAGCATTGTGGATTACGGCCGAGGTACCGTCCAAGCTCGTAGCATCGGCAGCAATGAGCTCGACTTTGACGCCTTTGGAGCGAAAGTGGCGAATGTACATATTATCGACCTTAGTCAGGCCCTTGGCGCCTCTCCTACTCGTCATGTATACACGACGAGCGCCTCGCCCCACCATCCAATCCAATATCTTGACACCGAGCTCAGAGCATCCTCCTAGGAGGATGTAGCTCTTGCGCGGATCAAAGAGCTGCACATTGGGATTAACTCTTGATGCCCCGGAGTCACGGAAATGCGCAACATAGGTGTCACCGCTGTTCCCTATAGTTTCGGTCCCGTCGAGGGGAAGACGTCTCGTATGGAGGACAAACTTGTGACTCGCGTGGGCAGCTAGAATAGCGGAGACGATGGGGGAAGGGACACGCGGGGAACGATGATAGAACTTTGAGACGTTGAAGAGGTGGGTAAAGGGGGCTCCGGGGGGAATAATCGGCAACTCCTCGCCGACTTGATTGTGGATATAACAACCCAGCGCGGAAAATGGGACGGAAGCGAATGCAAAAACCGACTTGCCCTCGGCGTTGAGGACTACGTCAAACCTAGAAGCGGTATCTGCTATAGACCAGCTGAGAAGGGCTTCTGAAAGGTCATAAATGATTGCGATCCGCTCGCTCGGAACTCCCAGGCGCTTTGAGACATATCTAGCTTCTGCTTCGCTGATCACTGTGCAAAATACACGACTAGAATTGCGAAGAGACAGCTGAGTGGCGATTATGCCAAAAGCTGGAACGAAGGCGTTGACAAATGCTAGTGAAGATGGTGGTGAAACTTACGTGAAGCAGCGTCATGGATCAAAACGGCCGACGCTCGACCAGCGCGGGTGAGTTCCATAAGAGCGATCCATGGACCTAGCAAAGCGGGCAGCAAAGCAACGACTTCTGAAGCGGTGACTCCAGTAGGTATCGGAACAACAGTGTCGCTAGAGACTACAAGAACGCTAGCAGCGACCGTGGTGATAATACCAGCTACACCAGCTCCAGGGGCCAGTGATGTAACAGAGGAACCCGTGGCCCTCACAGTACCGGCGAACGCCATCGGTGATATCGTGTTGAGCCCCTGGCCGCCGAAACACTCGACTTCAATCTCAACTTCGTCATCTTGAACTTTGGGAGGGAAGTACGATGACACGACAGGTTTCCCGGCCTGCATCGAGACTTGACATGCCGACACATCAAGCTCGCGTTCGGTGGAAGGTCCACGCACGAGCCTACGAACGAGAACGTCGCCTTCGACGGATATTTTCATGTGTTGCTCGAGCGTAAGGGAGTTCTTGCGAAGCTCATGAATGACGTTCTCGCGTACCTCGTTGCTCAAGGAGTGGTCTTCGAAGAGCACGGAACGGGCGGTGAAGTCGGGCATTTCGGCTATGAGACAAGAAGCGACGCCGAGTGCGCCGATACCCGCGGCATCGTCATCGCCAGTGACCCAGAACTCGGAGCCGCCAGCGAGGTTCTGGGCGATGGAGACGAGTTCAGCCTCGCGGCCGTGCTCAAATGGGCTAATGACGACATTTCTAGAGGTATCCGCTGGAACAACAACAGTAGACTTCGTGACCTGGATGATCACAAGCGTCTGGTCATTTGCTAGGGGTTTGGTATTGACACTGACGCCGTCAATGGCAAGATCTTCGGCAAGAGAGTCTAACGATAGTTCCCCTATTTGTCGTTCCGCTTCAACGTCAGGATCTATAGAATTTGTCACTGGCTGTCTTAATGGCCGAGAAAATGGAATGACTTACGCGATGCAACTAGAAGGGCTAATCCAGACGGAACGAGTAGACGGTTGATGTTAGAGACATCCTCAAATGCGCGCGAAAGGCCGATTGAGCCAATCGCGATATCGAAGCTAGCAAGAACCGAGGAAGCAGCTTCGTCGTCCAGCGAGTATGAGTCCAGACAAAGTGAACGAACATGAGAATATTCGAGAGACGAAGTCTTCTCATCCGCCTCCTCAAGGGTTCGAGCTGCACAGAAGTACTCGATCGCCACTTTTCCGCTTGCGAGAAGGGACTGAAGAGTCCCGCAGAGGGCAATCGCGATATCAGACGACGGGAAAACGTCGATGACGCGAATAACCTTTCGCCCTGCAAACACCGCCTCCCTGACCAAAGCATTGAATACTGCTACAAGGGTGTCGGCAGAAGGCACCGAAGCCAAGTGAACAGGGAAGTGCTTTGTCTGCCACACAGTTGTCAAGCGCTGATCCGTGCTGTCATCCGTGATAGCAACAGGCTCGTCCCCTGGCGCGAGAGCAATCTCGAACCCCTCGATCGTGAACAGCACCCTCCCCTCAGAGCTCGCTACAACATAGTCGCATCTGAACGGGCCCTCGGGCGCCCATGACCGCGCTGTCAAGTACACCCACAGCCCCTTCTGCAGCTCGGAGTCGAGGTTAGGCGCATCTGCACTATCCCAGCGGCGGAGCGCATCGATCTTGACGGGTAAGAAGACGCCGCTGAAGTCGAAGCGCTTCGTCTCCATGTTGATAAACATCGCGAGACCACACTGCGTGATGGAGTCGAGGATGCCCGGGTGAATGCAGTAGCCGTTGCCATATACGTCCGGCGTTCCGGTAGGTATCTCGAAGCGAGCGAGATAGGAGGTCGAGCCCCAGCTTCGCTCGTCCTCAACCTCGTGGACCTCCTTGAGGTAGTCACGGAAGTGGCTTTGATAGCAGTAGGCTGAGGGTATGCAGGCGTGAAACTCGTCGCCGGTGCACGAGCCACGACTCTTTGAAAGCCTCGATTGGACGTCGAATATACGGGGAGCCGAGGGGTCGTAAGCGGGGTTATGACGAGAGAAGGAGCCGGTGGCATAGACACTGTCCAGGACAATATCACCGTTGATAAACTCTTTCGTGGTGGAGGCTTTGAACTGCCACTGGTCTCCATTGATGATGCAGCCTGCATGACCTGGGTACGAGCCAGCGCCCTCAAGAACGAGGGGCTTAAGGATAGAGACATTGCTGACGACCATAGCACCGTTCTCAAGTATGCTTTCAATGTAACTGTAGCTGATATCAGCACAGAGCCAGCTTAGTAGAAGTGAATTACGAACCCTGAGGCAGGAAACAGAACGGCATTGAAAACGACGTGGCCAGTCAGGTCCGGATGGCTATCCACGTTGATTCGGAAATGATGAGATGCTAACGGTCTGGGCTTCTGGCGAAGGCGAACGGATCGCCCGCTAGCCGACTCGTACCAGCAGAGCGACTTGTTGTAAGGGTAGTCAGGCAATCTAGGCTTGACGAAGTCGGATATGCCATCAGGAGACGCATGCAACCTATCAAGACTGACATGCTTGTACCCCTTCGAGAGAAGATGACCGACGCCCTCAAGAATCTGGAAGCGCTCGCCCGTGTTTTGTGCAGGCGTCTTCGGATTTGGACGCTTAACGAGACTGATTGACTCGCCACCACACTGCTCAATATACGCCTTAAGCACCGGGTGAGGAGCGACCTCGAGGAAGAGCAGGTTATCAGCCCCGTACTCCGTGATCATCTTGTTGATCGCTGTTCCAAACAACACCGGCCGTCGGATGTTGTCCCAGCAATAGTCGATGTCGATGTCGCGCTCGAGCCACCGCCCATCCGTTGTCGACATGACACGGGCGACGGAAGCCTTCGTGCCCCGCGACAGCGCTGTCTCCGCCATGCGTACCTTGAATGCTCCCTCTTGGGGCTCCATCAGCGGCGTATGGAACGCACACCCGACCCGTAGCTTCGCCGCAAAGACCTTCGCCTGCGGGTCGGCCGCGAGCTCGATGAGCGCGTCGATGAGCTCGTGCGTGCCTGCGACAGTGACAGCCTGAGGGGAGTTAAGACCCGCTATCCAGAGTCCGCTGGTCGTGCCAGCTTTAGACAGCACTTTTCGGATCATGACCTTAGCCTTCTGCACGCCAACGCCGAGCGCGGCCATGGCTCCGTTGCCCTCGGCTTTGGTCATTGCGGCAGCACGAGCGACGGAGATGCCGATGGCCGTCCCTCTGTCGTAGTGGCCCGATGCGTAGCCCATGGCGATCTCTCCGACACTACGCGAAATCGTGAGCTGAGAGCGAGGAGATGTAGCCATAGCACATACCTGTGACCAATAACAAGCTGGTATGCAATGCCAAGATCACGAAGGAGGTCAACAAGTGCAATCTGGAACGACACCAGTGAAAGAACGACGTCCCGTACGGGCCACTGCCCGTTCGCGGCGAGCTTGCACTCCACATCAGGAATAAAGAGGCCTGAGCGCTCCAGCATCGATTCCTGGCCATACCTGTCAACGAGGATGCGGTCGTTCTCTCTGACACTCGCGAGGAACGTAGGGTAGGTAGCCGCCAGCTGGCGACCCATGTGGACGTGCTGCGGACCCTGCCCGGAGAAGACGAGCGCAAGCTTCGGACTCGCACTGCTGGTCAATAGTACGGGCTTCGTGAACTTGGTGTCTGCTCCGAGGGAAGGAGCGATCGCAAACGCGCGTGCAGGATACGCACGGGCCTGGCGAGAGAGATCGCGTGCAATGGAGCGAAGGGTACGATCGTCCGTCGTTCCATCGAAGTTCGACATGAGCACGTCTTCCCATCGGCCAAGCGAGCTCTCAGTGAGCGCTCCGATGGAGAAAAGGTACAGAGGTGATAGTGAGGACACGGGCGTGATTTGAGACACTGCATCGTACTTGTCGCAGTCGCGCACCGAGTCGAGAGACTCGACGACGACATGGGCGTTCGCGCCGCCCACGCCGTATGACGAAATTGAGGTGACCCACTTGCCGTCCGGGGCCGCCATTGTCGGTGTAATCTTCACCAGCTCCGTTTGCACGCACATCTTGCCACTGGAGAAGTCGATAGCCGGGTTCGGTGTGTTGAAGCGGATGTTGGGGATGATCTCCTTGTGATGGAGCATCATGGCTACTTTGAAGAGACTCGCGAGGAAGCTACAGCCTTCGGCATGACCGATGTTGGCCTTCACACTTCCGACTCTGCATGGTTCAAGGTCAGAAGACACCCATACTGGATCTGATTGAGCTCACCGTAACGTGCGATCATCAGCGCGGCCTTGGGAGAAAACCCTTCCTGCAGCGTTGGCCTCGATGGGGTCGCCGACCTTCGTTCCTATCGAGATAATTAGCAATAAAGTAAAGACTACGAAAGAATCGGGGGGACAAACCGGTAGCATGTAGTTCGACAAAGAACGCGTCGGCGGGGTCTCGCTTTGCAGCAGCGTATGCTGCCTTGATCGTCTCTGCTTGCATCTCCCCCTCCGGCATCGTCAGCGACTTCCCCTTCCCGTTCGCGTTCACCGCCGAGCCCGTGATAACGGCGTACGCAGCGTCTCCGTCGCGTTTGACGTGATCAAGTCGTTTGATGAGAACAGCAGCCGAGCACTCGGCGCGAGCATAGCCATCTGCGGATGCATCGAAGGATTTGGATGACCCGGTTGGAGATAAGACTCCGAGCTTTGAGAATGAGACAGTGTGCTCGGGGTTGATGATCGTGTTAGCCCCTCCAGAAAGGTAAGAACGGGCTGTCTGCATGTACGTTGAACCAAGGACGTACCTACTACAAGCGCTTGGTCGCAATCACCAAGCTTGATAGAGTTGAGCGCCAGATGCATGGCGGTGGCGGAAGCGGAGCATGCTACCAAGTCAAGTCAACCCACGATCTCATGACTATGCAGACTCCTCGCACCAGTATCCACAGTGAGCGATGGCCCTCGTAGATCGAAGGTGAACGAAATCCGGTTAGCACGGATAGAAACACATTTCCCCGTGCCGTTATAGTTGTTCATCTCATATCGCTCCGCGTCAAGTTCGTCCATTGTCGTCAATAAATTTCCAAAGAACACGCCCGTTCTAGACCCCCGGTAGTCAATCCCAGCGTCTTGAAGCGCCTGGTCCATCGTATCAGTGATTGTACGCGTAGCGCTATTGGGTGCAGACAACTTACATCGTGCGCTGCTTCGAGCGTCAAACGAATGGCGGGGTCTAAGCGTTCAGCTTCCTTTGTAGAGATACCAAACTCGAGGGGGTCGAAGTGATCGATATCGCTTATGAAACCAGCCTTCGCAGCGCAGTACTTTCCTGGCTCGCCAGGATTCCCTGCAACACATATAAACCGCTGCACAGAACAAAGTACTTTGGATGCATACCGCTCCACTCAGCATGGTCCCAACGCTCCAGAGGCGGCTCAATCATCCCATCTCCCTATAAGTATATGATGTAAGGTAGCATAGATGCAAGTGTTGGGAACGGTGCAGACCTTGTTTCGCAAAAACTCGTAGAATAACCGGGGTGTATCTGACCCGCCAGGAAACCGCCCTCCGAGACCAATGATAGCCACGGGAACTTCAGCAGACATGACGCGAATTCAGAGTAAGAGTCGTCCTAGATAGTCAAGCGTTGCGAAATGGTGTATAGAAATACAGCGGGAAGCTGAATGAGATGCGTCAGCTCAGGTTCCGCCCTTCGAGCTTCAGAGGCATGACAACATTCGGTGCTGGAACGTGAGCGGAGTCAAAGTTTCCATTTGTGTGAGCCCTTCATGCGGAATAAGGTTCACATGATGTTGGCCTGATCGAATGGATGGAAAATGACCAGAGCTTCCATGCAGGGGGTGGGTGTTGCCTGGTGTTGCTCGCAAATCCTGGTCAGGACGCGTACACAGAACCCGCGTCTCGGTTCTGCCGGAGAACCCCGACGGTTGTCTCCCACGCTGTCCAGCACAACATGTGCCTCGATCCACAGCGCACCGACGTCGCACTCCACGTTCCCGCGTCAAGAACGTGTCCATCAAGAGGAACGTTCTGAAACTTCCTTGACCACTTTCAGGCCTTGTCTTTGTAAACCAAGGTGGAAACCTACTTGTTTAGCTCACCGGGGGAACCAGCTTTACCTCTTTTTCATTGAAAGATAAACAGCCCCGCACGTTCCTCAGCGCTATCGGACGTCATGTGTCCTCAGTTAATTGATCGAGGCTCGGGGATGTGGGGTGATCGTTGATCATCATACTGTAAGCACATCGCCGGAAAGGTTCCTGGAATAACGGTGCTTAGCGTAGTACTTTCAATTATCAAAACCAGATATAGCAAGACAATATGAGGCCGCGATCATGGGGCTTTAGCATTATCTTTCGGGAGGATTTTCTTTCACTATGAAAGAATCACAAGCTCAAAGTGTACACGAGGGCGATGCTGGATCTTGGTAAAACGCCGCACTCAGGGACCTAGACTTCCTCTCCTGGTTCCTTTCATGGTATTGTACTTATCTTTCGGACGTTGGAGGCGGGTTTTGATTATGGCCGTCGTCCAACTACTCGGTCGCCTTAAGTTTACTTCCTGTTGTATCAATTTGAAAAGAACGTGCCGTAGGTGCGTACCTCACCAGACATTCATTGCTAAGTAAAGGAAAGCTCAGGGCGTATTGGCTCCCTTGAGGAGGCCGCATCTCATAGAGGCTTCATCATGCTTCTGTTCGCCCCGTTTTGGTCCCTTATATCGCTTCTCAGAGGTACTGTGACGTTTCCTTCTCCAATATCTCGTGTATAACTTTCCTCATCTGAAGGCAATGATCTCACAACGACATGGGTGCATAGCGATACATGTCACTTCGTATTAACGGGGACGTTCCGGCATAACCAAGGGGTCGGGTTCGGTGCAGTACATGCTTCCCAGCAGGAGATAGTTCCATTCCGCGTAAACCTCCAGGCCGCAGACTTCCATGCGTCGAGAAGAATTTTGTGAAGGTCGCATGTACAGTCACCGTCTCTTGCGCAATCGGTTGCATTTGCTTTGAAGCCACGAGATCTCGTCACGTCCTGTTCACATGCTGCAACAGTAACGTATAAATTGTGGTAGAAACCCTTGTCTACGACCCAGCAATCTACTCTGCTAACTCTCGCATCGTACGTCACATACAAACAAATTCATCACCTATAGTACGCTGACAAGGACTCGCAGCTAAGTCAACACCATGTCCGAATCCGCCCGCGTCACTGTTCTCCTCGTCAAGGAAGACGGCGTCTCCCATGCCGATTTCGCGAACTTCTGGCTCAACGAGCACCCCCAGCTTTTCCAGTCTTTGTCCATCGTCAAAGAAAAGATCACCAAGTACGACCAGGCAAGTGCAGCCACCTACCACTTCTTTCTTGGTCTCTAATATCACAAAATCACTGCTCCTACAGGCAATCACCTCACCCGTCGCAATGGGCGAGATCACCGTCCCGCGTTCCGTGGCCATCACCAGTGACGGTCTTGCCACCTTCGAGGCTAGGACCCTCGAGGATATCCGTGACGTCTTTACCTCTGAGGAGTATCTCAGCACCGTTAGCCCTATTGCGCTGAAATATACCAAGGCGGGCAGTCACATTTTGGCGACCAAGAACGTCAATGTTTTCACAAACATCTAGATGTATTCCAGTACCATTGAATCCTGTAAAGCTCCGAAGTTGTTATGTAAAGTAAATGATGAACCTATGATGTAGACGTGTATATCTCTTTGAGCGCGTCCCCGGGATGACCGTCAAGGGCCATTTTTGAGATCATTAATGCCTGGCGGGTGTTCTATGTGTCGTCTGGCTTCCAAGACGCACAGTATGCTTGTTACTTGTGATAAGCATATCATTAAATGCACTCCGTAAATCTTATACGAGTGGTACTAAACTTTCCCCAGACTTACTGACACTGTAAGATCTTGCCGGATTAAACGGTAATCCATAGCATGAAGTTCGATATGTATAGTGCATATCATGCTGATATTAAGCACTTTGAAAAACATACGCCAGTCATTAGTGCACCTTCAAGCCACTGGAATATCGTTCTTGGTTCGAGAGTTACGCTAGTCACGACGGAGAACAGCACCACAGTTCCAGCGTGTGAACGTGTTCTCGGTAAACCCCGGCCGATCTTCTCAATGGGGTTCCTCCGAAATCGCCCGAGCCAGATCCAATTCCGTACGTTTCCCGCGAAGCTGCTCGGTCGATGCTGCGTAGTCAGCGCCAGCAACGCATACATGAAACACTATTGATACACACTCTCGAGCCTCGCCTTGGCAAGCATAAGCCCATGCTACTCAGGATGCGGACTTACACGTCCTTAGAACAACCCCGCGCACGATAAGTGCTCCCTCGACTTCCACGCCGTTGGAGGCAGACTCCAATCAGAATGCCGGATCACTGCTTGCGCTTCCACACCAACTTCCACCCTAACCAAATTTGCTCTCTGAACAGATTATTTCTGCGCCAAAATACGGGTGATTCAAGTTCTACTTGACTCCACTTCGTTGTCTTCCGTTCCTGCAACTGGAACGTTGCAGTGGATAGAAAGGGGCCGCACCCAGGTGCCTAGTACATCCCCATTTGATCTTGAAAGACGCCACAGGTCTCCCTTGGACCTTGGTCGCACCACTCTTCCATTCAGGTCGATCAGGACGTTGGAACGTTCCCGTTCGTCCCAATACCAATCACCATTCCTGATGTAGTCCAATCAGCCCAAATGCTACCCATATCCCGAAATTCGACATGTACGGCCCCATTCATGTGAACACGGCAGTCGTACAATGGCAATAAACTCTCGCCCTTCGTCTTTTACCCTGTCCTTGCCCTCACTATCATGTCTCAACCCAAGATTCCAACCTCGCTGTCTCCCGAACTCTATCAGCAGCTAAAGGAACGCACTGAGCATGTGCTCGCAGCTCTCGTTCGCCGTAACTCTCCCTGCCAGTTTTTCCGCAATGCACCAGAACTCCAGAGCCTATCCCATGGTCTCGCAGAGCTCGCCCCAGCTCATTCCCTGGAGACAATCCAAGACAGTTCTCTTGTCTCTCTCTTCAGATCTACAGCTCCCCTGACCACCTACGAGACCTACAAGCCCTTCGTCTCCCACTTTCTTTCCCCACTTTCCTCTGGCGCAGTCAAAGCGTGCGACGTCCGTGACCTCTTCTCCCCGGGCCTTCCCTACTTCATCGCCCTCTCCAGTGCCACTTCGGGCAAAGCGCCCAAGTACTTCGCCAAGTACCGGCACCCGCCCGGCCTCTCGTATGAGAGCGTCGACAAGGGTGCGAACCCAGTTTCCGAAACGGGCGGGACGAACTGCGTCATCTACTCGCTCAACTACTTCCAGAAGCTCACTGTCGAGGATGAAGAAGGGAAGACGTGCGCGACTGTGCTTGTGACAAACATGTCGTCTGGGTCCGTGAGGATGCAAAACGGACTCGACGCTGAAAAGGATCCGTGGTTAATCCACTATACCGGTTCGTGAGCAATGTTGAATGACCTAATGCCATATTTGAGCTCGTAGTTGACGACTGTGTTGCAGGCCCCCGTGCGACATCCCCGCTCGCAGTGAGCTTCATACCGCAATACCGTACGTTCCTGCTCATGCACGCACTCTTCGCGCTGGCCGACGTGCGGCTCGAGACGATCAGCACCCTCTTTGGCACCGTGTTCGTCGACATGATCCGGTACATGGAGGAAGAGTGGGACACACTGGTCGCGTGCATCGAGCATGGCACGTTACCGGGATACGACGGCGTCGAAGCGATCCAACCGTATCTCCAGGTAGGCATCGACTGCTTGTTGCACATGCCCTCATCGCTCAACCTGCATCAATTCGCAGAAGCAATGGCAGCCAAGACCCGAGCGCGCCGCCGAGCTTCGCGAAGTGGAGGTCAACTCGCCCACGTGGCTCCACAAAATATGGCCTAACCTCAAGGTTGTCGTTGGCATCGCCAGTGGCACGTTTGCCTCTGTTATTCCCAAGGTATGCTCCCCTTTGTAATGTCACTCTTCGAACCCGATCCTTACAACTCCTGCGTAGATGCGGATGATATTGGGCGACACAGTCTATCTCCGTTCTCTGGGCTTCACTGCATCAGAAGCCTATGTCGGCACCGTGTACGGGCACGGCGATATCAACTGTTTCAAGACCGTTTCGGACGACATTGTCGAGTATCTTGATGCTTCTTTACCTGAGGCTGACCAAACCCCTGATCGGTGTGTCATGCCATGGGAAGTCGAAGCGGGGAAACAGTACGAGATCATTCTTACGACTCGTGACGGTCTGTGGCGATACCGCCTCGGGGATGTTGTCGAAGTAACCGGTTTCGAACCAAGTGACGGCTCACCGATCATCAAGTACATCGAGCGCAAAAAGTAAGATAGCCCCTGTTATCATTCACGTTCCCACATGATGTTGACGTTCCCTTTAGCATAGCAATGCGCTTCCCAGAAGCCCAAATTCACGAGCAAGAGCTCGTCTCGTCCATCGTCTACCTCGACGATTCTACCCTGGGCCCGGTCGCCGAGTTCACAGTGTGCGAAGACACGCGCTCTACGCCGTCAACTGTCGGCTACATCGTCGAGCTCGCCTCTTCTTCCTCTTCCGCCACCACCTCAGGCCTGGGCCTCGGCGCAGACCCCAGTGCAGCTCCACAAAAGGTCCTCGAGTCGCTCATGGAGCTCAACGAGGGCGTGCGGATTGGCTACGAGGAGGGTTCGATTAGCGTCCCTACTATTCGCGTGGTGAGCGGGGGATCATTCAGGGAGTATAGGCGGTGGCGGATTGAAAAGACCAAGTCGGGAGCAGGGCAGATGAAGGTTCCAGTCGTGATGAGGGACGAGGAGTCGTTGAAGTGGCTGCTTGAGCGAGTTGTCTTTGAGGCGAACACCGGTAACAAGTTTTGACGTATGTTCCAACGTATATGTTACAAATAGTACTCCTAAAGCGAAGCATGCTTAGAAACTCTGGTTCCGCAATTTGTGGGAGAGGCAATCCAAAACGAACGGCAGCCAACGGTATTGTTGACGCGGACGGGCTCCGAGTCGGCACAAAGGACACGCGCCGCGGATCGGGCCGACGGACGCCAGCATCGCCAGCATTGGAACTTGATTGTAACACATTCAGACGCAAGTGCGAGATGGATACTCTTTGCGCTCTCCACAGTCAGATGAATCAACCTCAAGCCCAAGATGACACTATAGCTGCTAGCTTTAGTTCGCGCTCGCTTCATTGGGGTGCAATGCTCACAGGTCGCGCAGTGGTCGGACGTTTCGGGCTTTCTCGCGCTCTGCTCGGTCTGTCGCGGCCAGTGTGCATGATGGCAAAGGCTAATCACGCTTATAGATGTTCCCTTCCCCCACTGTCGGGCCCTTTATGAGGTCCCATGTCATGATGCCGCCAAATGCCGCCCTTCTCGATAGGCTTTATAAAGACCCTCGGCCGCTTCGTGGCAAGATCTGACAAGTCATAAACTCCCCAGTTTCCCACATATCCCGTCTCTCTTGTCTTCTGAACACGACATGCCTGGCACGACATACCCCGCTGCTTTCGAAGGTATCCCACCTTTCCCGGACGACGTCGAGACCGTCCCTCTCCTTGTCATCGACTACGAGCTCGTCAAGAACGGCGACGAGAATGAAATCAACAGACTTTGGGAGGCAGCGACGACGCTGGGCTTCTGGTAGTAAGTACCGTCGGCTCGAGCGGTCGTGGTACGAATAACTCTAACTTCCATGCAGCTTGAAGAACCATGGGGCAGACGAGACGATGCTCAGCAGCATGTTCGCCATGGGCAGCGAGGTCATGAACCTACCGACTGAGGAGAAGATGAAGTATGACCAGGGCAACAATGGTATCTCACACGGGTGCGTCGTCCTTCTTGTCACTTGGCTTGTCAAGGTCTTCATCCCTAACACTCGTTGAATACAGGTATAAGCAGCCTGGTAACGTCAACACCGACGCTACTGGGTAAGTACATCCTGCATATACCAGTTTCCCAGGTCGAATGCTAACAATTTCGCTACACACAACAGCAAGAACCAAGACTCCGCCGAGTTCATCAATATCTCCAAGGACGATGCACTAGCCTACCCCGGTCCCTTGCCCAAGCTCAAAATGGGCTACCCCGCACCCGCGGAGACCGCCATGGAGGCCGCCATCAAGCCGTTCATCCGCCAGTCTGTCGAGGTCAACGATACCGTGCTCGAGGTGTTCAACCGTAAGCTCGGCCTGAAGGAGGGCACACTCGCACGCAAGCACAACGCGTACAGCGGCAGTGAGGCGCGCTGCATCCGCACCCCGCCCGCGCCCGCGGACGTCTCCCCGGACAAGGTCGCCCTCCTCGCGCACACCGACTTCGGCTCTCTCGTAAGCCCTCTTCCTCTTCTCCCCTCCCCCCACAACGAACGCCCGCCCTGACGTATCCACACCCGCCAGTCCTTCCTCCACAACCGCCTCGGCGGGCTGCAGGTCCTTCCCCCGGGCCACACCAAATGGCTCTACGTCCGCCCGATGCCCGGCCATGCGATCTGCAACGTCGGCGACTCGCTCGCCATCTTCTCCGGCGGCGTCCTGCAGTCCAACATCCACCGCGTCGTCCCTCCACCCGGCGACCAGCGCGCGCACGAGCGCTGGTCCCTCGTGTTCTTCACCCGCCCCAACGACGACGAACGCCTGCGCCCGCTCGTCGACGACCAGCTGCCGGGCAGCACGCTCATTCAGGAGGGGCTGGCGAAGAAGCCCGGCTTGACGCAGACGGAGGAGACCGCTGGGGAGTGGCTGGCGCGTAGAACGAAGATGCAGCGGACGGCGAACATCAAGAGCGCGAAGGATTTCCTGGCTAGTCGGGGCACGGAACATACCCAAGTTGCTTAGAATGAGCTAGTGTTCCATTTCGAGGATGTAAATCAGTGCACTGTACAACCCATGTGTAGTTTATATGTAACCTATGTTCATATTCCGGAACCTCATTCGATAGACCTGGTGGACCCCAAAGAGCTGCCCGCAGATATCATAAGACTACAGACCCTTGATCATTCGAACAGATACCCAGAATGCTCTACGCATACGTTCTGTAATCGATGCAAAGCGAGAATGAGATGTGAGACTACACGAACGAAAGCAAAATGCAGCACGTCTACCTACAATTACAGAAATATACAGTATCCTCTTGCAGCCCCTACCAACATCGCACCTACACCTGGCAACCCACATAAATCTAGAACCCCAGCTGCTCCACAAAGCTCTGCCACGCCGCATCGAGCACCGGCGCATCCTGCATATGCCACCCCCCAGGCACACCCGTCCCCGGCGCAGGCGACGTCCCGCCAACATGGTGCGCGGGCGTAAAGTTGTTCAGCATGCCCGCCGGGAACCCCATCGGGATGCCGCCGTTTGCGCCTTGCCCATTGCCAGTCCCATGTCCGCTACCGGATGCAGAGCCCGAGTTCTGCTGTCCAGAAGACCCCGAGACTGAGGAAGACAGCCCAGAGTGCTGAGGCCCACTGTAGATCTCCGCGCCGAACGGCGCCTGCGAGCCCGCAAACTGCACGTCGGTCATGGCGGTGAAGAACGGCTCCTGGGGTAGGTGGAGGTACCCTGGCTGCTGCTGGTTCTGCGACTGCTGACTTTGCTGCCGATGGTGTTGCGCATGCTGCTGGGACTGCGGCGAAGCCCCCGAGCCAGATCCGGAGCCGGAGTTATTGTAGTCGAACTGCGGGAACCCATCGAATATCTGCATGTCCTGCATAATTCGAGGGTGAATATCGTTCAGCGTGCTCCACCCCTCCGGACTCCCCCCGTTGGTGGCCCCGTTGGTGCCTCCGCCGGTGTCCATCTCGTTGGTGCTGGTGGCCGGACAGCTGCCATTAGCGATACTGCAGCTGGGGCTTGGAGCGGTGCAACTCGGACTTGCAACGGCGCCATTGCATGGTGAGGCACCGGACGAGTTCGTGAACGCCGTAGGTGACGACCCGCTCGTCGAACCGGTCGCGTTAGAGTTGCCATTGGTATAGACGTGATTATGCGGGTGCCCTTGCGGGTTGACTGGGCTATCCGGTGTAAACGACAAGCTCGCGATGACCTGCGTGCTTCCTCCGCCAATTCGGTCGAGCTCACTCTTGGTAAGGCATGATGCCTCCTCGCCGTTAGGAGAGTTCATGGCATCATGTCCCTTCTCCCAGAGCTTCTTCACCGGCATCTGCATGTGCCAGCTGTCAGCAGTCGCCAGCGGGATCAAGATGAGAAGACACGCACGAGCAAGATCTGAGCAGGCTTGCACACTGGCGCAAACTTGGTGAATGTGTCGTGCACCGAATCGAGCTCTGCAAGCGCGCTCTGCGCCATGCTCGAGTTTGGGCACCTCGAAGCAATCATGCACATCACGATCTATTCGTAAAGTCAGTAAACACATCCTGCCCCAAGCGAAAAGCGACCACGCACAGCAGCGGAAAATGCCTGAGACCAAAATATTCCCATCCGCTCCATAATCTTCGGCACAGTCTTGATTGAGTGCGCCTGACACACGATCATCCGCCACGCGCTGCGATACGCTGCCATCACGCTAGGACCGTACTTGTGCTTCAACGGGTCATTCGGCTTGTCCTTGAGCGCTTGCGCAAAGTACGTCCGGTGCAGATTGAGCAACGCTATCATCAACCGCGTCAATCAGCCACCCGTGATCCAAAAGATAAGCGACAAAAGGCTCACCTGCTTCCTTGTACGCAAGGATAAAGTGCCTCTGCAGATGCATCGGTAGGCCATTGGCGAGGACATCGCCCTCACACCGCGGACGGAGGTGCGGCGGCACGGGGAAGTCGCGGACCTTGCGGTCAAGCTCGAGGATTGTCGCGTACGTGGGCGGAGTTCCGCTAAAGGCGGTCGTCATAACATGGTGCAGAAGCACGGCGTACTTCAAGGCCCACATGTGCCCTACATTCCATCGCACGGCGGTTAGCTTGTTGAAGGACGGGTGAAGTGGATGAGAAAACGAAGGCTTACATGATTCCTCAGGTCCATTGTCGCCTGTGACGGCCCACTCGTCGTTCGGGTAAGGCACGTCTGTCCACACTGGAGAGACACTGGGAGGACGACCCGTTGCAAAGCTCTGCAACACACGATCGCAGCGGTGAGCATCAAAATAAACTTGGAGACATATGGGACGCACGAGCCATGTGTCCATCATGAAGAGATGCCAGAACATGTTACTCCGCTTCTGCACGCAAACTTCGCCGAGGTTCCAGCGAATGCCGTGAAGATGGATGCCAATCTACAGGACGCCCAAACCGCCACGTGAGGAACTGGGAACCCGTCAAGGTATATAGTCTCAACCTACTCGATATCCGAGCTTCACTGCGAACCCAATCATAATATACGACTGTGATGAGTCCATCTTCAGGTCCGACAAGTCGAGATATGTCGCCATGTGCAACTACATCCGCCACCCATATAATCAGTATGTGACATCACTTTACTATTGGAGAGAAGGGTATGCACCAAGGCGTGCACGGTATACACAGACGTCTCGAAGCACGGCGACTTGAAGTTGAGCGCAACATGCGACAGCACGGCATATTCTTGCGCCTCTGCGGAATATGGGGATTTGCGCTCGTCGAAGAGCGACGCGAGGGCGAAGACGGAGAAAAGGAGCGCCAAGTAATGAGAGGAGGCCATGCTGTCAAATGATCTAGCGTGTTGACGCAGTGAGAAAAGTAGAGTGAATGGGCGTGATATCGCTCACTCGGCGCGATATACCCCCTGGATAACTTCGTCAAAGAGCTCGGACCGCTGCATCGGACTCCACCTATTCGATTGCTTTGGGTCAGAAACGCCCTGAACCATCTTGCACAGATTATGCTCACAAAACCTTGCCCCACTCCAAGTAAATCTCACATAAACGGATCGCCTCTGAAAGCGGCGGGAGAAGATTCATGACGGCACGCGTAAGGTTTGGATCTGGTTGACTTCGGCCGTCGAAGTCAGGCAGCCAGGCATCCATGATTTGCTTGGAGAGCCGTGGGAGGATTTGCCGCTCGCCTGTAGGCTTCATGAGGGGCTGCGGGTGACGAGCAAGAACGTATGAAGTGAGTACACGTGTGCGCATGGGCACTTTGGGATGCTCACTTGAAGCATGTACTGCAACGTTACATTGAGCGCGTAGACTTATAGAGACAAGGGAACTCTGAGACTCACCTCGGGTCTTGCAGTGCTGCCCGTGAAGTTCAACTCTCCCTTTGATCCGATCGCGAGCGTGCCAAAAGCATCGATCATCGCATCCTCCTTGGGTTCTCCATTCGCCGTTTCCGCTGCTCCTGAACTATCCCCGCTCGAACCCCCTCCCGGTGCGGGCGGCTCGGCAGCGGTTGAAAGTGGCGATTCGCGGAGGAGGTCGTTGATGGTGTCCTTGAGGAGGTCATGAGGCTTGTCAGATACTTCTGATTGGAGAATGGTGAGGGCGTCCTCGAGCTCGCGGATCCGGGTGGACATGATTTCAATTTGGTTGTGCAGCTCTTCGGTGTTGGCCAGAACCATCCTGTGTATGATTGGCGTCAGCGCTCATGATCACAGAAATGAGGATGTAAGTGTCGAATATTGGGATGAACGATGAATGCGTTCAGGGGAATGTGAAGGACGCAAGTTCAAGGAAGAAGCATACCGATTGCCTTTACCGGCAGTGAGAGAACCTAGATAGGCGCGCGGGAAGATAGTTTCTCAGCGCGTATGTCCCCTAGAGCCAAGGAAAAGTTCAGCACACCATTGGGACATATTGCTGCACACCCTCTCTTCGTACACGTCTCGCAGGGGACCTGACACACCACATCGTATCAGTCTCACCAGTCACTCCGCGGGCATGAAACGGTCTATATCCGAGTCCCCCACCTTGCGATCACATCTAAGCTTGAGTCTGTACCCATGGCACAAACCGTCAGCGTTCCAAACGTTGCTCGGAGGAAATCCGGGGAGGGGCAGTATGTTATAATAGATGCTTACCTACGACACTCGGCGCAGGACGTCGGCACGCGGCCAGGCTTCCGCCTCTCCTTGGCCTCTGCGCGCAACTCGCTCGCTCGCGGACTCACTGGCATCCTAATATTGTATTTTCCAATCTGTGGCCGTTTTCGTGAAGAAGAAGGGTTGGGTGTATGCGGATCAAGGTGGGGGAAGGTGCATAGGAGAAAGCGTTCCCTGGTGTCCAAGCCGCCGAGAACAAGTGCGCGTTGCGGCTGACAGAGCTGCCTCTTACTAAGCTCGCCTGCCTGCTTTTGGAAAGACGCTCGGAGCGCGCGGGAGCGAACCTTGGGCGTGTGAAACATGACTCGAGGTCCGAGGAGTTCGGCCGTCGCCTTGGCCCGCGCAGCGCCTTCAGCGACTCGCTCTGAGCACCAAAACATATTGTAGTACTACCCAAGCTGGCTGCTCTCACTTCACAAGGAGAAAACCACCAAAATGCTCAGCTAATCTGTGGGTTCAGGCGAAGAAAAGTCTGTCCTGCTATCAGTGAATGTGCGCCCGCACGCTCGGACTAACAATGTACCGAAGTCCAATCTTATTCCCGACTTATTGTTAGATACTTGACACTTACGCAACAGGGTGTACTGCACCTTACTTACCGTAGGTTTGGCCCATAACAGCGCTAGCGAAAGCAACAGTCTATGTATTTAGTACATCTATATATATAAAAGGATGACTGCACGATCATCCGCAACAAGGACTTACGCTAACATGAAGCAATTTCCTGCTACTTGTCGTATCTAGTCCTAGATCCGTACACCATCACCTCTCTCGAACTGGGACCCTGTTGAAGGCCACGGGTAGTATACTAGGCTATAAATACAGGATAAGTTGAATCATTACCACTAATGCGGGGAACACCGCGCAGCAATCACTGGTATACCCAGACTAGAAGCACAGCCATGAGTCAAGATCGTACACATTGAGCGATTAACATGAAGGTACTCACCGGCAAGGGCAATCACTGCGTACAGCGTGACAAGCATGAGGCCCTCCATGTAGTTGGACTTGCCATCCCTACATCAGTATCGTGCATTGAGCCACGCTGAAATCGTGAAGCAAAGGACATGAGAGTACGTACATGATGAGGAGAGTGACTAGGAAGACTGAGACGAAGATGATGACGGTCTGAACACAAATATCAGTATAGTACACTCGATGCCGAATGCAAAAGTAAAGTGACCTCGAAGTTAGCAAAGAAGAGCGTGAGCTCGTGGCCTGAGCTGAAGTGGCGGTCAGCGTAAAACATCGTATACAAGTCAATTAAATTTACTTACGCCCAGCCTACAATGACCAAAAGTGGGATAACAAAAGTCGCAATTTGCTATCCAAGCGCAATCACTCATCAGCAAGCATTCGTACACAAAGCTTGAGCACGACGCGTACTATGGAGCTTCCGATACAGATGGCTATGGTGAGCTCAAACTTATTCTTCATCGCCATCCAGATGGATGTGACGTGCTCGGGGGCGTTGCTGGCGAGAGGGAGCAAGATGAGACCGATGAACGTCTCGGGGATGTGGTACCGCTCAGCAAACTCTTCAATGGATGCGACCACTATACCAGGGGTAGGCCAGTTAGAGTTGAGTCTCCCGAGAAGGTAACACAGAATTTACGGTATTCTGCACAGAATGCGGTGACAGCGGTGACGAGCATTAGACTGTCCCAGCCATTGGTATCAGGCGCATACACGAACGTAACATCATAACATACCCAACTATCGCTGATAGCGCATTCATCTTGGCGGGCTCTTCCTCTTCATCCTCATCTAAGAAAAACTCCTTGTGCGTCTTGAGCTAGAAGGACGTCAGACCTGACATCAGCGTCCAAGATATATAAAAATGCTGCACCTGAAAGAACAAGTGAGCAGCGTAGACGGCGAGCAGGAGAACGGCGGTCCCGCGTGAGATAGTCAACAGGCCGGGAGAAGGGCAGCCGCCAATACTGGCGGAGACATTGCATTGGCTGGCAGCGTTCTGGCTGTTGGCGGAGAAGCTGGCGTACGCGGCGGGGACCACCAGGGCTAGCGGACATTTGGGACAAGAGTGAGAGCGGTTGGGAGACGATACTTACTTATGCAGGCCAGAGTCATCAACTAGCAGTAACCCTTGAGCAAATATTGCACGGGTACGTTGGAGAAGACACATACAGATGTCGAGCTATATTAAGATTAGATGCACATTGAAACAAGGATGTCATGGATACTCACGCCTGAGCGCCTTCAGCCTGGAAGTTGCATTCATGATATTTCAGGCCTCCTGTGCTCGCAGTTCAACTTTAACTCAACCAAAATTCCAAGCTGGATATATGCACCGGCGAGGAAAGAAAGCCCAAGGACAAGGAGGATATCCGATAGAATCGACCCTAGCATCTATTTCGATGTCAGTCTTTCTACGGCATTCTGGATTTATGTCGAGCATCTCACAGATGTCTGCACAATGCGAAGTTGACCTGTATAACAAGTGGTGTGAATGCACATATCGGTGAGTTGGGTATGGGCGTCACTATGGACTTCAGCACATACCATCGAGGAGAGCCGTGATTCCGACGATGATCTCTACCGCATTTCCAAACGACGCGTTCAAAAGGCCGGAAAGGGTTCCGCCGACCTTGACAGACAGTTGATCCGTGGCTTCCCCGAGGAGCTATCACCAATTGGATGTATCATAAGTCTTTGATATAACGAGTCGAATAGGACGAGGTATATGGCACTTACCTTGGCAAGCGGCACTATGGCGAGGAAACTGAAAGAGAATCGCAGCCCAACATTCCAGCCGAGGTTATGTGAGACAAAGCAAAGCGGGACGAAGACGAGGAGAACATTGAACCAAGACCCAAGGAGAAAGTAGCGATATGATTGCTTCCATGAGGGCTCTCCTTCAACCTGGATGGCGTTGAGGACGCGACGCGTGCGCGTGAACTGGGGTGGCTGTTGCGCGCCGTTCCCGCTCTCGACATCCGGAGAATTTAGCGAGCCGGACAAAGAAGGAAGGACTGTTGAGGACGTTGAGGGCCGAACATTAGACGCGGAGAAGCTTAGCGGTATCACACTGGCAGTGTTGCGCTGCGCCATCGTCACTGCCATTGTATGACGGCGTTTGAAACGTCTGCCGCCTGTCGCTCCGATGATAAAACAACGGTATGTAGTGGTCCGAGCCAGAGATCTTCGGAGACGCGTGTAAACAGCGTGTGACTGAGCAGATAAGTTTTCACCTCCGATTACCTCGCTGAGTTCCATATCATTCACATGCTATAGAAATTTCTCAGCAAGTGGTGGTCCTTGATTCTTTTCGTGTTGATTTCGGTAGCGAGCACTGCTGCATAGGTGAGGCGTTATCTTGCCGGGAAATCAGGAAAGCTTACTTGTGCTGTCTTGTGCACTGGTCGACGCCGATTGGCCACAAATGCAAGGGTCATCTGTCCTCTAGCGCCTAATTACTGATCTTAGTGCTTGGCGGCGCGTTACGAACTCATCTTGACCAATCATACTACTTGCTATGTTTATCTTCGTCTCGTTCAGGTGAAACAGTGGTGCAGCCTGAGACTACAGTGCCGGACAAGCAAAGTCGACAAATTTGGTAACTGACTTTTGACAGTACTTTTGGCCAATTTTTCATCGGGAACGGGTTCGGAAAGGCAAAAGGAGCTTAAAAAATGCCTTCCGAAGTTTTTCCCACGACTTTTGGCCGCGATCAATTTTTTGAGAGAAAAAAATGCAACTTTATAGGGGTAATTGCCTTATTGGGGTGTCTTATAATCACGTAATCCATGAAGGAAGATGCTGATTGAGCAAGAGAATTACCATAGTATCTTTAGTGTTGCTGCGGCTCGAGAAACCAGCTCAAACCGACCCCTCGAAATGCACTTTCTTGCTACAATACCGATTAACGAAGTGTGAATCTTCGCGGTTTTTAACCTCTACACAGCAACGAGGTATGCTATCTAGACTGATAATGTTAATGAGTCCTTTCATCGACTTGGTTCCAGCCAGTTCGCCAAATGCGGCAACACTAAGTATCTTGGCAGGGCAAGGATGAAGCCCAGTAAGAAGTGGTCTTGCTCAAAACGAGCAAAATCTAGTGGAAATCTACTTGTATCTAGCTGGATTCAGTCAAATACCGGGAAATATAGTCAAACCTAGTTTTTCTCGGGATACTAAATAAAACTAGATCAAACTAGAAAATGGTACAATTCTAGATAAAACTATAGCGTGAGTCAGGTCACATATAGCATGATCTAGTGGGCCTGGGATATGCTATATCTTGAGAGTTCCGTGGCTGGAATAGAGAGTATAGTCATAACTAGTTTAATCCAGTTCCCTATAGTTTGATCACGTGGCTCGGTACGGGATCAAAACATACACTAGATCACCATCTAGTGCAAAATATGCATTGCAGAATAGGGGTACATCATTATATGCGCAGCTACGATTGTCCAGAATATGAAAGAGTCCATGGTGAAGGTATAATGCAACAAGGGGAACGTAAAGGAGCGTGTCAGGAGGTGAGACGACCAGCAAAGGGGCAGAGAGCACGGCAGGGGGGGTCAAAGAAGTTTGAAACACGGCAAAAATCTCAGACTCTGTGAAAATCAAGACATGAATCAATAGGAGGCAGCAGCAGGGCGATGACGAAAGACGATGAGGATAATAGCGCACCTCAGGTGTCTGGTAGTTCTAAGCGAGACAATAGAATACAAGCCCGGTCGCGCACATTGTGCCGTTGAGCATGTATGCGCGGATCTTGCTCTGTTGGTCCTTTGAATGGAGACTGCATTGAGCTTCTAGTAACCAACCTGTCAGCGCCGTGGGGTTGCGCGACCAATGAAAGATGTGAAGAATCGAAAAATGTTCAGGCAAGGAGGACGTATGCATAAGAAAGCATACCTCGAAGAGCTCCTTGTCAGGCTGAAGCTACACTGTCGTAGCCATGATGTCCTCGTTGATGATGAATCTTATACCCGTGCATGCAGAGGAAGTTAAGCTTTAAGCCTGTACAAAATACCGTGAAATTCCATCAGCAAAGCGCATAAAACAAAAGGAGATCAGTATGGACTCACATCGGAGGGGAGAAAAGGGGATCAGGTGGTTGGGGAGAAAGGGAGAGGGAGAGATGCGACACAGAAGAGAGACGCCAAGAGGCTGAAAGCGTAAGTCCGCTTTGCCAATAGGGGCTTTCCAAATTGAGCGCAGTTTCTTGAATCCTAGCGACTGAAGGAGAACGTAGTTTTATATAGTGCGGTCTAGTTGTAGACGAAACTAGACGTACTTGGGACGCGTTCAAGCCACGGAAGCTCCCAAACTCAGTCTCACTAGACGTTACTAATATTTGCTTAATCTGACTCGATATGAATAGATCGCTGGGAAAAACTGAATTTCACTAGATCTCGCTCGTTTTGAGCAAGACCACTTCTTACTGGGGATGAAGGGGCACCTCCTCTACCGTACCACACCGTCAAATCGAAGTATGAATATTTGAATCCCCAAACTGTGGTCTGACCTCTCTCTCAAGATTATAGGGGCTGTGTACAGCTTTTCGAAGGCGAAGACTGGGGTTAAGCTAATTTATGAGCTATTGGCTCGACAGATTCTCCTGATATTCACTGGGGACGGCCCTCCAAGCATTACAAGACATTCTAGATACTTTATAAAAGATATAAAATGGTCAATAAAACGGGTGACCGGCGTGTTCTACCCTATACAACTCGCTACTAAGATTTTTTAAAGGAAAACTGAGACCAGGGCCATCATCAGACAACCGAAAGGAGCTCAAAAACGTACCTCCGAAGTTTTTCCCACGACTTTTTGCCGCGATCAAATTTTTGAGGGTTAAAATCCGTAAATGGTAATTTCTGAGGGAATAGCTCGATAGTTTTCTTTGAAATTTATATGAGAACCTCCTTTAGTTAATATGTATCGATTCCGATGGTTATCGGAGGTAATAAAAATGGTCGACCAAATTGGTCGACTTTGCTTGTCCGGCACTGTACTCAGACAGGAAGATGGATGAGACAACACGAAGAAACCTATGTAAGTTAGTGGTGGGGATGAAGCCTGTGAAGGGCTCGTGATGATCTTTTCGCCTCCCTAAGATCATTTACATTCCTACTTAGTTCTAATGAACGGCCAAGAGTTGATGGCCGTTATGCGGGGCCCGACTCAGGGATTCGATTGGTGTTTGAGTACTTGAATTGAAACCTACTTTTGTTTGGCGCATGATGAAGCGCGGATAAGGGTAAGTAACAAGTCACTCCAGGATGACATTGGTGAAGGCGCAAGGGCAAACACAGCGGTCATGAGAAGAAGATGGATCTGGTGATGGAGCAGGAGGGCGATAATAGCCCCTATCTGTCGGCCGAGTCGACGCTCCGCTTGATAAATTGCTTCCGCGGGACTTCTTCGCTGGTCAATGATTTTGCTCGCGACGCGCTTGCACCTCCATCTCTTCACAACATCACATCCCCCACTTGATGCCCACCTCATAACTTATCGGGATCTCACTCGCGAGCCTATTGCTTAGGTGGGCCTCGTGGGCATAGGCAGAAAACGTCAAAAACGCCATATGGCTGGAGTCGCAAAAACGACGTGAGGAAACCAGAAACTCGTGTTGTTCGGTTCCCCGGCCGTTTGACGCGCCATGCCATCGGCCATTTGGTAGCGGATTCTTTGATCGTAGATTTTGTTGGGCGTCTGACAAGCCCTCTGCTTATAAGTCAGTCCCTTTTCTCCTTTAGCGCTCTTTCCCTCGCACCCCTTCCCGCCCACCTTGGTGCGCTCAATAACCCTTCTCCCTTCTTCCAACGCCCACCCCGCGGCTCACAGCGAGACAGCAGGTACATATAGATCCGCCAAAGAAAGACACGAGATGGAGAACCCATTCGATACTGCTAAAACGCGCCCCTCAAACATCAGCACACTCGCCGCGACAGAATACACCGACTTTCCAGAGTCGTCCTCCCCCGTACGCGAGGGTTTGCCTTTTAGCAACAGCCCACCACCTACGTCGACTTCCGACAGCGATATCAAACGACTCGCGCAGCCCAAGCACCGCTTCGACGAGGTCATCCCGCCCACGCATTCTAACAGGACGATTGTACTTTGCTTCGATGGGACGGGGGACCAGTTCGATGGGGATGTAAGTCTTCATTATCCCTCTTTCTTTCCCTCTTCCTTATGTTTCGTCCATCTCGTTCCTTCTCAAGCTGTTTCATTCACCGGACACGACTGATGAAGGGCTGTACTGACATACCCGTCTCCAACGTAGAACTCCAACATCGTCCAGCTCTTTTCGATGCTGCGCAAAGACGACCGAAGTCAGCAGATGGTTTACTATCAGGTAAGTCTCGTCTTCCATGTCCGACGCCGACAAAATAGATACTATCAGCTAACCCCAGACGTTTAGGCTGGTATTGGAACGTACCACATCCCGCAGATGGCCACGCCCGCGATGGCCGCCTTCGATAAGACGCTCGACATGATGATCGGGAACCACCTTAATGGTCATGTTATGCGTTCGTCTCTTCTACCCGTCCCACCATAGTATGAAGCTAACACTTTGGTGTTTTCCAGAGGGCTACGAGTTCCTCATGCAGAACTGTAAGTGCCTTCCTGTGGATATATGCGCTATCCCGACTGACAGCTTTCTTATCAAAGATCAAGCTGGCGACAAAATCTGCATTTTTGGATTCTCGAGGGGTGCTTACACTGCCCGTGCTCTTGCTGGGATGTGAGTGGACCCGTTTTTTTTCCGTTGCCGATCGTTTCCTGACTTCATTGTAGGATCCATAAGGTCTATCTTCACTTTACCCGTGCTTTGCGATTGCTCACTCCAGTTCCCTGTTGCATCCGCGTCGTGTAGGTCGGCCTGCTGCCCGCCTCAAACACACAACAAGTCCCGTTCGCGTACAACATGTACTGTCGCGACGATGAGGTCGGATGGCGTCAGAGCGTGCAGTTCAAGAAAGCCTTTTCAATGAACGTTGACATCGAGTTCGTTGGCGTATGGTGTGTCCATCCCTTCCCTTCTCCTCCTTTGCTCTAACATCAGATTCTACGATATTAGGGATACAGTAAGCTCCGTTGGCATGATCCCGCGCCGCCTGCCCTTCACGAAGACGAATGACAACATCCGTCATTTTCGACACGCAATCGCTCTGGACGAGCACCGAGCGTGAGCGTCGCATCTCCCTATTCTCTAGCGTTGGTCAGGCTGGGCTGACGAGGATTTCTATACAGGCGCTTCCAGCCAAGCTTGTGGAGCTTCGCCCAGGATGAGAAGCACCACCGCCATGTCAAGTCGCACCACATGCCCCGGATATCACACAACGGAAGCAGGATTAGCGCCCGCTACGAAAAAGACCGTGAGGCGAAGGAAGAGAAAGACCTCAAGTTGCATGATCTTGTGAATCATGAGCGGAGCCTAACGCTCGAGAGGCAATTCTCGGAGTACGAGCCCGTGACCGATGTCCAGGAAGTGTGGTTTGCTGGGTGTCACTGCGGTTCGTCCTCCTTTAATAGCCGGTTTTTTGAGTCCGTAGACTGATGAGGCAATCGTGCATGCAGATGTAGGTGGCGGCTCCGTCGTCAACGGCACGCGAAACTCGCTCGCACGCATCCCACTGAGGTGGATGCTCCGCGAGATCTTCAAATGCAACGTCGGCATCATGTTCCACAAGGAGATGTTCAAGCAAGTTGGGATGAACCCCGACTCAGTGTACCCCTTCGTGCACGAGCGCGCGCCGCCAATCTACCAGTCCCCGTCAACGCCGATCCCCACGCCAACGGTGGTGAAGCTCGAGGAGGACCCAACGTACATCACGTACACGGACCACGGCGGGTTCGTGAACGAAGAGGAAGAGGACATGAAGGATGCGCTGTCCCCGATCTACGATCAGCTTGAGCTCGGTAGGGGGTGGTGGGTGTTGGAGATGACGCCGCAGCCAAGGAGGTATCAGCGGGACGATGACGGGAAGTGGGTGACTAAGTGGTCGTAAGTCACATTTCTTGCGACTTCTACAATCCGTCCTCTAATGGCGTGGCGTGACTAGGATCAATAAGGGCAAGGGCAGGCATATCCCACGACAGGAGGAAGAACGTGTTAAGATCCACAGGTCGGTCAGGATACGGATGGAGGCGGAGGGGTTCAAGGAGAAATATTGGCCCAAGGCGCATCTGCATTGCGAGCCGATATGGGTTGATTGAGAACGTACATCTACTTCTTTTCTCGGTTTCAGCATCTCTTTACTCACCAGATCGTGGGAGTGCTCTCTTGCTCCGATCACTGTCATTCATTTTCTTTCTCGTTTTCGGTTTTCTTCTTTCTTGACATACCAATCGTCCATCTGATTATGTTACAAATGTCCGCATGAATAATTCAGAACACGCTATACTGACGGGTTAATCTCAGCCCCAAACGGCCATCCCTTGGACTATCCCTGTACTCCGTTCAAGCAACCCTTGCTGTCCCATCAGCCTGTGAGAGAATTCTGCCTGTGTTACCTCATCAGCCAGCGGACTGTGTAAGTTGAGCGGACTCCACGCATTATGATGTTTATCTAGCCTCTTCTAGGTAGACCGTGGTACTTATTCCTTTGATAATAGTCGATCAAGCAATTGGAAGATGCTTGTTGGTGGACATTCTCGGACCGGAGCCGAAAGACCCCGACCTAAATTCATTCCCGCGGGCCTGGGCATGGTGCTGAAACCAAGCGCCCGTTCTCAGCCCACAAGCCAAAACGTCGTTTGTATGCTACAGCTCTGTGACTCTGATGCGTCCTGGCAGATTCTGGCTAATTAGGTCCTGGCAGGCTCATCAATGGCAGACGGCTTTGATCTGTCTCCGGGGCTCGCGCCGGAACCGGCAAGTCACTGTCACTGACCGCCAACTGACCGCGAACGTTCAGATGCCCGACTCAATCGGGACCCGGGTTCATGGTCCTGGTGTCAACCTGGTGTCTCCAAGACTCCTACTGTCTCGACGTCGGAAATCATCCACTTTGACGTGACTCATTTCCGCATCAACACCTCCGCCTTTGACGCCTCTTGGTCTTCCTGGAACTTTGGACGTCACGCGAAGTCAAAGGGAACCACGGTTCCACAATGGGTGCGCAATATACCATTGTAAAGCTTCTTGTTCGGCTCAACAGGCATTTGTTCATTGGCACGCTGTGACAGCTTTATTGACGGAACAAGACGGAAGTATTCAATCTCTGAACAACGTGACATCATGCGTTATCGACGACAGCCAAAGTGTGGAACCTGTGCACCAGGATATAAGCACGATTCCTCGAGGCACCCTCGCGTCCGCATCATCACCCACTTTTTATCCTTACATCTTCTTCCCAACTTTAACCTTGAATCGCCCGTTACGCCCTTTTACGAACCCGCACGACGAATCTCTGGTTTAGCATCAGTACCTCTCAGGAAGCAAGCTCGACTACAAGGCTCATCATGGGATCCAAGATGACCGAGTACACCGACCATCTCACCGGCTCCCCTACCTCAGACACGTTCAGCAGCAACAACAACATGCAAAGTTTTTACGTTCGGGTCGACAACGCCGAGGGACGCCCCAACGTCGTTGCGGACGGCGAAGTCGACGTTGACGGCCTGAACCTCGACGACTCGATGACCCTCGGTGGAGGGTCTGATCACCCATTCGACGAGATCATCCCACCGTACCACGATAGAGCGCACCGCACTGTTGTGCTGTGCTTCGACGGGACGGGAGACCAGTTTGATTCGGATGTGCGTTCTCCCTTTCTCATTACGCGTGTATGACACGAACTGACGTTCGAAATAGAACTCGAACATTGTACAGTTCTTTTCAATGTTAAAGAAGGACGATAGAACCGAGCAGCTTGTATACTACCAGGTGCGTCCGTTACGACCATCATGTTCGGACATCTTGCTAATTGATCCGGTGTCGTTCGCGGTTGCGAATAGGCTGGTATCGGGACGTACACGATCCCTCAAATCGCAACGCCATGGATGGCGAACTTGGACAAGACAATCGACATGATGGTTGGCTCGCATTTGAACGCGCATGTTATGGGTACGTTCATGTGACTAGAAGCGACGCGAATCACTGACGCGAAAGGACCATAGATGGATACAAATTCCTCATGCGTAATTGTAAGCGCTTCCTCCCCTTCTGTTCTTTCCCTACGTATGCCTGACGACTAGCGTGGATCCAAAGACCAAGCGGGGGACAAGATTTGTTTGTTCGGCTTCTCGAGGGGCGCATATACCGCTCGCGCGTTGGCTGGAATGTGCGTCTGTTAGCTCTACTCTCCTTGAAAGTCGTGTTGACGCTCGCCATAGGATTCACAAGGTTGGCCTACTTCCAGTCGACAATGAACAGCAAATTCCATTCGCATACCACATGTACTGCCAAGACGACGAGGATGGCTGGCGAATGAGTCGTGCGTTCAAGAAGGCATTTTCAATCAACGTAGACATTGAGTTCATCGGCGTGTGGTGCGTACTTGTTTTTTCCTCATCTAGCTTGACGCTTACAGAATATGCGCATATAGGGACACAGTGGACTCGGTTGGAATCGTGCCACGGAGGCTACCATTTACGAAGTCGAGCGATAATATCAAGTTCTTCCGCCATGCAATTTCACTGGACGAGCACCGAGTGTGAGTCACCACTTGCTTGCTATCCTGCGTATGAACATCCGTCCTGACTGGCATACGCCTGCAGTCGTTTCAAGCCTAGCCACTGGAAACATCCCGAGTCGCACGAGCACCACCTTGGCGTGAAGAAGCACGAGATGCCGCGCAGCAAGAAAAAGGAGCAAGGGCAAGCGAAGCGACAGCCCACGAAGATCTTGAAGGAGGACGTCACACTCGAGAAGGATCCCCGAACCGACGAGGTAAAAGCGGTGCGAAGGCCAAGACTAGAGGATTTCGAGCACCGTTTCTCAACACACGAGTTCGAGACGGATGTCGAGGAGGTTTGGTTTTCGGGTTGTCATTGCGGTACGCTTACTCCCTCCCTCATCTCTGTTTTACCAAACAGGTGCTAATGGGGTGCACTGGTAGATGTCGGCGGAGGCTCCGTCAAAAACGGAACGCGCAACTCACTTGCGCGCATCCCACTTCGGTGGATGCTTCGTGAGATCTTCAAGGCCAACGTCGGCATCCAGTTCCACAAAGACATGTTCCTCAAAGTCGGGATGGACCCCGATACTCTGTACCCGTTCGTCAAGCCGCGCCCGCCGCCCTTATTCCAGAATCCCATACCCGCGGGGCCGGAGCATATGCACGAGCTTGACTTAAGACGAGACGCGATCAGAAGAAGGAGGAAGACGGCAGACGTGCATCTGGTGCCGATCGCGGCTCCACACGTCGTTGACGATGATCCCACGGTGATCGTGTATAGCGACGCCGGCGGATTCGTCAGCGAAGAGGAGGAAGACTTGGCGGACGCGCTGAGCCCGATGTATGACCAACTTGCGGTGGCTCCTCACTGGTGGTTCCTCGAGATGATCCCCCAGAGGAGACACTATATGCATGATAAGGGTGCTGGATTCTTTGAGCAGTATGCGTGCGTATTGTTCTTCTCCGGTTTTGTCGCGTGAAGCTGATTCAGATTACTTTGGAAACCCATAGTGTGAACATGGGTTCTGGGCGAAACGTGCCAGAGCAGTTCGACAAAGGGGTCAGGTTCCATCGGAGTGTGTTGCTGAGGATGGAATCGGAGGGCTTGGAGGGAGGGAAGTACTGGCCGAAGGCAAGATTTGCGGTGAAGCCCACGTGGGTCGACTGAAGAAGTGGTGCGAATAACAATCTTTCTTCTAATGTATGACTGAATACAATGTAATATGTTTCGCTGACGATTCAACACTTTTGGTCGGAGCAGTGGTTTTGCCCCTCGTCGTTTGGCGCTGGCAGTCTGTTGATGACGATGGCCCGGCGGGCCCGGCGGACCGCTGATCCCGGTTCCGACGGGTCCTGCGCGCATGACGCGACGCGTCTGGTGTCTCATTCACGTAGTCTCCTTTTTGCAGCCGTTTTACACGTGTCGCTGCGTATCATTCAGGCTTTCTTCTTATTCGTCATGCATCATGACTGCACCTTCCATCACTTAGGATATTCATGATGCTTCCTCGAACATTGTACATGACGTTCAGGATAGTCATGGCATCTCACGTCCACGGAGGAGTCAACCAAAATAGTCCGATACATGAATGCGCCGATAGATGGGCCGCGGGCTTCACGTACACACCCTCACCTGACCCCCGCGCTCCAGCAATTTTGTTCATGCCGCTCACAGTCCATTGGTCTTTGAATAACTCGCATTCGCGGCGCGCAACAATGAAGGGAACGTTGTGTCACATGTGCCAGTCGCTCGCGACTAGCGGGCCATGACTTGCCGCCTGGTGAGGATGTTTCTACCAATAAAAGCTCTCGCAACCCTAATCCCGAAAGCGTGTCCGTCAGAGTCCCTCGTACGCACCGTGGCGGAAGACCCATCATGCTTTCCATCTCTCCCCTCATCGTTGCACTCGTCGTCGCATCCACTCCTCTGCAGGGTGCACAAGCATGGACGACCTTCTCTGTGCCGCATGCACCCGGCGCGGATGACGTGCCTGCGCTCATGGCTGCGCTCCAGGGTAACAGCAGCTACACGTCCGACGCGTCGATCGTGTTCGCTCCCAACACGACGTACAATGTCTGGTCGCCGCTCACGTTTCCGATCCTCACGAACGTCGAAGTGCGCATCGAAGGAAACTTGAGCTATCCGCAGAATATAACGCTGGTCCAGGAGGGCGTTGCTAGCTCGGTGGGTGTTGTATGTTCAGCAAAGAAGAAACGAAATTGACATTACTGTTTGGCGGACAGAATTACTCGGGTGCCTGGTCCGTCTTTGGCTCGTTGGATGAAATATATGTGCTAATTTCGAGTATAGGATCGCCTTTGCAGGTGGAAACAACGTCACTTTAAGCGGCACGGAAGATCCGGAATGGGGCTGGATGGATGGCTATGGCCAACAAGTGAGTCTTTGCTGTCTGAAATTACTCATGACTGCCTTCCTAACACACCTATAGTGGTGGGATGATATGCAGCAAACGAACCGCCCTCAGGGCTGGAAGTTTGGTAACATCACGGACGGAGTCATCACCAATCTCAAGGTCTATAAGGTAAATGCACGATCATTATCATCAGTCCCTAGACACTGCCTAACCGTCAACTCGCACGGATAGCCCCCAGCCTGGAATTTCCTGACGAGCGGATCTACGAACGTGCATATATACAACAACACGATCATTGCAAGATCGGATAACGCTTCGTCCTTCCCATTCAACACGTACGTCTCTCTTCAGTCCTATCGACAATTTACAAGCTATCGTCTATCCTCATCACCTAAAACGTTATATTACAGCGACGGTGAGTACCATTTCTACGTGGTCGCCCAGTACATATTTCCAATCCTACATTCTCACAAGGGTGGAACGCTGGCGGAACGAACCTTCTCTTCGAGCACAACTATGTCGTCAATGGAGACGACTGCCTCACAGTGGGCAGTGGTGCCAAGAACGTCACTTGGCGGTATGCATTGTTCCACTCTTGGTACGGACTACTCTGAAGTATCATATCTTGCAGAAATAGCTACTGCGAGGGCGGACACGGCCTCTCCATTGGCTCGTTGGGGAAGGGAGGCTCGGTTGCGATGGTACAGGACATCTTGTAAGTCTTGTATGTATTGAGTACAAAGCATGACGCTGACCAATGTTTTTTTTCTCCTGAGGTTCGAGAATACCATTATGGTCAGCCGCATCTTCGTGTCTTGTTCGCGCGACTTTAACGCGTCTTTCTGTATGCGCAGAACACTACACTGTACGGTGCCAGATACAAGAGCTGGACGGGTGGTAATGGCGCAGCAATCAAGTAGGCATCGTTCTTCACGTTCAAAGTGCAGGCTGTGACTGGGTTAACCTTCGCGGTTTAGTGTAACTTGGCGCAACATCATGTTCATGGATGTCATGTTTCCGGTGCTTAGTCTATTTCTTCACATATGAGCATTGGAACTGATGAATATTTATGCACTCGTAGATCTATGTGACTCAGAAGTGAGTAGGACGTCATGTTGCATACCAGTCCATGTTGCTTACTCCCTGGCGTATTTAGCTATTGGGATCAAGGTGTATGTGCTCCGCTCGGTGGAAACACAGCTTCAGTTTGCTAAATCTACGCTTCCTTCAGGTTGGAGGAAAGCCGAATTCGAGCTCAACCAATGAGACACACATTGAGAACTTCCTGTTTGAGAACTTCGTCGGAACCATTCAAAAGTGAGTCACACTAGATCTTCAGCTTTGCCCTCACGTTTAAGTGTCTGTCTAGTACTCCTGGATACAAGGAAGGCTCTTGCATCAGCGATCCCTGCTGGTATGATTACACCTCCTGGGATGCGATATGAGATTGTTCACCGCCGTCTTTTCACGCTGCAGGTACTATGTTGCGAATGCGACTGGGAACGAAGTCATAATTCTCGATCTTTACCCCGATACCGGTGAGCTCCTCGTGGATGGACGAAAACCGTGACTGATAACATCTCGTTAGCCTTAAATGTCGTTGCAAAGAATCTGTATGCACAGACGCTGACTGGTGCACCGGTCGCTGCAATGTGCAATTCATCGACTGTGAGCCTCTTACCCTAACCTCTGCTATCCCTCCTAGAGTTGACTAACATGCTGTGAAATAGACCTCGAACGATGTTGGCTTCGAGTGCTGGGATGGGACATACATTCCCGATGCTATCGGAATGTGAGATTATACCTGAAACACACATACAAATTGAGACGTAGCTACGAGAATGATAATGATTATCTCACCCGAGAATGTCTCGAAATTGCTCGAAAGTCAACACCGTTCCCGTCATTATCCACCCGGTGAAATCCTTAGTGTAAGCTGTGCCTCGATGGCAGCCACGATTATGTTTTCTTTCTCGACTTTACTCTCACAGTCAGATGCTCTCATCAGCGCTCAAGGTCACTTGCCTGCACAGAGTTCTCTTCTGAAGAAGAACGACGTATATGTGCCCCAAGATGTACCCCTAAAATAGCACAGGTCCGACGGAGCGGACGGGCCGGCGTTGATTCGACGGGCTTACCATCTTTTTGCTTGACGCAATGGCTTGACGCCAACCAACCATCGGTAGTCTTTAACCTCTTTCCCGAAGGTCTGGAGGCTATCGATGCTCCGTTCCAAGGATCAGACCTCATTTCCAGTGTTTCGGGCACTCAGGCTTTCTTTCCGGAGCTTTGGCCCTCGACTCGGACTCACAGGTGTGCTTGTTCCGAATGACGGCATCGCCTGATGGCTGTATGGAACATCTCATAACTTCTGTGAAACTTTCGTGAGTTTCCGAGTCCCATGACCTTCATACTCCAGCTAGTTTCCATCACATGTCACCACGTACATGAGAGCCCTACCCGCGTCTCCGCGACTTCACTGAGCAACAAGTCTTGTATAAGAGTGTTGTCAAATGTTCTCAGAATGCCACGGTCTATCCATTCTAGTCAAATCCAACGACGCGACTGTCGTGTTCAGAATGCGACCCCCACAAACCCAACGCCTGCTTCTCTTGTCTTCTCTGGTCGCTCTCGCCTCCGCACAGACAACGCTCATCGTCCCGCATACCGATGGATCCGACGACGTCCCAGCGCTCACAGCCTTGCTCTCGAACACCAGCAACGGCCCAGGGAGCTACACTTCGGAAGCATCCATCATCTTTAGTGCAAACACGACATATAATGTCTGGTCTCCGCTCGTGTTTCCTGAGCTGAATGATGTCGAGGTGCGAATCGAAGGGAACTTGACCTACCCGGAGAACATCACCCTCGTACAAGAGTATGTTGGCGCATCGGTGATTGGCTTTAAAACTCTAGAGGGATTATCGATACTTACTCAACGATGACCGTTTGGCATAAATCTCATTCTAGAACTATATGGGTGCTTGGTAAGGTTTGTTGATTTAAATCACATACTGGTCCTCACGATGGTTAGGATCACCTTTACTGGAGGAAAAAACGTCACCTTAAGCGGCTCCCGAGATCCTACACAAGGTTGGATGAACGGAAATGGGCAACTTGTACGTCTATTTGTTCTGGACTTAGCTGTTCGCGCTGACCACTAGTCGGTCGCGCTGACCCTGACCTGTCGGTAACAGTGGTGGGATATCGCGCAGCAGACCAACCGTCCGTACGGTTGGCTCTTTGGGAACATTACTGGGGGTGTAATCAGGAACCTCAAAGTTTACAAGGTAAGTGCTCTCCCTCCCCAGTTCCAACTTCGCGAGTGGGTACTGATAATGCCCGTAGCCCATCGCGTGGAACTTCATCACAACCGGATCGACAGACCTTCTCGTATACAACAACACCATCCTCGCCGGCTCGTCCAATGCTTCGGCGTATCCCTTCAACACGTACGCAAATATTCCCTACTTTCCTCCGCATGTCTCGTCCTGATAACACGGCCCGTAGGGATGGTTTCGTCGCGCAGGGAAACAACCAGGTCTACGAGAGCAACTACGTCGTCAATGGTGACGACTGCATACGCATTGCGGACCAGTCCATGAACATCACATGGAGGTACATTTTCATCCACAGTCCACGAGATTTGTTCTTTAGAGGCGTTGATGTCGATACGATTTACAGGAATGGCTATTGCGAAGGCAGTCACGGCCTTTCCGTTGGGTCCTTGGGCGCGAGCGGCGCAGACTCTATGATCATGAACGTACTGTAAGTCCTATCCATCGCTGGACTCGTCTTAGCCACCGATAATAATGCGCTTTCATGTATAGGTTTGAGAATAGCATCATGGTACAAAATTATTTTGCTCAGTCCAAGCACTTATGCTAACGCGTTCCTCAGAACCACACATTGTACGCAGCTCGCTTTAAGAGTTGGACAGGCGGAAATGGCATCGCAGCTAAGTACGCCTAACCTACTAGTACCCAACTTGCAGCACGCAAGATCTTAACACAACTGCGTTCTGTAGCATTACCTGGAGAAACGTCCTGTTCAATGACGTCATGTTCCCGGTGTGTATTATATCGGCATTTTCAGCTCTTGCAGAGGACTCACCCTTTCCTAGATCTACGTTACGCAGAAGTAGGCAGGCTACACCTAGCAGTCTTCCGTAGAACTTGCTAACAACTGGTTATTCCGCAGCTACTGGGATCAAAGCGTGTGTTCCCAACACCTCTCATCTTCACCTTCGTTATAACGACGATCCTATATAGCTTGGACCTAAACCCAACGCGTCAAATGTCAACGAAACACACATCTCCAACCTTCTCTTTGAAAACTTCGCAGGCTCAGTGAACGAGTTGAGTTTCTCTCACTTTCTTTACTGGTGCTTATACATGCAGCGACTAAATGTAAGTAAAACCAGTATCCCAGGTTATCAAGACGGATCGTGTGTCTCCGATCCCTGCTGGTGAGAGAGAAATCAGATCAAGTTGTGAACCGTGACCGAGTATAGTACGCAGGTATTATGTTGCGAACGCCACTGGCAAGGAGGTTGTCATCTTTGACTTGTATCCGGGATCAGGTATGACTTATCAATGGCATCGACCACGTCCGTCGACTAATGGCCACTCAAGCTACGAATGTCGTCGCTCAGAATCTTTTCGGCACGACGGTCACTGGTGCTCCAATTGCAGCGATGTGCAACACCTCCACAGTAAGGAACCTACTTACATGCCAGGTCCTATACATTGATCACTTGTGACCAGATCTCTACGGAAGTGGGGTTTGTCTGCCAAGACGGGCCATACATCCCAACTTCACTGGGGTGGTAGAGGAAATCAATCAAACGTAGTAAGCCTGCAAAATCATGTGCATTGAGAGTAAAATACCGGTATGCAGTGATTCAGCAAACAGTTTTCTACGGCGTACATGGGGACAAAATTAGGATGTAGGACGAGAATGAGTGAGACGACAAATCAATACATAATACAGACTAGGCTTATCGCGATCGTGTATTCATAGGAAGAGGCACATGAAGAGATGGATGAGATGTAGTGGGTGAAGCCGATTAAGAGCGCTCGCCACGGAGGCGACGGGCAAGAGCGAGATCCTTGGGTTGACTGCGGAGATAATGAGCGACAGCTTGGCCAGAGAACCAGACATCGACATACATGGTAACACGCTTAGCATGGATGGCAGCCAAGTTGGTGTCCTCGAAGAGGGAGACGAGGTAAGCCTCAGCGGCCTCCTGAAGGGCCATAACAGCCGAAGATTGGAAGCGGAGATCGGTCTACGCATGTAAAGTTAAGTTTTGAATGCGAAGATATGCTTCACAATGTAACGAACCTTAAAGTCCTGAGCGATCTCACGAACGAGACGCTGGAAGGGGAGCTTCCTGATCAAAAGCTCGGTAGACTTCTGGTAGCGACGGATTTCACGCAGAGCGACGGTACCAGGGCGGAAACGGTGAGGCTTCTTGACACCACCAGTGGCGGCCTTTAGAACGATAAGTAAGTTGACAGGCTTCCGAGGGCATGCATGCGAAGGGTAGCGGACGTACGGCGGCAGCGGTCTTGCGAGCGGCCTTGGTAGCGAGTTGCTTACGGGGGGCCTTGCCTAAGACACGAGGCATAAGTCAACACAAGCACAGGGCCCACGCGGCGTCGAAGACGCACCTCCAGTCGACTTGCGAGCGGTTTGCTGATAGGCGACAAAGATCAAGTCAGCATGCGTCGATAAGAGATGCAGAGGGCGGACAACATACCTTAGTACGGGCCATTTGTCTTGAGGTTGGACTTGTTAGTGTTGTCGGTGTCTTCGGTGGTGGTGGTAGTGGACAGAGGGAGGCGTCGAGCGCGGGTCCGTTTGTTGAATGACATCCGCTCGGTTCCCACGCCTTCTCGTTTCAGGGTCCGCCAGCACGTTGCCACTAAACAATGCACCGCCACCCGGGCGTGTCCGTATTGGCGTTCCACCGTCTGAGCATCGCACAAGAGCTCGAGCACGATGTTGATAAGTGAGAAAACTCTCGATTTGCATACAAGGGGGTATTCAATTAACGTATCGACGCAGGTTAAGCATCCTCCTACACTATCAATGGTCTATAACTATGCATAGTCCCGGCTGAGCGTACGGCATCACGCTCCAAAGAATCAAACCCAAAAAGCCAGGAAAGTCAGGCGCAACGTTACCGCAATAGTCCTAGGATGGAGGCACGGGTAACGGAGGTCTCCTGGTTAGGACGTGCCCTATGCGACGATACCAGTGAGCTGTCGCGAGGAACGCGTTGACAACCGCCCCGTCCTCTGTGTGTATTATGCGGGAACGTAGTGTCCAAGAACCCAGGCCCTGAAGGATGGTCTGGAACTGGTCAACAACATCGTCTGCCGAAGGTCTCATTAAAGGGTCGGCAGCGGTCATGGAGTCAATCAGAGGTACGAGAAACTCGACCCCCCGCGTTCCCTAATGCGCATCAGACACCATCTGCGACAGTCGACTTCGATACCACTCACCTGTAAAATAGCTTGCTTAATCACGTTGCCGACGCAGTATATGTCAGCACGAAACGGATTCTGAGGGGGACACTTTCGGTCCTGGTGCTCGGGGACGGTTTTGTCTCCCCCTCTGATCACCGGTTCCACCGGCTCGGAAAGGGGAGTGGAAGGATCGTAGCGGCGAGAGAGGCCGAAGTCGATGAAATAATACTTCGGGGGTCGCTTCGTTCGAGTGTAATAACTCACTTCGCCAGAGAAGTCTCGCTTCTTGACGTGTTCGACCGGATGCCACCCGCCGATGAACATGGACTCGGCGTCCATCATGATATTGAGATAGGAGCAGTCTCTAAAGAAACGCATGAACATCGATAGGAAAAAGCGAGAAGGCGATGTCGCTCTTACCTATGTGCGACACGATTATCGTGCATGAATTTCAGGCCCTGTGAAAAGACACGATCAGCATTGGGAGGGTATGTAAGTAGAAAAAGATGCTTGCCTCGAATAGTTGTCGGCAAAACTCGACGACTTCCCCGACAGTGTCGAAAAACGGATCCCAGAACATCTTCAAGAGTGGCATGACCAAGATGAGACGGTCCTCCTCCTCTGGGTCCTGAAGCACCTCTAAGATGGGGATGCAATGGTTCGAAGGGTGTGTAGCCAAAGACCCCGAAGTCAAGAACTGGCCTATTTCGGCCTCGTACGGATGTACAGCCGCCCAAATCTTTTTGAGCATCACGAACTTGCCATACTTAACGCAAACTGCGTCTGCTAGATTCGTATCCTGTAGTTGAACATGTAAGCAAAAGTGTCAACCAGGGGAGATGTATCGTTCCCCACCACGAAGCAATGTCCATCTTCGCATTGGTAGAACTGCTTTTTCGTACCCCGCCAAGACGGAGTCCAACCCGGGCGATACCGGGGTCTGAGTTCGTAACCTCTGTCCTTGAGCCACTGGTATCGTTCGGCCCACCACACCTCTGGTTTGAACAGTGTAGCGGCCAATTCTCGCTTTCCAGTGCCACTAGAGTCGAGTGGGGCAGTGAGGGTAGCGAGACGGGGGTCCGGAACGTCAGTCATGTGGAGGATGTGTGGTGATGCCGGACTCAAACTCTTTTTACATCCCAACGTGGACCAACAACCGTAAACAGACCAACTCAATTGGTTGTGTTCGCCGCTCCCATGTGCATCTCCGACTCGCGGTCCAATCAAATTATACATCAGCCCTTTCGCAGGACTGGCAGCCGGTGTCAAAACGTCCTAATGTGGCTCAAGGGAACCAACTTCTTTCTGCTTGTCCTGCCAATGCTGAGTGGCTTAGGCTGCAAGGTTTACTAAGTGCTCCGCACAAGGTCACGATCCTCGATATCTGGGATCGACCGCGTTCGGGTACGATAAGCCTCCCCTTCAAGTCCATCCCACTCATATCCAGCGGCACGTCGCCTCGACACGATCGTCCATGTCTGCCGAGAAATATGTGGTCCCCGCTGACCTGGGCGATATATCCAAGTATTCTCTCATCCGCTCACCCCTCAAAGTATCTCGAGTAGTTCCGCGCAAGGACGGGCTTGAGGCGGGAGTTTGTTTCCTTGAATTGACGTTTAAGGAGCTTCAATACTTGCAGATGTTACTAGAACATGCGGACGGCCCCACGTCACAAGCTCTAGGAGGAGATGTCGAAAGGCTTCAATCCACGTATCATATGTGTGTCCGTCTCAGTCGAGCGATGAACATAGCTGAACCAGCGATCATCAGGCTCAAAGAGCGACAAGATAATCTGACAAATGCGCCACCGAGCACGAACCCATTCAATAAGTTTTTCAAGTATCGGGAAACGCGAAGTTTCTCCACTGCAGCCCATAATCTCCTTTCCGTCAGTGCGGTACGTACACTACACATGGATGACAAATACTTGATGTAGCTCGACTCGCAGGCAAAATCGGAGGAGTACGACGGAATTATCACCATTCCTAGGGACAGTACTGAGCACGTCGAATCCGTTGGTGCGCACGAAGGCACTACAGTCTAAGGCTCATATTGATTAGAAGAGTTTGGCAGAATCGCTTCCATCGAACACCCGCATCATAGGAATTCAAGTTACTCGTGACGACCCTAACGAAAGGCTCTCCGCTGAAGAAGCGCATCTCTTGTCCGAAGCCACTCACTACGCAAGGGTGGACCCAAGCGGTCACATTGATCAAAGGGAGCGCAACTCTATTGAAAGTGTCGCTACATTTGTGACGTGCCCACCTATTCCACCTGAAAAAACGCAAGGCGATCTGTCCCTGCAGCATCACGAAGGGTCTACGCTCCAGCGGGATGCAACGTCGACGGCGTCGTCGCCTCCACACTTGAATAGAATTCAAGGTCCGCTTCAACCATATATACACGCCCACAACTTGAGGAATACTTCCGCAACACGTGGCGATAATGACTCGCCGCAAACCGAGGTTTCTGCCTTCACGTCCCCATCAGCATCGGATCAAGCCACACCTATGGGACATTTATACAACCTACATGTATATAACTTCCATGTTCCCTATCGTACGTAACTGCCAACTTCGCAGTCTGCCCGACAGCTGACGCTTTAAACGAAATAGCTTCAGAGTCTCCGCAAGGAGCTCTGTCCCAGAGCGGAATTACCTTTAATCAGGTGTCTGGAAGCGGTCACGTCGTAGGCGTTTGTGAGTTATAGATATCCGCGGCCGTACCTTTGCCTTCGGTCGCTCATGGTTTGGCAGCGGGTCTTGCGATTCCTGGTGTTGCCTTTGAGGGAAGAAACAACACCATTCAGATTGGAGGTTCCAACAACAGGGGATCATGTGAGTGAACGTAGAGCTCCATACCTTCTCATTACTCATGGTACGATAGCGTTCAATACCCCAGTAACACCATCCGGGACGGCACCTCCGTCGCCTCACTAACCTCGGATCGGTAATTGCACCTCCGTTATAAGGTTCAGTTTAATACGGCCTCATGTCGTACGAACTCCAGAAATTCATGTTTATACCTATCGTCATATCTTCCGGCGCGTCTTAAGAATGACTCGGCTAGCTCCAACGATGTTTTTTATTGCCATAAGATATATTCATCCTCCGGCATTTGTTTGAGACTTCACTAGAATATTGATGTCACCAAGCACTCAGCCGCCTGGAGTGCAACGTCAGAATGTAGGTAGGGGAGGCTCTATTGTTCGTCGCCGCTACGAAGACGTGTCGGCGAGAAGGCTGACATGCAATGTTATTATTTGCCTTCATTGCTAATCTACGAAGTCCGGGACATCGATGCTTACCGTGACATACCAAATATCAGGCAGAAAAGCCAAATGAACGGCTCAGAGCAAATACAATCTAAAGCTATACTATTCCATCGCCTCTGTTTTATCCAAGCGACGACCTTAAAGTACAACCTCATTTCCCGTCTGACACACAAGGCGGATCAGATGCACACCCCATAAATCGTAGTCATGAGTCATGAGCTGGATTCATTTTCTGCACCCAATGTGTACATCACATCGGTCACTGGACGGGACTTGCCATACAGTCTATAAAGTTCGAGACATTGCTTTGACCTGTTATGTACTCTTATTAGAGGAGATGGGGTTCCGCAGAGCATCGGTAACCTTCCTGGACGGCACGAAAACACTCAAAGAGAACAGACAACTACCCACACTCCGTGGAACGGCGACCTTGATTACTAACCCTCAAAATAACCGCACATATGGAGTATATCACGGCCATGGGATGGAAGAGTTCCTAGCTCATGATGTACATCTCAGCAAACCGCACAACAAACATACATACTTGGTGGTGAAATAAGAGTCGCTGGGTGGTGGCGCTATCACCCAGAGTGACTGACACCAAGTGAACTGGTTACCTGGCCTGATTAATGGGGTAGAGAAGGCGTAGAGCGGCGACTTTGTTGCCCCAACGTTACATCATAGAGGATATTATAAGCATACACCCTTGATTTGGTCGCGCAAAGCCCCGGCTGGATAAGACACCGCACAGCATGTTGTCAAAGGTTCGTTTCGTAAACTGATGGATCTCGAGTGCAGTCTCTTATGATCCTTCCGAATTGAGTACCTTAGAGACTAAATCGACGCACACATATAATTATTGGGTCTCATTTTTGCCCCGAGTCAAAGGTGTGCAAGCGAGGTGAGGGTCCTTGCACGTTTGTCATGTCCTCGGGCGCTCCACACAGGCGGAAATGCCTCCCTTGATTAATGAACCCTTACCTGTTCTACTTGTATCCTATTAATTTCTGCAAGAGGAAACAATAGACCTCTTGGCAGACGATTACCATGGTCTTGGGTCAAAAAGACGCTCGACCTGGATCCAAGTTGCATCATAACCACGCGCCTCAGTGCCAATTAGGGCTATAGATGCCAAGAATAGAAATAGCGGCAGCGACATTGTGAAGGAGAGCTGTTTCTGATTCAAGCCACAGCAACTGCGGATTGATGCTAGTAAGTTAGCTCGCGTCCTTGGTGGTGCGGATGGAGCTAAACTTGAAGATGGTGAGGCATTTGACCGAAAGGGAACGAGGCAAATTCGCGCAAACACTGGTCTGGAAAGGCATAAAAGGGATGCGCTGCGCGGGCTGAAGAGGCCATCGCACCCAACGATCTTATCGCTTCTACCACTCACCCGATCTTTGACCATCACCATGCACTCTGTGGGCACTTTCAGTTTCCTGTCGTCCGGGATGTCAGACTAATCTTGCTCTTAGACCACTCAAGTCTTCGTCAACGAGCACCACTGCGGCAATGCCAGCTGCAAATGCGGCGATTCGTAAGTCTATGACCCATCGCGACTTGACGTGGTATTTGACGGACGTTCTTGTAGGTGCCAATGTGCGGAGGGCTCTTGCAAGTGCTGAGCAATCGGCTTGTTCGCCAACCCAATGTCTGAGATAACGATTGTACTTCTGCTCTAACCATGTATGAATATACTGTAATCGTTTGGTATCATAAGTGTGCATTGCATCATGGCGATATGAGCTCGCTCATAGAGAAATTGTTCTGAGACTCACAAGAGCTTAGAGGATCACTTATCCGATCCCGCACTGCCGATACCCATCTCAACAACGTATTCCTCCCTCCCAAACCTACGCATCGCCTCGACAACTTTGCCCACCTTCTGATACTCGCACCATGACCCTCCTTCTGTGGCTCCATGAATATCCCTGATCCTCCTCTTCTTCGGATCAAGCGGCTCGACGAACCGGACCTTGAGAGCGAGCCACTGCATGGCCTTGACGCGCGACGTGAACTCCTCGATATCCCCCTGAGCGCCCTCAGCGTAAATCACGCCTGGGTAGCCGACCTTCGCAAATCCGAGTAGAGAGAGCTCGGACGTCCATGATTGCAGCGAGCGTCGCTTGGCAGGTGATATGAGGTGATGAGATGTGAATAGAACGTGGTAGGTGGGCGAGTCGAGAGCGCGTTTCGGCTTGGAAGGGCGAGGATCAGGTGCGGTCCGGGGCTCTTCCTCAGCTTCTTCGTGCACGAGGGGTAGGAGGATCGATAGGAGTTGGTATATAGGTGTTCTATGGAAAGAGAGACAGTTGGGTAGTATATGTGATTACGCACGTTCGGTCTTGAAAGAGAGGACGTACTCGCTCTCTAGAATTTCTGACTCTACGCGGACTTCGCTGATGATACCCTGCCATCGCTGTTGCTTCTCTTGAGACATGTTCTCGCCATGCACAGTCACCCCATGTAGCGACTTCTCTGTCTCTGACTTGTCATGCGGATGTCCAGGGGCCAGAGTTATCTCAAACCACATGCGTGCGCTCAACGACTTAACTTGAAACCGGGCTGGTCTAGCAGGTGTATCCTGCCTACTCTCATCATCGTCCGCGTAGCCGTCAAGAAGAGTCATCCATTTCTCTTCATCTTCAACAAAAACCAGCAACTCATCCGGAAGAAGTGAAAAACGTATGAGATTGAGCTCTTCGAGCTGTTTGGAAAGGTTGGGGAATGACATGAACGCGCGACGCAAACAGTCAACCAGTGGCTATGTTGGCGGTAACCGGCTTTGTTCTTGCCGGTTTCCGGACATGAGCCTGACACACTGTTTATCTTTGACCGCCATCGCACGCATCACTGGGAGGCTATCAGGCAGGCACAGGCAAACAGGTAATCGTCCACGCATTTCTTCTTTATCAATCGTGTGTGCAAGCAAAATTCCGTATGACTACAATTCAAAACCGTTTCATGACGACTCAGTGCTATAATTACCTCACCAACGTCGACTACATCTTCTCGAGGCCTGCGCTCAGGATATGTAGCTGAGAATGCAACCCACTGCAACGGTTATATGTCCCGGGACCTATCTTTCCCGAACTGTCTCTAACCTTCTCAGGAGTAGGTTGATTGACCTTGGGTGATGCAACTGTGATGCATGTTTCGCCACCACCCACCTCCTGGTGCCTCGCTCACAGCTTTCAGGACCATTAACAGGTCAGCCCCCGGAGCCGGCATGCTATTTTGACAGGTCGATCTACCTGTACCGCTTACAATATCTCTGGGATGAAACTCGAATATCAACGCGACTATGAGCTGAAACGAAATACGTATGGGTATGACCAGGACCAAGCATGTGAGAGAAGATGAACCGCGTGCACAAGGGCAGGCTGTTTCGTACTCGTTCATGGCCGGGTCTCCCGGAATTCGCACTTCCTGTCCCCAGGCTCTTTCAAGCAGGCGTTTCCAAGAACTCGCCTTTCCAGGTACCTGTTCTACCTCTCATCTGTGATACATAACCGCCCTTATCATTTGCTACGCCTCTACACAACATTGGCGCAGAATCTTTTTGTTGTACGTCTTTGATATATGATAGTCTACTTTGTGCAGCCGTTTTACACGTGTCGCTACGCTCTTTTGAGGTCCTGTAAAACCATCTTTGAGCGCGCAGGCCAAAACCTCTTGACATCAAGCCACAGATTTAAGACCCCGATCATTGATCACCATAGCCGCAGATAAGATCAAGTTCCGCATCACAGAAGCCCCTATACATTTCTTCTGCTTCTCCAGGCTTCTCCCCACTCAGCTCCCGATTACGCAAGCTCCGTGTTGAGTTCTGAAATACTTCGCATATCCCAAAGGTATGAAAATGGAGGTGGCCAGCTCGAAGTGTCCAGGGAGGTTCAGATACATTGCTGCAGATGTGCAGTTACTGCAGGTTACCATCGCTCTTCGCTCCGTGACATAACTCTTGATGTATTGATGCTCCAGGACACTCCTCCCTTCTACATCTGTTGTTAGTTTGATAGGTGTCCACTGTGAAAAGGGAAACAGGGGAAATTCACCCACCCGCCAAGATGAAAAAGCACATTCACCCGGAATGGGGGTGAAAACGTGAAATGGGTGAATGAGGGTCGAATTTATTTTCGCCCGGACTTGAGGCGAAAATGGGGGAAATACCTAGGCGTGTTTCCGCGCTTGATCGTGTCGTCGTTGATGGGTGAAAATCACCCACTTTCCGGGTGAAATATCACTGACAGGCAAATAATGTGAAACGTGATCTTACCCAATCCTTGTCGCAATCGCAGCCCTCCTTATGCTAGTGAGAGGCCTTGACATATTGTAAATCCTATTTACAATATATTCCTTGAATTCCACAGTACACGGCTCGTAAACGTACAGTGACATTGTAACCACCACGAGGAACATGCTACATAATCAGATAGAAGCATATACAGATGCAAAGCGGGAATCGAACGGCAGTAGCGGAACGACCAAACGGGTGCGGCGCCAGGCTGTGCAGAGTCGAGGAAGCTTGCCATGTAATGACGCCCGAGTTGAACACAGCGAGGCAGATGTAGAGCCACCCGATGTTGGCACAGAAGTTTTGATGTAGTACTATACGCGCGAAGAGGATGACGCCGCGAGGGAGAGCATGGTTGCATTATGCACGAAGGGTGTAGACATCTGCTGCAACGCCTGCGTCGAAGCTGTGTCGGTGCCAATGCTCAGTGAACGTTGGCACTAGCTCGGGCTCAATGAAAGGCTCACAGAGTACCAGCGTAGCTGAACGCGTTCTTTAACACGAACAGGGTGCGCTTGATGTGCTTGAAAGCCCGCTGGAAGTTCTGCACGTGCATGAGCTGTGCTCATCAAGCCTGGACCAGGGCTGTGGTGTGGCTGCTCACAAAGGCGTCGTGGAGGTGGGATCAAGTTGGTGCATGTGAGCTGCGTGGTCACGAAAAGATTGTCCACAACATGAGGACGCATAGAGGAGAGGTAGGAGTAAGAAAGCTCACCAAAAGCGCCCTCACCAGTAGCCCGAGATTATCGTCGAAATCCTACACATATCCGCCACAGCCCAGGGCAATAGCAGTTCCTCACCATCCTCTGTGTCTTCCGTAGACAGCCTCTCTATCCTACATTTCCTCTTTTCCTAGCTTCCGTGTCAAGCATTCCCCAAGCACGTTGAGCCGCGGGCAGGTGCCCACAGTAATGTAGGTGTTGTCGAGCAAGCCATTGTGTCGGTGTTGGAGGGTTTGGGGGAAGTTGCAGAGTTCTGTCGCGCGCAGGAGCATCGAAACCATAGAAAAGGAGGATGACTGGCACCGTATGCAACATGAAAGACGAAGAGGAGAGGCTCGAGACAAGGAGAAGGATGGAGGACTCAGGAGAAAACGAAGAAGCTTGCGATCGCGACAATGAACCCGCGGTGCACGTGCGTGGTGGGACGCGCGTACTTTCCAGGTCCTCGCATTAGCATCTGCTTCTTGATCTCTGTGCTACTCGCGCGAGCACACAAATTAATCAAATACACGCCATTCCTCCAACAACCCCCCGGGTTAAGCCCCGGCTCTGTACGTCCAAAGGAAAGAATGCCCCGGTGCACTTGTGGATGTAACCAAGACTTATCGACCAGCCAAATCAGCCGGCACCTCAAGGGCAAATCGCGACCACACACCCATGTAGCTGCGTCGACATCAGCTTCAAGCATGAAGGATAAGATTGATATGTTGATGGGATTGAAACCGATGGTATGTTTATCTTAATTAGGCGGCAATAACCTTGTGACTTGACATCAGAACAGGACACTGAATCGTCGTCATTCCCGGCCCCTGCACCGACCAATCCCGCTGATAACCAACTTGGCGATCATTCTACAACCAGCAAAGAACCTCACGAGCCCCCGCCTGATGTCGAGCTTCCACTTCCTGATACCCCTGAACCCGTGCCCATGTCCGACATCGTCCATGAAGCACTCAATGCTGCTAGAGAGGGGCTCCGAACTCGGAGTCGGTATGCCGCTTATGTCGAAGAGGTCGATGAAGACGAACCCGAGCTAAGTAATGCTCAGGCTGATGCTGAAGATGAGGCTGACGCGTCCGCCGGTCAAGATGAACAGGACCTTGAAGACGACAGTGGCACGGAACAAGACTTTATCACAGGACTGTCACCACTTGATGCGCTTGGGGAGAGTTTTGAAAGGGAACTGGCTGGGCTAGGTGCGTGGCGGCTGCTTGGTGCCCATGAAGCTATTGCTGACTCACATGTAGCTAATCAAATCTCGGACGCCGATCTGCATATCCTACGGGTGTTTGCCCTCAAGGTGCATGGCCAAGTGACCGATAGAGTATACCACATGCTCCCTCGTGTATTTCCTGAGACACCTACTCCTAGTATCTATAGAACTCGCCGCCAGGTGGCAGCCTTGTCTGGTGTCACTCCTATCTTGTACGACTGCTGTGTCGACAACTGCTGTTGCTTTACCGGCCCCTATGCTGATCTCGAAACCTGCCCGTACTGTAAGAAGCCGCGCCGTGACTGGTGGGGAAAGCCACAGTGTCAATACACTTACATTCCCTTGATCCACCGCCTTGTATCTCTGTTCCGGAATGCCGAGGCTGTTGAGACCATGCGCTATCGCTCTGAACGCCTATCTATGCCAAATGTTGTGTCTGATATCTTTGATGGCCAACATTACAAGAACCTGCTCCAGACCCGGGTTACCGTCCATGACCACGAACAGCCCCACAACTTCTTCTCAGATCCTCGTGATATTGCACTTGGTATGGCTACAGATGGCTTTGCTCCCTTTCGCCGTCGAAAGACAACGGCATGGCCCATTATTCTTTATAATTTCAATCTCCCTCCCGAGACACGATTCCACCGCCAAAATATCATCTGCCTGGGTGTTATTCCTGGGCCTAAGAAACCCAAGGATTTCGACTCGTTCTTTTGGCCAGCTGTAGAGGAACTTCTCGCACTTGCAATCGGTGTGCGAGCATTTGATGTTGCATCATCTGTGCTGTTTGCTCTTCATGTGTATTTGATTATAGTGGCCGGTAAGTTATCCTACCCATTACTATTTCATGCATCTTATTGATGTTACTTTTAGGTGATATCCCTGCCATCTCCATGGTGATGGCTATGAAAGGTCATAATGGTTTCTCCCCATGCCGGATGTGCAAGATCACTGGTTTGCGACCCCCTGATACCCGAGGCACTACCCATTATATTCCTCTTCATCGAGCTCGCCATCCAGACATTGCTGCCAATCCTACAGCAGTGAAATGTTACGACTCAGCAAATCTCCCTATGCGTACACATCAAGAGTTCCTTCAACAAGGGCAAAAGGTCCAGCAAGCCAGGAATGATGCCGAGTTTGAGAGGCTGTCACGTGAATGTGGCATCAAAGGTGTGCCTGTTATAAGCACCCTTGCATCCATTTCACTTCCTTGGTCCTTCCCTTATGATTTTATGCACCTCATTTTCGAGAACATGATCCCCAATCTTGTTTTGCTCTGGACCGGCGACTTCAAAGGTCTTGACTGTGGCAGGGAGCAGTACCAATTGCAGCCATCGGTCTGGGATGCCATTGGTGCTGCAACTGCAGCATCTGGCCCATCTTTGCCATATGCCTTCTGCAGTCGGCCTGTCAACGTCGCAAACCACGAGAAGCACCGTATGACTGCGGACTCATGGTCATTCTGGTTCCAATACATCGCACCTGTTGTCCTCGAGTCACGCTTTTCCCACCCAAAATTCTACAAACATTTTGTCGACTTTGTCAAGCTTGTTCGCCTCTGCCTCAAATTCGATCTCACTCAGCAGGATATCAGTGACATCCGCCTTGGATTTCAGAGCTGGGTCAGCAAGTATGAGGAGTAAGTTGTCCATAACATATTTACCACTCCCATCAAGCTCACAATGATTCAGATTTTATTACCAGCATTCACCCTCACGGCTCAGCACGTGTGTCATCACTGTTCATGCTCTCCTCCACATTGCGGACTCTATAGTTGAAATGGGCCCTGTGTGGACATCATGGGCATTCCCTATGGAGCGTTTCTGTGGTTACCTGCAGCCAGCCATAAAGAGTCGACGTTTTCCCTATTCTTCTATTGACCGGTTCATTGTCGACATCTCCTCACTAGCTCAAGTCAAGAATCTGTACAACCTTCACAGTGAGCTTTCTTTGGCCAAAGTACAGCAAGCTAAGGATTCTCGGGAATTTTCTGATCCAACATGTATGTGCATTGATATCTTCATCATCCTACAACCGACTCACACTGGGTAGACCCAACTTGTGTGCTGTTACCGCCACGTGTACGCAAGCCCGTTGAGACATCCAAATTCCTTAAGATAAGGGCTGCCCTTGCCACTCATTACGATGTTCCTGCCAACACCTTGCATAAACTCACATCCAAGGCTGACATAGAGGAATGGGGTAAAGTTCGTCGCTTGGAGGGTGGTGACACTATACGTGCAGCATCTCAGGTCAAATCCCGTGGAGACAACCGTGATGCAACATTTGTTCGGGTGTGTGTGCTACTAACTGACATGTTGTATGGTTGCTAATGGAACCTTCACATAGTATGAGACCTATATTGACTTATATGCACGCCGGAAGGCAAAACGGCCAGCGCTTGTGGCCAAGACATTCTTTGGTCAGCTTCAACACATCTTTGTTGTGCGCTTACCTCTGGATGAGCGACTCGGCATCCCGGATGGCAAAGTCCACATCATTGTTGCTATCGAACCCTGCAAGATTACCCGCACAAACCCTTCCCTCGACATTCACTGGTACAAGACTTTTGAACGTGTTATCTATCTTGATGTCATATGCATTCAGTGCCTTGTTGGTCGAGTACGGGCACCGGACGGAGGATGGGGAATAGTAGACCGAAGCGGGGATCTTGCCCGCGCAATATATGCAATCGAAGATTAACAAGTACTTGTATCCCTAACAGCTTACATATATTCTGAATGTGGTGCACCGCCAGCGAGTTGACGCACTCGTCGATTCGGATTTGAGGCGCGTTGAGAATGGAACGTGGGAAACTGTACTTGTAAACCTTCGCGCCCTCACTTGCATTCGTTCGCCACCCACACCACCCACATTGCTTCTCCAGGCTGGTCCACAGGCATACGCATCGCGTATTGCATGCCCAAAGAACCTGGCTTCCGCTTAATGACCTTCTATGTCTCCCTCCTCCCTCACCACTGGCTATTTAATGCAAGCTCCACCAGCTCTAAACCCCTACTCGCTTTTCTACTCTCCTCAAGAAGTGTTGCCCCGGTCCGCGCCCTCAACATATAGTATACAGCGAGGCAGTACACGCTGGCGCTCAACGCTCAGCATTGACAGCAAGGTGCGTCCCGTTTTGACCGCGTCTTCTTGCAACGAGCTAATGAACCCAGCCTACAGCGACGCAGCTGTGCAGCAACATAGCACAGTTGCCTCCTCGCGCTCTTAACGCTGCTCCCTCCCTTTGCCCCCGCCTCTCTCTCCCTTCCTGCGCGCTCTGCACAAGATGCCCAAGCAGCTCGACCTCCTGCTCCACTCGGCGCGACAACGCACGACAGCGTGCTCTGCACAGGCCCGGGTTGGCGGGGAGGGGGCACGAGCACTTGCCAGGTTCGTAGTCAAGCTCGCCCTCGTTTGTGATCCCGATGGCAGCGAGCCTGCGATGCACAAATTGCCACAAGTCCGCGTCTGCCAAGTGGCCATACGACGCGCACGCGTGGCTGTCCGCTTCCGGCTTGTCAATGCTGCATTGACGACACATCGCTCTGCACCCTCACGACTGCCCTCGCCCTCGCCCTAACCATCGGAACATGACTCCCCCTTCGCGTTCGCCAAGTCGTGCGGCTGGACGGCACGCACGCGCGGCTATCCACGCCCTCACCCATGCCCGCTGCCTCAACGACGCATGGTGTTGACACCATACTCGCGTGCGACGGCATGGCTATGAGCTCATTGTCGACGGCGGATCCGACCACGACCTAGCCCTTTTGGGATCGCCACCTCTCCCCCGTGCACTTATTGTCTGCGCTTGCCAAGCGGCGACACAGCTGCTGTCCCCGTCTGCGCTTGTGCCCGCTGCGTCTGTTAGAGTTCTCCGATCGTATCAGCTCGACGCTAGTTTGCATTCCATAGAGTTTGTTTTCTGTTTCACGTGACGTCCAGTTCATACTTACATGCTACGGACTTTTCTAGAGTCTCTGGGTTTCAAACGTCTCGAAGTCGATCACGCCGTATTTCTCTACAACGGCGATTACGAAGGCACTGTCATTTATACCCTGACCGCCTGGCATGTCGACGACTCGATGATCACTGGGTCCAGTCGCTCGCACATCGACTTCGTAAAAATCCGCTTCACAGAACGCTTCGGGATCTCCGACATGAAAGAGTTACGAGAGTATCTTGGCGTCGAGTTCGAACGCGATCACACCGCTCGGTTTGGATGGTTACACCAGACGAAGTACCTCCAGCATCTCGGCAAGTACGGTATGACTAGATCCAACCCCGTTCTTCTCCCTATGGATCCCGCTCATCCCTTCGGTCGCGACTCAGACGTATATTCCCCCATCAACGATCTCCCCTCTCTTTACAATAAACTCGTCGGGGAACTCTTCTACGTCACCCTCACACGTCCGGACATCGCGTACGCAGTAGGACGTCTTTCTCAGTTCCAAGCTAGTCCATAGCCACGTCACTACCACGCTGGAAAGAAGGCCCTTCGCTACCTGGCAGGCACACTCTCACTCAATGGCTCCGCAACCGACAACGTCAAGAGCATCAGTGTCGTCGTCACGAGCCCTAGGGCGCCGGTTCCGCGCTCGATCGCGCTCATGCACATCAATCCTGCCGAGCAGTTAATCGACCCGCAAAGCCGTCCATTCGAGGTGGACCGAGTTATGCTGGAGTTATGACAAAGTGATTTTGAGGCACGTGACCGACGCGCGTAGCTAATTATTATTTGTCAGGCGGCGAACTTGGGCGCAACGCGATCGGTGGAGTCACAGCCGGCGCCATATGTTTCAACAAGATATAAAGCCGCGCAATGCAACCCCGTTGCTTGCTCAGCAACCCCCACCTGCCCTCTACTACAAGTGCGCGATGTCTTCCAGTCCCACCAATCCCACTGATAACCCCTCAAACGAGGAGATTCAGCCTCCGAGCTCGTCCACTGACACTCTTGTACGTCCCGCAACCACGTCTTCACCCGTTGCTAGGGTACTTTTATGCTGACCCTCCATGCATACAGAGAGCCCAGCGTGCTCCTCCGGCTCGGAAACGCAACAAGACTCAGTTACAACAAGACCTTGACCAGCAGGAGAATGAACTCCATGCACTCCGTGGTACGTGTGTATCTCTTTTCTCATGTTGCGCTGTTGACATTTCGAACTCTAGTATCACTTGAGAACGAGAAAGCTGCCCGCAAGGCGGCCGAGACAGCAGCAGGCAATGTCGGTGGGCGCACCGAGCCAAGACAGGAGACCCCCATCCCCAAACCGAAAGGCACCGCCGGCGAAACCTACGTGCTCAAGGACGAGATGGGACTCCAGGATGACAAGGCTCAGTATAGCACTATCCTAGTAAGTCGACTTCGCACTATGTGAACTTGTCGTTGACTTGAAGATAGGCCACGGCTCGTAACGCTTTCCTCGCTGCCCGCTTGAACCCGTTGACGAACTACAGTGAGCAGCCGTTGAGGGATCTCGCCAATGTATTTGAGGTGGTACGTTGTCGTTGCATTTCGTTCTGTCTGCTGTCTGCTGAAACCCAGGACTCAGGCTAAGAAAGCCCACCCAATTCTCTGTCGCTTCACCAACAATTGGGCGACTGCCGCAATTGTTCAGCAGTACATCCATAGCCGCAAGAGATACGCCCGAATCCTCGTGGGCCGGCTCAAGGAGAAGCGTGCTCACGCGTTGCATGCAAGCCGCTCTGTGTCTCCACCCCGCCAGCCAGAGGCATCTACATCAACCGGCGTGTGAATTCGATCCGTCTTTCCTTCGCCCTCTTGTTGTATTGGTAGTTACCTGTAGTTGCGCCCGCGTTCCTGTATTTGCTACCATATTGAATTCATCTGGTCTGATTGAATACCGGTCTAATTGGATACCGGATACCGGATCGAGTGTCAGAAAAGGGACAGCTGGTGGTTAATAGTGAGGTGAATTTCACCCCATCTAGTAGGGTTTTATGCCCATGATGTGGTCGAATAACACCCAGAAAGTTCACCCGAGTAAGGGTCGAAAAATAACAGTTTCGTCTGAGTTTTAGAACAGGGTGAATATTGCATGATTCGGTCGATTTTCACCCGTACAAATTCACCCAGACACGGGTCGATAAACGCCAGTACCTGGTGAATTAAACCACTATCATGGTCTAATTTCCCACAAAAACAGGGTGAAAGGGCGGTCGAAATTCGACTGTTTCCGTTTTCACAGTGTGTCCAACACTATCAGCTCTGCCCAGTCTTGATCGGGGGAACGCAGTCGGAGGGTCAGAACAACTGCACCCGCTCTCTGGGCGTGATGCAACGCCCAGGCCCTTGTTTCACCATGATGGGTCTCCGCGACAGTGCCACACGTTGCCACTCAGATGATCACTGATCACCATTAGCGCCGCCGGAAGGCACTTGTACCTCATCCCAAGTTGTACTGGCACTGGCTGTCCTTACTTTATCTCTAAATTCAGGCGATGGTCTGCGATGGTCAAGCGCTGGGACGACGGTCTTGTCTAGGCTGTGTGTCAGACCTCCTGGAAACTGATCCTACGCTGATGGTTGGCATCACGCATGCAGTGATCCGCCAAACGCAACTAGATGTGAAACGTTTGTTCGTGTGGATGATCCAGGGCGAAACGCCGCGGTTCGACAACAACCCCATAAATCGCTATCTAATCACAAGGTTGCACCATCGGTGTCGAGACTGTGGGGTCTGCCTACGCGGCATATATAAGGGCCCTTGAACACGATCCGAAAGCTCAACCAACCTACTCTCTCCTCATCTCTCACTACTGCACTCGTGAGTCGCCTCTACCCGCGCCATGTTCCAGAGAAGCACATCGCTGACGATCTCCTCTCCCCAGAACCCCCTCTAACGAAAACCATCATGTCCATCCGCACCGACCGCGCCCGCATCACCGTCCTCTTCACCAAGAAGGCCGACGTCTCCCAGGAGGACTTCGAGCGCTTCTGGACCGTCGAGCACCCCAAGCTCTTCTCCTCGCTTGACATCGTCAAGTCCAACATCGTCCGCTACGAGCAGCAGATCGCCGCCGCCACCGCCCAGGCCAACATCGCCCAGTCTGGAGCCCCCGCCGCCCCCTTCCACGCCGCCGCCGTGTTCGAGGCCAAGGACTTCGACACCCTCTGGGCCGTCTTCCAGTCCGAGGAGTACCGCACCAAGGTTGGTGCCGAGTCCCTCAAGTACGCCGAGAAGGGCGGCCAGATGTTCGCGTCCAACTACGCCGTCGTCATCGACCAGTAGGCGCGTCGCTCTTCAAAAGGTTTGGCCTTCTATGATATAGGTTCGTGGTCTTCATTGTTCCATCGAGTATTCTTCTTATGGGTGATTTCCAGGGTTTAATGGCTTATGTCACTGCGGTGTATAAAGTAAATATGGATCTGTAAACTTATCAAACTCAATATATGTATCAAGCCGTTATATAACACTATGACATGTCTGTTTGTGAGACCGATCACGACTAGTTACGACTTCGGCGAGTTGAGAATGATGTCCCACAAACAGACGAGGTGTTGTTCGTCAAAATTACTGCACGAACGTGCGGGGGACCTGCGACAAATTCGTAAGCTGAAGCACATGTATCTCAGCGAGATCGATCTGATCAATGAGAATCAGTGGTGTTCTTGACCCTGGGTCAAACGGGGTCAGAGGGGTCTGACCGAGTTTGACCCGGGTCAGCGTAAACGGGGTCAGAGTCAAGGGCCGGAAATGGGCACCACTACGTAAGCAACTACATTCCCCGATGAGGCCTTGCTATTGATATATTTGCGGTGCCCACATTTCGCCCATGCGCCCACAGGTCAGCGGTTAACAGCTCGTAGTTTTTGGCATCTTACAAGTTCGAATCCCCGCACTGCCAAAGTTATACTCTTGTTTCAACGTAAGGAAATGTGATGCCTCTGCTTCTGATCGACTCCCTCCATACAGTAACCACTCATTTACATTTAAACAATCGCCGTATAGCTGCCCAACCCTTGTGTTTGACGTAGCTCTAAAAACAGGTGCGATCCGAAAGTAAAACATTTGTGGGACGTGACTGCGTCACGTGTGACGAGAAGTAACCCGCTGACCCCTTGGTCGGGGTCAGAAAAGGTCAAACTGGGGTCAAACGCGTCTGACCCCGTTAATGGTCAAGGGGTCAGCGTTGACTCGAACACCACTGATGAGAATAGCCTTGATCGAAATAACAAAAGGCAGGCAACCGCCGCGGAAAAAGAAAGTCTCTCTGGCGGGGAGTCGAACCCCGCTCTCCCGCGTGACAAGCGGGTGTACTAACCGATATACTACCAAAGACTTGTTAAATGACTGTGCTAGCATATTTATAAGGAGCCATGTTTGCCGAATGCTCAAAGAAAATCGCATTGTAACTACCGCAGGGCACAAGCAATAGTGTACAGTACACAGGTGTACGCTATCACGCAAACCTAGTTGACCTGCCGTAGCTCACTTGGCCTCACTCAACCTCCTCACCCACTCAACAAGGGCGCGCACCGGCCGCCCTGTCATACCCTTCTCCTGGTACGGGTGCGTCCGCGTGAACTCCATCGTGCCCGCAATGTCGATGTGCGCCCACCTCACGCTCGGCTCGTCGCCCTCGATGCCCTTGACGTGGCTCTTGAGGAAGAGCGCGGCCGTGCATGCGCCTGCGGGTTTGCCACCGTACTGCGTCATGTTACAGCGCACCATTAGAACAACAGGACTGGTAGAGGGAG